CGCAGGGATGGCCTCTTGAGAATGTCGAGGTATGAGGACGGCAGTCGAGAGTCGAACTCGATCTGCCTGCGCATCTGGTAGAATTCCCGCTTGGCAAACTCCTTCTCCGGGTCGTCCTTGGTGGAGTGCAACTCCTGGACGACCTGCCACGCTTCCTCGGTGCGGTCCTTGCTCAGCAGATAGCGAGGAGACTCGGGCATCCAGTAGATCCCGGCAAGGACAATGGCCGGGCACACCATTTGAATGCCCATGGCACCACGCCACTGGTTGGCACCAGAGACGAAATAGAACGCCAGCCCCATGTACGCGGCGAGCAGATAGCCACATAGCATGAGGAAGGCATGGAGATCGACCAGGACGCCGCGCACTTGGGGTGGTGACAGCTCAGCGATCCAGACGGGGACCTGAGACAAGGTTTGATACGCTCTTTTTATATGCCATCAGAGTCAGCTTTGATTTTTTGTGGGGGCGGCGGCGGCGAACGCAAGAGGGGAGAATGGATTGAACAAACAACTCACCCCCATCCGTTGAAGAATCGAAACACAATGAACATGGGCGCGTTGACTGATGCGGTGAGCAAGGCGGATGTTATCAAAATCATGGCTACTCCGACGGCGACACAGAGCTTTCGGCCGTAGGTGCTGCTAAACCAACCCGCAATCAGGCCGCCGACAACACCTCCGGCAAACCAGACTCCGTTCATGGCACCGGTCAGCGAGGCGGCGTTGCTGGCGGTGTCCAGGTGCATGGACTTGGTGAAAGAAGGCTGCGAGAGCGTTGTGGCAATGATGGAAGACGAGTAGCCATACGACGTCGATCCCAAGGAGATGAACAGAATGACTCGGATGCAATAGGCAGTGACTTTCTGCTTCTTGACAAAGTCCCTGGGCACCTCAGCGCCGTGGTGCTGTTCGTGTTCGTGCATGGCTATGACTGTGTAATTGAAACAGAGGGTTCAGATCGGTTCTTCGCGTAACAAATTGACAAAGGTTGATGGCTCTCCCTTGCTTTCCCGGTCTTCGACAGGGAATGTCCTGTTTTCTGGACCTTTGTCCTCGACTTTATACTTCGTCGAGCTATACAACCTCCCCAGTATCCCCGCTTGGTCCAGAATGCTCGGGGAATGAGGGGGGGGAACGGAAGGAAGACAAACGGCCGGGGTAGAACTCGGGGAACCCTTGTGGGAGCGAGATCTTTGCTGCTGGCCGACGATATTCCTCTGAGCTTGCAGAGCCGGGTGAAGTTGGGGCGGGTGTGTGAAGATGCTGATTGTGAATGAGCGGGCTTTCCACAACCCAGGGTGGCAGTCAACAGCCATCTTCGGAACCCACCTGTGACGGGTTCAGGAAATACGCTCGAATGCTAGAGACTGAGCTTCTTAGTCCAGTCCCAGTTCGTGCAAGATTCCGGTACTAGCTGGGAATATAGTGAGTGTGGGGTATATCCACCAGACAGCTAGCTAGTATCCTAATTGGCTGGCATTCCGAGGACGCGATCGGTGCGGGCGAGGAGTTCCCTTTTTTTACGGATTGGCATTCTAGGGTGAAGCTGCAATACGTTCGGAACGGCAGCACGGCTGGGATATGCGCGTACGCTTCACCAGGATTGCTAGGTATAGGCTGTATTCTTTTGGAGTTAGTCGGCAGGGAAATTGTGATCTTGTCTGGTGCTACGAGCTGGGCCATGCATCGTGCATCGGCGATATCAGAGCAGATAAGAATCGCACAGAGAATCATGCCTACACATATCTATATGTAGTGCTCCAATAACAAGCCATTCCTCTCAGGCATTGGAGGAGTTCTCTTTTCATTCCTGCGCGTGCAGTCGTGTCATTCAATACAGAGTTGACCAGACGGATGAACATTAGAGGTGGGGTTTCGGCCCAATCTACCTGAGTGCACATAGTCTGGATTGTAATTCTTTAATCATCGAAGGGAAGATCTTACAAGAGCAGCGTCTAGACCTTAAATTGTTCTCTCTTACATACAAACTACCCTCGTATGTCCAACTGTGGAAAAGCAATAAACGTCCTGCTCCCATGACTGCGGGCACGTATGGTTATTGCATGGGTGGAATCTCATTGAGGTACCAACTGTCACGAGGTTAGTAGTGTAAGCTAACACAAAGTCCTCTGAGATGAAACTTACGTATCATCAACGTCGCAATTATACTCGTACTCGTGCTCCAGGAAGCCGTTGTTCAACCATGCAAAAGCAAGCTCTGGCTCGGGGCACCGGGATACCCAGTCGAAATCTTCATAGCGACGCGTTTTCAGGATCTCGAACAAGTGCGCTCGCGAGCCGGGGTACAAGGCATCCAGGGCTCCGTCGCGTCTGCCGTTCTTGAGGGCGCTGCTGCAGTTGTCGTTCCACACGGTTTTGTCGAGCCACGCGTGCATGTGCGCCCGGTAGGCCTCGCCCTTGCCGGCCTTCAGCTGAAAGGAGCTGTAGTTCTCGGTTTGGAGCTTTCTCAATATATCGCAGATGTAGAAAGTCACCTGCTCAATTGCGGTGATCAGGCTGCCCGCGCCCACGGGACTGCCGGGACCCAGGTAGGTGAAGTAGTTGGGCATATCCGGGGCCACACAGGACATATAGCACGCCGGGCTTTTCGCCCACGATGAGCGGAGGTCGATGTTGTCGTTGCCGATGATTGGCCATCTTGGGACGAGAGAGATGTCGAAGCCTGTGGCACAGATAATGACGTCGAAGTCACGCTTCGTGCCATTGGCCGACTCGATGCCCGTTTCTGTAAACCGACCCAGGTCGCCCCAAACCACCTCGCAGTTGGGAGAGCAAAGAGCCTCGAGATACCCGGTTCCAGGGGTTGGCCTTCGACACCCCAGCGAAAAGTCGGGAATTAACAACTCTGCTAGCTCCGGCTTGGAAGCAAGCCGTCGTCGCATGTCTTGGACGGTGGTCTCTCTTGCAAATCGTTGCTGAGGGGTGCCGCGAAGATAGGTCCCGAAGCGAATGTTAAGTTCCTTCTCCACCGCTTTGCGAAAACGGAGGTATTCTTGAGGGTCTTTCCTCCAAATATCTTTCTGCTCCTGGCTGAACAAGAGGTCTTTACCACCGTCTGGAATATACTTGGACCCGAAATTCGCCGTGATATACGTCGGGTTACGGACAAAGACCGACACATGAGAGGCAACCTCTTGTACGGCTGTCGTGACTTGAATGCCCGAGGATCCATTCCCGATGACGGCCACCCGCTTGTTGCGCAAATCAATGCTGGGATCATAATTGGCACTGTGGACTATGGTGCCTTTGAAAGATTCTCGGCCAGGAATAGCAGGCCATCTCCAGTGATTGAAGAAGCCACTCGCGTTGATGAAAATGTCGCACTCATCCACGATTTCATCGCCCACCTCGCCGTCGCTGACGCCAAAGGAAGACACGGCGTTTCGTCGACCATCGGTCTGTCGACTTATGATCTGCCATTTCTGTCGCTCGGCGAGCCATCGAGCTCCAACCACTTTCCGGCAAAGCGTGATGTATTTCCTTAGGTCAAACTTGTCCGCGGTGTCTTCCAGATACTTGAGGATCTCCGGTGCCGTGACATAGTACGATGACCAGTCTGGATTCGGGGCCCAGGAAAACTATTGGATGAGGTTGGCACACAAACAACATGCATCAGAGAGCTATTCGGGGGTGATTGTAGGCATACCAGATAATTGTGACTGGGGATATCGCACGCGCATCCTGGATAGCGATTCTCGAACCATGTCCCTCCCAGTCCCGCATTCTTTTCCAGGATTTGCAGCTCGATGTTCTGCAGCCGTCCCACCTTCACGTCGTGTGCGAACGAAAGAGCGCTGACTCCCGCCCCAACCACAATGACCTTAAGTTGTCGTGGTGTCTTGAATGGGAGTTTCGACAACTCGTAAGCAATAGAAGATTTCTCTCGGTATGCTTCTGTGGGCGTGGGCTCGACCAGCCTGGCAGGAGGGGCAAGGCCAACAGCAGGTATTTCGTCCTGGCTCATTATCGGCCCCTGGACGCGTTCAATCCGAGCTGAGCCATTTGGTGCAGCAGGTTCCTGGTCTGTCATGGGAGAAACGACAATGGAGGCCCCTTTGGTGTTCAATCGGTCTTCAGACCCTTGGATCGACGCTCCCTGGACTAGTATCGCCATGATTAGATTGTCTTGGGATTTTGTGCTGGAATTCCGCCCAAACAAAATGCAGCAAAGACACCGAAGAGCTGAAGACGGTTGTTGTTTTACCTGCTCGTATTAATACTCACCTTGGGCGCCTCGTCACGGAAGATGTGCAGTGGTAGATACCGAGACCTTTTCAGCAAGCAATCCAGAACTATTTCCTTCCGGAATGCTGCCCCCACGCAGTCCACAGCCTGATGGAGAGGTCTGAGCAGCCATAGGAAGTTGAACCTATGACGGTCTAATTGGTGCAGACCATGTTCCCTTGGAGCTGCAGACTCGGCCCAAATTCTCTCTCTGTGGCGTGTCGCAGACACTGCGCAGGTTCAGATGGGATAGTCACAGAAACCTCTGCCGAAATCCTCAACTTTCCCCACAACCGTCCCGTCTAATCGACAATTGCGATTCGCGAAGATTTCCGAGGAAGTCTTCTTCCGGTGGCCGATCTAGTCAAGAGTTTGGGAATCTAGGTTAACTAGCTTTAACGTAATCCATGAAGCCACTTCGAAAGCAAAATTCTCAAGAATGCCAACGATATCAGCCAGGAGACTCTGAACCAACCACAACCCTCTTCTTCCGCTAAACGCACTGGACATGTCTCGATACGATAACCTGGCTCTCTGCAACGTCCACACCGTCGTCGGCGCGGCCTATCGTCATCGCATCGCCCCCGTGACCGAGAGATTTCCCGCTGAAGTTGCCCTTCGACCTCAGCTTGGCCAATTCGAGCTGCTAATACTAGGTGTTATTACTTCTATTGGCCTACCTATCTATTTACTTCCCTTGCAATTAGTAACGGACGAGGTATGGTTTGGGGTACATATACATTATATATATACACACATCTGAATGGTTCAATCAAAATCCAAGGAAGCAAATCTGGATGGCCTTAATTCGTCTATTAGCATCTGTGCGAACCCATCGACATGGCCCGTCTTCAACCGCTCCTTAGAACGGGGCCTATCCAAGCTCGCTCACATTCCGGCCTAACTATGTACAACTGCCTATGCTTTTCTCTGGCATTTAAGACTCCCCACACACTTGGGGCCTCGGGCCTGGGAGCAGCCCTTATTCAAAACCGCTATCTCTCGACCGTTGCAGCCAAAGAGAAAGTAGACAGACCGAGAACCCACATCACCAAGGCCGTGAGTTTCTGCTGCTGGCTGTGGAAACCTCGCCGGCTGCATATGTACAGGATTTACGACGTTGACCTGCCCGAGCAACAAAGTCTATCGCTGAAACGCAAAACATCAACAAATCGACACTTTATGGCCGCTCGGAAAAGACCAGCTTGCAATGATCCTGCCGTGAATGTAAGCAATATGAACAGTTCAATAGTGGCGTCTGACTCACTTGAGGGAAAATGGTCGCAAAGACCTCAATATCCTCGCTGATGGGGGTGGGCTCATGCACCCAGTCCAACAAGATGCTGGCTTTTCCAATCATTGCCATCAGGTTCAACTGAGCGTATGTCTGTCCCAGGCAATAATGGGGCCCGGTGCCAAAGACCAACCAGTTCTTCACCTGCTTGTCGGCATCCCCGGTAATCCATCGCTCGGGTTCGAAGCTGTCCGGGTTGGGATATGCTTCAGGATCATGGGTTGCTGGCCAGATCGAGGGAATGATCATCGAGCCTTTCTTGAGCGTGTAATCTTCAGTCACGGGGAAATCTTTCTTAGCAACATAGGGCACCAAAATGACTGGAGGACGATAGCGCAACGTTTCTTTGACCACCGCTCTCGTCCAAACCATCGATTCCAGCATATCCATGTCGAAGGGCTTGTTGCGGTCGCCGCCTCGAAGCTGGAGATTTTCCTCTCTGACCTTGTCCAGGATCTCCGGTCGATCAGCCATGATCTGGAACAACCACGTACAAGCACTCGAGGTGGCGTCTTGCGAAGCAAAGAGGAAGGTGAAGACGGTTTGGGCAATCTCGAAATCGGTAAAGTCTCGAAGTAACTGAGGTGGTTTCTCGGACTGGTCCACTTTTTCGCCTCTTTCAATGCGCTCTCGGTATTTGGCGGAATCCTGGATCTGCTTGACCCACGCGTCCAGGATGCATGTGATGTTGCCGCCGGCAGCCATTCGCACTTTGGACTTGGTCGCACACTTTGCAAACTCCTCCAACACCATGTCTGCCGCTTTCTTTCCGTACCAGGTCTTGGTGAAAGGGATGATGATGGGGAAGTTGACAAGCTCCAGCGCGGCGGTGATCAAGTAGTAGTCGTGGGCAATCTTCTTGACCACTTTATCGCTCATGTAGTGTCCAACAAAGGTTCTGCAGGACACGGCGCACATGAGTTCTCGGAATACGGGCATCCAGGGCTTGGCTGTCATGTTGTTTTCCTTGGACATGTCGAGAAAGTTCTTGAAATACTTGCTGTAGACCTCCTCTTGACCGGGCAAATACATCTCCAACGCTTGACGTGTGAACAGCCCATTCAATCCCTTGCGGTACTCGACATGGGCTTTTCCGTCCAAAAACACCCAGTTGGTAGGACGAAGGAGTTTCGGGGCGACATCGACGACGGTGGGTTTCACGAAGCCTGGCGAATTGAAGACTTTGCGCGCCATGTCCCGGGTTCCCGCAATGACAACGAATCTGGCGAGAGACGAGGGTTAGCAACAGCACCTGGGTCCCGCGAGTAAAGGTGAATCCTGCGTACTTGTGGAAAACCGACACACAACTCAGCTCCGCGCTCTCCCATTTCTCCTTGTATTTCCTAAAGTCGGGTCGCATCGATTCGAGGAAGGGGCCCATGAAGGGCATTTTCCACGCTGGGCCAACGATGCCATGCTTCCGCCATTGATAGCTGCCTGCACAAGTCGTCAATCGTCAATCCCCGCGCAACCCCAGACGCACGATAACAAGGCGAACTCACATTGATCGTAGGTAGCCAATAGTAGAATAATTGTCAAAAGCACGGTCCAAAGATTCAGCTGCGCCCACACCCTGCCCAAGACGCCAGAGGCATGGGCGGCCTGAACCTTCAGGTCGGCGTTGGCGAGAGGTGAGGCGAAGCTGGTGGCATTTGCAAGGACGTCCATGGCGTATTGGTTGGGGGGATTCAAGGGGGCCGCGGCAAATGGTGGTTTGAGGGCCCGATCGAATGGGGGCACTGTGCCTTGCAGGAGGGCAACACCGTATGACGGGGGCGACAGTGTTATCAATCCTCCTCTTCAAACGCGCTGCAGATGTTGTGTCGAAGGCGGACAACGATGACACTAGCAGTCTATCACCGAGTCAAGAGAAGACGGGGTTTTGTTTGCAGGCCTTTTTCAATGGAAATTCTGGGACGTGCCCTTCTCACCGCCAAATTTGCTCTAGTTGGTCAACAGCTCCTTCCATTGGGCGCAGCCCCGTTGTACGATTCAATCTCCCCCGTCGGTTCATGGGCCTCCCGGATGGCGACACTATCATCTTATCAGCCAATCATCTTCGGCTTTATAGCTACGAGTCAGGCTGCCCGAGTGGAATGATATTAATTGTGGTCTTGATCCATTGTCGGGTGACACTCTATTCAACCACTACAAAGCCACGGAATGGATCTCTGGACGACTAACGAGGAAAGGTTTCAATAGAGAGAGCAGAGACAAGCGCTACAGCACTGAACAACTTGATCAAGTCCAGTACTCCGCCCATGGCCATGCCCTCAGTAACTCATACTCATCCATCCAGCCCAAAAATGCAAATGTCATGTCATGCTTTTCGTCCGTCCTCCAAACGCCCTTCTTGCACTATGTCATATACCGTCACATCGTGCTCTCTTCGTCTAAGGAATGTCAAAAACCGGCTTGAGCTTCTTCAGCAATGCCCATTCATCCCGCGTCACCTCATCTCGGTAGAACTCCTTCAGCGTGTCGATTGACTTGCGAGAAATCAGAGAGTACAGAGTATCCTTGTCTTCCAGCTGTCGTCCGTACATGGGTTGATTGGGTCCTTCAATCTTGACTGCCACTGACGGCTGTCCCTTTTTGCAGACGGGGATGGCCTTGTGTTCGCGCTCGATGGATGATCTGTATCATTGTCAGTTTTTTTCTTTTCTCCGACGGAACACCGGATCACTTACACTCTGCCCAATGTAATGATTTCTTTCACGCCCGTTACCGGATTCGTCTTTACTACCGCAATCGGTGTCAATGGCCGCAGGCTGCCTTCCACAACGTCCACGCCCACCACAATGGGATCCTTCTTGTTGAAGACCTGGATAGGGCTGAGCACGCAGGGGAAGACAGCATGCATCTTGCTCTCTTCCTTCTTCTTTTCCCGCAATTCCTCCATGTGTTTTGTAAAGGCATCGAACAGGTGATAGATAATATCCGCGGTAAAGATCTTGATGCCGTTCTCGTCTGCGTACTGTTGTGCCTCTTTGTCGACCTTGACGTCGAAGCAAAGCATCACCGCGTATTCTTTCGCCTTCTCCAGCATGGTACCCGCCATCATGACGTCTCGCTTGTACACCGGCCCGATGGCGATATTTGCGACGGGGATCTTGCTCTGTTTCAAGAATTCCAGCAATGCCTCCAGAGAGCCCAGAGTAGAAGCCTGGACACTGACCCCTCGGTTGTCCTTGGATATCTTGCTGAGAAGGCTTTGCAGATCCGCCATGACGTCCTCCATCAAGTCTTCCTCGTCATCCTCGGGGCCGACCACGAGCAATCGAGAACCCGCAATGGCCTTTTCCAGGTCATTGGCTGCGATCTTGACACCTAGGGCTGCCTTGCATTCTTTGTTGTGCACATATTGCGACTTGAGGCGCAGTTCCTTGAGCGGAGCAGGTGTTAGAAGCGCCCGAATATTGGTGGCAATTGGCCCATCGGTGCCACAGAGCACAATCCGGTCCCCTTCGTGGAGGACTCCGTTCGACAGTACCACATCAATCGTGGTACCGAGGCCTTCAATCACTTTGACTTCAAGCACCGTACATTCCACCTCAGACAAGTACATCAAGCTGGTCGTCATCCGTTCCTGGGTCAACGACACCAGAAGCTTGAGCAGATCCGGAATGCCTTCGCCTGTGTGTGCGGAAGTTGGCACCAGTGAGACGTATCGGCGCATGTCCTTGTTTTCGTAGAAGACCTCGGAGTTGAATCCCTCCTTGGAAAAGGCAAGCTTGGTTTCGGCAAGTCGACTCTCAAACTCAGCCACTACTCCCTTGGACTGGAAAGCGAGACTGTCCTGGAAGCCATTGTTGTCGATCTTCTTCCAGCCATAGAGACGGTCAATCTTGTTGAGAGCCACGATAAACGGTGTCTTGCGGTCGCGAAGGAGTTTCATCGACTCCAATGTCTGTGGCTCCAAGCCGTGCATGATATCGACGACCAAGATGGCAATGTTGCAAAGCGAGGAACCGCGAGAGCGGAGGTTGGAGAAAGATTCGTGACCAGGAGTGTCGATGACCAACAGTCCAGGCACTTTGAACTCAAATTTGCCGTCTTTGTTGACAACAGCGGTCTTCTGTTTCAGAGCATCAACGGGGAAGTAAGTCGCACCGATCTGCTGTGTGATACCACCTGCTTCACCTTCTTGCACATTTGTTTGTCGAATTTTATCCAGGAGCTTCGTCTTGCCAGTGTCGACGTGACCCAGGATACAGCAGATAGGTGAACGAAGATTATCTTTGGACCGGGCAGCGAGCGCTTCTTCGTGAGCTTTTGCTCTTCTGGCAGCTGCTTCGGCTTTCTTCTTCGCCAGTGCTCGTTGCGTAGCTGTGCCTTCCTCTTCTGAGGATGACTCCTCGGATTCCGTGTCGGATTCGATAGGTCTCTCCTTTGGCGGGGGCCCTGAATCCCTCATTGGCAGGCTCGACGTTGTGGTTGACTTGGTCACGGCTCCATTGGTGGCGGTCGTGGGATGCGTCTTGGAAGCGCTTCCGTTTGCAGCTGCTTTGGGCGCACCTTCGGCTTCATCTTCTTCGTCACTGGACGCAGCATCCCAGCTCTCCTTTACGTCCTCATCGGCAGCCTTCTCCCAATCGTCAAGCTCGGAAGATTCTTCCTGCTTCGCAGCCTCTGCTTCTGCAGCAGCGGCGGCGGCGGCGGCTTCTTCGGCTTCCTTGGCTAGACGTTGGCGTTCTGCCTCGGCTGCCTCTGCCTCCTGTCTCGCTCTTTCAGCAGCAGCTTCGAGGTCAATTTCCTCCTTCTTCGGACCCTTTCGTTTCTTGTCGACCGCAGGTTTCTTCTTTTCTTCGATGCCTTCGGTCAAGCCTGCAACTTTGACGCCAGATTCAAGTAGTTGCTTAAGGCGAAGATCTTGTTGCTGCTTCCTCTTCCTGTCGGCTTCGGAGAGGAGTTTGCCTTCTTTCTTCAGTTGTTCTTTCTTCTCCTTTTCCTTTTCCTTCTTTCGTTGTCTCGCCTCGGCTTTCTTCTTCTCCTCTTCGGCTTCCTTTCTTAGGCGCTCTTCTTCAGCGGCTTTTTCCGCGGCTTCTATCCTGGCCTGTTCTTCTCGCTGTTTAGCAAGGGCTTCTTGCTGCTTTTGGATCGCAGCGAGATGTGCAGGGATCTTCCTTTTCTTGCCGGATTTGTCTTCTTTCTCTGGTGCGGCGACGGGAGCTTCGGCTTTTTCGGGCACGGCGGGCTTATCTTCCTCATCCTTGGGACCTGATGCCGGGGCGACAGCCTTTTTCTTCGCAGCCTGTTTTCCTGTTAGCCTTAAAGCAAACCTCGGTAGAGACGCCTTCGTTACCTGTTCTTTCTTTCTCTGCTTCTCACGTTCCTTCTTCTCACGTTCTTTCTCCTTCTTTGACTTCACTCCACCACCATCGCCAGCGTCTTCACCATCCTCCGTGGGAGCAGGGGGCTCGTCCTTGTCTTGCTGCTTCTTGCCTCCTTTAGCCTTCTTATGTGCATTGCCGGCAAAGACGTCATCGTCATCGCCAAACGTCGCCTCAGTCGGTGCTTTCGCATCCAGGTCGTTCTCGGGCTGGGCTGGGGCTACACCATCTGCATCTTCACCTTCGACAAAGTCATTGATGACGGGTTTGCCTTTCTTTGCACGCTTATCTTTGTTCTTGCGCAGAGCCGCCATCAATCCACCACCGCCGCCGTTCATCTCTTCCGCAGCATCATTCTCTGTCTCTGCCTTCTTTGCATCTTCGGTGGCCTGAGCGATCGGGTCGACAGTCTCACCGAGCTCGTTCTCCCAATCGTCGGCCTGCTTCTTGCCGCCCTTCTTTTTAGGCGCCATTGTAATGCTGGTTGTGTTGGGGGATGGGTCTTAAGGATATGAAGCGTTCACGGTTTAGAGGCGGCGACATAAAGTCGTGTGCAGGTTTTGTCAAGGTAGGCGGGGAGGCTCTTCAGTGAATGGTGGCGTAGAAGCGTAGAAGCGTAGAAGCGAAAGATGGCTATTGGCCCCAAGGGATTGGGTCTTTTTGGTTCTTTGCCACAATATCTAACGAAGACCGGTAAGTGGAAACCGGATTTAACAGGTTGTGAATACTGGGTGTGATGGTAACTAAGGTGACAAAGAAGCAGAAGGGAATGGTAGTGGGGCAGTGAGAGGAAAATAAAAGTGACGTTCAGCAGTTGACGGAACAGTGTGGGCGGAGTTTCGGCAACGCTGCCTGGCTTGGCACTCATCGTGAGAAGGCAGCCTTGTCACTCTCACCTCCGTCCTGCGTGAGGAGTTCACGTGCTGGTAGATGTAGAGAGAGCACCCAGGACGACGGCCGAAGCAAGACACTATTCACTCGGGAGTTTTCAGCAAGACTATCAGTCTTGTCATTCTTCAATTCAAGAGGCAAAACACTCGTCCCAATCCCGTGACGGCATTGTCCTGTCCGCTAGGTTGAATAAAAGGCACCAGAGAGCTTGATGGCTATGAGTGCCTAGTAGTCCCTCTTCCGCACGAGGTCCATCCATGTCCATCCATCAAGATCGTGGTGGGTATGTCATAAACTTCCGTATCCAAGCAATCACAGCGTCCACAGGCTGCTCCGTCTCCCCCAAGGTCTCCTTTACCAAAGCATTGAAGCTATCCATTCTGTCTGATCCTCGGAGAACATTTCGAAGGTTGTATGGCCCTTGCTCAATCATGACGAGCAGGCGGTCTCCTTGGACATGCATATCCTTCGGTCTAAAAGCCGGAGGCTTCCAGAGATATGCTTTGTTGTCCACGTCTCTCTTCTTGAGGGGCACGGCTTTGATGGGTTTCCTGGCCATGTAGCTCATTTCCTCTATGAAGTGAAGCAATTTCCACTCAGTGTGATTCAGGAGTGCAAAATGGAATATTGTACCATCGAGCGTGCAGCCGTAGAAGCGCGTTCGATCAGTCTTTCGAGGGCCTTGTGACGTATCCAGACGAAAGCGGTGGATGTGGCCCGGAACTGTTGCGTGGAAGGCTGGAGCTGCTTCGGTAGTGTCCTTGTTCAACCCCGTGAAGCCAATGATATCCGTACCTCCTACATCGGCAGAGGCGAAGACAGCGGTGGAACCATCAGAGACCGCAATGTCTTTGGCATATCTCATTTTGGTGTCACACTTATGGTGGTGCAATGCGTTGTTCTTCTCCACGAGAACAAACAACGAGTGTTGTTGGGTGGCAACGCAGATGAGCGAGCCCTGACAGGATATGGCATTCGCATACGACGGAAGAGCGAACCTTGCCAACGTCTTCCACCGGCGTGTGGACCAATCCAGATGATGTAAGATGATTTCTCTTCCGGCTGCAATCAAGAGAGATGACATCTTGTACGCACATATGGCCGTGATGGGTTCCCGGCTGCTAAAAGCAAGTTTAGGCGTGGCATCTGGTTTGCCCTTACCCAAGCTTTTGGCATTGACACAGACAACTCGACCAGGTCCTCGCACGCCCGGCGTTGTGCTCAACTGCTCCAGAGCGAGCACCAGCCATTCGTAGTGATTGTGACCGTCTGTCGGTGCCCAATCAATGAGATCATGGATAATATCGCTGTCATCTCCAGTCACGATGGTTGAAAAGGTGGCGTACTCAGGATCCTTCGATTTGGGATATTGCAAGTTGGGAGTGATGAGTTGTAGCCCAGCTCTTTGCACCTTATCTGACGGCTGGTCGGAAGTGTCCTTTTCACCCTCGGGCAGAGGTATACCGGTGTGCCTTCTGACTCGGATTTCCGTAGGATCGCCCTCTCGAGAGAAGGCAACCACAAACTTCTGAAGAAACCTCGAGTAGATTATACGCTTGGGAATGCCTTTCAGGTTCAGGTGCCTTGCAATTCCGTGTTCCTGAGCAATCACGGAACAGAAGACCAAATCCTCTTCGACAGCACACATTAGGAAGCCCCCAGGCTGTTCATCTCCTGACATAAGCTTCGGGATCCGGTGTACTGCATTGATCAGCGGCCGGAGTGAGGGCTAATCATATATTAGCGTAGCACCAAGTATAGACAAAACGAGACGTACTTTAGTTCGATCTGTCACCCACAAAGGAGACATTGTATAGTCGACTACGGCAGAATTAGGATGGAGCGTGATCCGGTGAAGCATGTATTCGCAAAGCACGAGCGCAGATGGGTCCTGCGGGCTGCCAGGCTGACTCTTCTCCTCGACAATCTGTACAGGAGTTGCCCCAACGCGGTAGATGTCATCACATTTCAGGGCTATGAAGTTGTCAGGACCGAGGAAGTATGTCAAACACCTGCGTTTCATACCTGTTTTCGAGACATCTTCACCATCCACCCTAAGTTCCAAGCACATAATAGTGCCCGAACGGAGGCCACACAAAAGCAGGATTGGGCCGGCGGTGTTCTGCTTTAGCGCGACCAGGGAAGACACTGCGACATTCTCGACTTTCGCACTGAGATCTTGGACTCGAAATTCGAAGGCAAGCCCTAGTGTGTCAGTATAGCCTAAGATCTCTCCAGTTGATGTACCGATCAGAACTAGCTGCGTGGTGCGTATCTGGACGCAGCAAATCACATTGGGAATGTATCTCATTGCCACAGGCGGGCGGGATGTAAAGCGAAGTGCTCCGCCCTCTGAAGTGTCGGTGTCGATTACACGGAGTTCATAACCCGAACTGACACGGCTGGTGGTGGCAATGGCTTGGTCACCGGTGAAGAAGCCCGCATGTGCGATGCGTGACCTGAGGTGGCCCAATTCTTCAACTTCTCTGTCAGCCTCGATAAGTATGGCGTGCACACCATGGGTAGTCACCTGTACAACTGTGTCTCGATTGATAACTGTTGCAGCAAGCGTGGGATGGTCAAAATCAAACCCGGGGTGGCTCTCCGTATTAGTGTGGGAGACGTCCTGAGTTTCTAACTCGAACACGACCATCGAAGAGTTCGTTGTATGAGAGACCATCAGCAGCAGTTCGTTTGCACCCGGTATCTCCAAGCTGAACAGCCGCTCAGACAGAGCAGCCTCTGGGAATGAGATTTCCCAACCAATTTGGGCTTCCAAGCCGTAGCGAATTTCTGACACTTGACCATACCTATCACAAGGACCTGAACAGGCATAGAGCCTCCCTGGCGTGCCTTGCCACATAGCAGGGTCTTGAGAGTCGACGGCTATCGGAGGTCCAAGGGCGATATCATTCAGTGGAGCAAGTATTTCGATACGCTGAACGCGTTCCGGCGACCCTCGGGCGGATACATGGAAGACACCTCCGTCAGTCAAGCTGCCACCCACTATGATGATATCACCACCTGTGGTGGGAGGGCCGGAGAGCATGCAGAATGCCGTGTCAACGCTGAAACCGAGATGGCCAATAGTGTTGTTGGTGCTGAACTTTGTGCTGGACGTTTTGTCGATTAGAAAGTTCTTCAGGAGTCCGTCTTCTCGCAGAATGACAATATCGTCGCATCGTTCGAGGTACTGGCTGTGGCGTCTAGGTCTGACCCATTGCACCCACTCCAGATTCGTGTTTATATTGTCCAGGCATCGACAGTAGACTCGCTTCATTTGAGATGATTGGACATTCTCGTAGTAGCTGATCCCAGCCGCCATGACAACAATGTACGAAAAAGCCCGCGTTGACGGGATCAGCATCAAGGGCAACTGGTCTTCTCTCAATTTGCGCCCACTACATGACATTGGCTGGATTGTCTGGAGTGGTTGGCGAGTGTCCCATTTATATAGGTATTGATGCGTTCCGGGCTCCGCATCTCCAGAGTAAACCAGCAGGAGCAGGACGACCTTTGTGGGATCGCCCTCAGGGCTGCGTAAGAAAGACATCATCAAAATCTTGCCAGCCACTTGGATGAAACGTTGCTGTGACGGTTAGTTCTGGCACACGTCGGTGAGGCCAGTCACACATACCTCTTCTGAGGGACGGAATGAGGCGGGATCGAGAGGATCCCAGGTATCAATCTCCGCCCTGATCTCATCCACACAACGTAGTTTGAAGAGTCCAAAGTAGCCTGAAGGCGAAGCAACGGCAAGGGCACGGGATCTGAGACATCAATTAGCGAGCAATGCATCTGAGATGGAGGTCATTGACTATGCATACTCTGGATCAATAGCGAGGTCTCGACACTCTCTTGAGGGCAGGTCTACACCTCCTAGGAAGGGCCGTTTTGCAAAGACGAGTTTGACGTCTCCAACGGCGTCCTTGTGTGCATAGACGTAGATCAACTCATTGTCTTTTGTGATGAGGACAAGGATCTGTGGCGGCTCCGAATCACCGACAGGTTGACCGCGAATACTGAACAACTCTTGGTCCCGCTCTTGCTTCAGTATGGCATCCACAATTGGAACAGACTTCAACTCGGCAGAGATTATTTTGGCATCAGTAATTGTGGTACCAAAGTCGAGCTTTGCGGTCACGACAACCAATTGTCCACTGTCTTTGAACTCGTGGAGCTGGACGAAGGTTGGTCCAACGAAGACGACGTCGTTGTTTGAAGGCGAGCGAATACGCGCAGGGAGGATCCATCTGATGCTGGAGCTCGAGCCGAGAGTCCTTGACAGAATGCCAACTCGGTCTTGAATGGCAAGTCGATCTTGATTGGGAACTTGATCTGGCATGGCAACTCGGCGAGGATCATGCCCGCTGATCAGGTCCCACGGCTGATGGGGGCTCCCAGAGGCCATCGTAGACGACGGGCGACGGCTGGCGGGAGTGGGAGAACAGACAGAAGCAGATTTTGAGTGGAACAGAACGAGATGGTGATTGTGATGAGAAGGCAGGACAGGTTTTCGGATGAGTTATTGAAAGAAGAGGCTGAAGAAGCGAGACGAGGGGAAACGAGGGCGACAGGCTGAGGTTGATATACCCCGTAATGTGCGGTTCTCTCTCTGTGTGTGAACCGCCCCCGCGCCCTGGCTTGACTTGGATCTGGTAGGGTCCTTCCCTCTTCCTCTCACCCTCTCTCTCTCTCACAATATCAGGAGTGTCCAGAAAGAGACATCTTGCGCGGACAGAGAAATGCAGCGGTCAGAATACGGGGTTGGTGGTTCAGGATGTCGAAGGACAGCAGCGAATCTGGCCTTGCGCCCGACTGGATCGCCATCTGTTCATCCAACATGGGGGTCTGCATGCGATGCGTCCAAACAGTTCGGCTGGATGTGAAATCAACCTGTCATTCGAGACCTTGAGGAGGATGTCGGCGAACACAAGCAAATATGCAGGGCTTGGAGACGACAGCAGATTCTGCAGCCTGGAAGTGGTCGCTGCCGCTGCTTTTCCTTCCCCACCTCCGCAGCTTCTTGGTTGCTTGTCATTCCAATCGCCCTCCTCCACCTGGGATTCACCTTCATTCTCACTTCACGCATTCATCCAACACCGCCCACCAATTTCCCAAAGACGGCTGACGAGACCTGTGAGCCCTGACACTCTCCGTTTGCCCCCCCTCCTCCGAACAATCCTGGTCGCGATGAAAACCAAGGACGGTTGCTTGGGTCTGGGTGTGGACAAAGTTGACATCTGACAGGGGTCAAACCGGCCGCTTTGTGCGACCTGTCACATTATCAACCACCACCCGCGTCAAATTCCATCCCCATGCACCTCTTGACAGCCTGGAGGTGACACGGCCATTGTCTGCTGTCGGCCTGTTTCAATCTGGACCCAAAGAGCGGCGTGCACTAGCCCGTCTGCGCCCACGCCGTCGCTTAAAACCCACGGTTCGCAACACACGCAGATGGCGATCGTCCGATCAAGCTAAACAAGGCACAATGCATCGCGGCGCCGACACCGTGGGTGCAGCTGTCAATCAGAAGCAACTGACAGCTTCCATGGCTTCTTCTGAAAAGGCCCCTCTAGCCGACCAGGAAGGTCCTGCAAAGCCCGAATCGATCCGGGAAGCTTGTCGACAGGGGGACTTCGACGCCCTGGTCAAGCTTGCAACCTCAACTGGCGGTCTTTTGACCGACGAATTGCGCCGGCAAGCTTGTATGCCCCCCCTTGTCCACCAATAGTTCGATACACCCCGTGGCACTTGGAACTGACGCATGAACTTGGAAGGGCCAATTCTATTGGGTTGCACACCTGAAAGCACAACACGGGCCCAGCCAGAGCACTCAAATCAGCTCCAGTGGAGATCGCTGCCTCGTCACCCGGACGAGGATCAAGTACAACTCGATGTTGATCGTGCCTTTGTATACTACCCTAAAGGTTTGCGCCACCTCCCCCTCCGACAACAGTGTGACACTGGTCTGAATGCACCTAGATGAATCTGAACAGTCGCTCGAGCAAAAGAAGGGAGAACTCTTCGAGTTGATTGTATCGACTTTGAGGAGCTATCCAATCCTCTCTTATTTCCAGAGTTACCATGATGTCGTACAAGTGCTCCTCCTTGTGTTGGGAAAACATCAGGCTATGCCTGCTGTTCCACGAATCTCTCTGCTGCGCCTTCGCGACTACATGCTGCCGACAATCACACCTGCGACGAGACATTTCGAGCTTGTATCGGCTGTTGTGATGGCCGCCGACCCCGAACTGGCTAATCACATTGCTCAGGCCGAGAATATCTTTGCCTTGTCGGCAACCCATTCCCTGTTTGCACACGATATTTACGACTATGGCGACATTGCCAGGCTGTACGATTTCTTGCTTGCGCATGAGCCAATCATGAGCATCTATTTGTTTGCGGCGGTTACAATATCGAGGCGATCGGAGTTGCTCGAGATGCCCGCGGATCAGTCCGATATCCTCACCTTTGTCATATCCAAGCTACCCCAGACTTTCGACATTGATGCACGGATCCAGGATGCTGTGACTTTGTTTCGCCATCATCCGCCTCAACAACTGCCTGGCTTCATCTGGTGGCGCCTATCCCGTTACAGCGTCCTCAAAACATCACGCTGCATCACCCCGCCTCAGAGCTTGGAAGAGGCCAAGACCTTTTGCCAGAAGCAGATCCAGCAACTCGACAGCCATGAACTGATGCGAAAGAGAGCACTGTTACTTTACAAATATAGGAAATCTGCCGCATCGATGACTGCTGTAATCTTGGTGGGAGTCTTCTCGATCTGGTTGCGAAAGACGGGCCACGACAGGATCTTGTGGTCCATGCTATCGACGGCGTCTACGTTCTTTTCGACCCTTCGATAGACTGTCCCACCGGATCGATACGCGGGAGAAAGGCATGTATCCGAGCTTACACTGACTAAAGCGGATTGGCGCCCAAAAGTTAGGCTCTTCCATAAACCAGGGAATAAATCTGCTTCGATGCATTGTTCTACCATTTAAGGCGTCAAATGCTTGGAACCGGAAGACAACCATCCTTTACCCAAGCTGCAGCCAACTGCGCCATCCACCCTTGCTGCATGACCATCACACAACCCCACTTGAACCATTCTTGACGCCGCTCAACCTTCTGTTATCAATTCTTGCAATATGCGCTACATGCCGACGTGGACTGGGATGAAGTCAGCAAAAGTGACGTCCGTTGGTGTGTTGAGGACATACCTTTGGCAACCCTTTACTCCCTCTCTGGCCATCCAATAACAAGCGAAAGCCATCCGGACCGATGTCGCTGGGTAGGTGCCGGGTGGGTGCCGGTATGCAAGAGGCATACCGGCACCCAAAGTCAGAATCCCAGGTTGTCTTGGCCCAGTCAGCCTTTTGCATTACAAACGTAATGCAGGCTGCTGGGACCACGAAATATAAATTCCGGCCCTCGGATACGTTTTTCTCTCATCATCACTTCTTTTGACTGACCCCCCGACCCACCAAAGTTCAGATTGAAACACGGAATCTTCATCATTGGGCATGAGTGCCTGCGGGCAGTGACAGAGAGAGGGTACTTGAGGGCTGTGAGGCGATTTCTTGAGGCTGTGACATGGAAGGGAAAGTTGCAGGCACTCATAGAGCGAGCGATGTCCGAAGAATGATGAGCTTCGAGTATGATATCCAGTTGGATACATCTAACTTCAGACTTTCAGCCGCGACAGGATGGCAGAAGTGATCGTCGTTTGGCGGGCTTGGAAGACATCATGAGCCTCCGCACGGTTAGCAGAGGTTCTCAAGCCTGATGAAACATCCAAGGCTTACCTGTCTCGTCTGGGCACAAGCTCTCGTTGAAAGGTACAAAGCACTCCTATGAACAATAGGAGCAAGCGATGGCAAGTTTAAGACATGAGGGAAAGAAACCTGGTAGAGTGCGTGGAAGCAATCAGACCTGTTGATGGGGACACAGAAGAAAGGAGGAAGAAGAAGAGAACTGTCAAATGCATGGAGGGTAGAAAAGAAGAAGGCGAGGTGGGAGGTGTCTTCCTTGACGTACAGCTACTGCTCTCTGGACAGGCATGACGTGGAAGATGAAGCAAGGAAAACCAGGTACGTGAAGATGTATCAAGTCTACTGAAGCAAGCACTATTGACACTGCATTCGACATGACGGGATTTCGGCTGAAGCAAATCGAGTCGAGCACGACTGGCGGGCTTCCTGGAAGCGAATATACCTCAATATTACATTGTACGGGGACATGCCAGCAGGAGATTCCTGCCTCAGAGGTCATCTCTTCTAGCCGACGTGCTACAAGTCAGCGAATTCGTGCAGAGGCTAGTCTGGTACAAGATGATGCCTGGATCTACAACTGTTGAAACATTCCTCACAAAGGGACCGAATAGAACACTGGCATAAGCTGCAAAGTTGTGCGATGGAGAATCGCAACTACTCGACGGGATGCGTGTTGACACCTAATATGGGTGCTTCAAGGTGTCATGATATGCATCCTCTTCATAGAAGCAGCATGAACAAGGCATAAGAACAGGGAGACAATACATCACTTACATCTACCAATGTCCTCTTCGGGGGGATTAAATCAGTTTGTAATGACGATACTGTGGTCTCCAATTTGGACCACCGCGGGCAGTAATTACAAGCAGTTCTTTTTAATATGGGCTAACATCTCCAAATCGCCTACTCGGACAGGCAACGTGTTTTGCACTTCGTCCACTTTCAGCACCAGCCACGTCCTCAGGCGCCCACCAACACTCGTCGCTCAAGATGGCAAACAGAGGATACGATGTCGTTGTCGACGTCGACACAGAAGTATGGCTCGCTCTCCGCCCTGTCGTCTTCTCGCTCCGTGGGCCGAAAAGGGCGCACAGATTCGAAGCATGCGGGAAACTGACATCGACCAGGGCGACCTAGGCCACACCGACCTCCAAGACGACGACCTAGAATTCCACTCATCAAGTACGTCGCCCGCGGCATCACACTTTTGGATTCACTGTCGAAGTGCGTACTAATTCGCGGGGCTCGCCGAGTAGACTTCGAGTCGAGTTCCTCGAGCCGCAAAGTCCAGCCCGACACTCCCTTCCTCTCGAGCTCCACCAACCCAGCCAACCTGCCCAACGACCCCTCGTCCATGCCGCAGAAACACATGCTCTGGTCGCTGTCCTTCTACGCGCAGTTCTTCGACGTCGACACCTCCACCGTGCTGCATCGGTGTCGCTCCGCCATCCTCCCCTTCATCCCCAACACGCCCCCGTTCCTCGACATCATGGACGGCAACCCGGACCTGTACGGCCCATTTTGGATCGCGACGACCGTGGTGGTAATTCTGTTCCTCACGGGGACGATAAGCCACAAGCTGGCGACGGAAGGGAAAAAGCACTTCGAGTATGACTTTAAACTGCTCAGCGGCGCCGCGGGCCTGATCTACGGATATACGCTCTTCATCCCCCTGGGTCTCTGGGGGGCGCTCCGCTGGTTCGGTGCTCAGTCTCTCGAGCTGGTGGAATGCTGGGCGCTCTACGGGTACAGTAATCTATTCTGGATCGCCGTGGCGTTGGTGTCGTGGTCGCCACTGAATGGACTCAACTACGCCCTCGTGGGGCTGGGCTATGCGGTCAGCGTGTTCTTCTTGGTCAAGAACCTGTATCCCGTGATCAGTGCGACGGAGAAGAAGATCAGTCAGGTTTTGCTGCTGGCCGTGGTGTTGCTGCATGCCGGCCTGGCCATCGCCATCAAGATCTTGTTTTTCAGCCACAAGAGTCCGGCGAAGGATGATGACAGCAAGATGTTGTTCTAGCCCTGCTTTTTTCCATGGCATTGGAGGCGGTCATCAAGGACTTGGAAGGCATGCTAACGGCCACGTGGGTTATAATGGTACATGTATCAACAAGAGGACACAGGAAACGGGCACGAGTCACTCCTCTGGGTTAGAGTGACTATCAATGATGATAAAATGTCCGCCAGACTCGAGTTCACCGCCAAAATTACATTGGCTTCTTCATACTATTGTCTGGCTCTGCCGTAGCAATCCGTATAGACTCCGAGCATGGGAGTTAACATGCATTGAAAATAGCTGCATTGACGATATCTAGCCTGTCCAGCTCGTGGCAACCTTTCCGTGTTCACGAAGCTGCTGCTGCATTTTTTCTACCATGCATCACTCCGAAAAGCACAGCCACAGACTCTTGCGGTGTTGCTCCCGCACTTGCTGCACCGTTCACCACCACACTTCCGCTGTGCCCGAAGTCCATCTCGCGCGAAACCGGCCACCCCACCAAAAATACACAACTCCCCTGTGCGCAGACCACTACTTGATCTTCTTCTTTGGTCGGAGCTGGTTGGAGTGCCCGCACTTCTTCTTGCGGCAGTTGGTGGCTCGCGGGGGCAGACGGGCGTAGCACTTTCGGCAGATCATCTTCTCGCAGTTGTACTTCGAGGCGAGGGCCTTGAGGGAGGGTTCGATGATACCGCCTCGGAGACGGAGGACGAGGTGCAGGGTGGATTCCTACATTTCAACAAAAATTAACGCCGGTCAGCGGGCTCAATTCGCTCAAAAGCAGAAGAGAGAGGGGTTGTTGTCGCCTCCTTGTAGCCGCGGGCTGGGGGAAAAGGATTTGTGGTATGTACCTTCTGGATGTTGTAGTCGCTCAGAGTTCGGCCATCTTCAAGTTGCTTGCCGGCGAAGATCAATCGCTGCTGGTCGGGCGGGATGCCTTCCTTGTCTTGGATCTTGGACTTGACGTTGTCGATCGTGTCGGACGACTCGACCTCAAGGGTGATGGTCTTGCCCGTGAGGGTCTTGACGAAGCTGTCGTGCGAAAAAGGATCTCGTCAGTACCTCATGCTCTTCCCACAGTTTTCCTTAAATTCCCGCAGCGTTCGAGTGACGACGAATATTTTGAAGGGTCGTTCGAAATAGACCGAGGATTCAGGAAACTTACATCTGCACTAAGATGAAGTCAGTAAAATGAGCGAGCTTCTTCCAAATATGCGAGTCGCAACTTACTCTTGTCAAGATCTTCTGGTCACTGGCAATATTGGTTGATGTGTAGCAGCAGTGATATCGAAAAGCGAGGGGTGGCAAGCAGCTTTGATTGTGGACGCAGATTTGGCGCCAAGACTGACCGGACCCAGAAGGGAAGGTGGAGCGGATGAGGCCTTCAGCCTTGCCAGCCTTGTCTAGAAACGGAACATTTGGACGAAGCGCATGGGATTAGTTTGAGTATCGGTACGAGCAGCAAGAAGGAGTTGAGAGAGTCTTGTGAATCTTCGAAGGAAGGGCAGGTCGGATGATCGGATTCTAGATGTGGTTGGCAGTGTGTAGGACAATTTTAAGCAAGAAGAGTGTTCTTTTGAATGCTGGAACTCTGGGGTAAAGGAGAACCATCCGGATCATTGGAAGTGTGGATGGAAGAATGGATTATTGTTCGATGTGATCTGCACCCTATACTTGCTTTCAATATCCTTCATAAGGTTCCTCTATGTATCTCCTCGCTTAGTCCACTGGTTCTTCTTCTAACATCAACTTGAAACTGAAAGGTTCAAATGTCACACCCTCCCCAATGAAGTGTTTACTCATCGCTTCTACCCAGTGCAACCTGAGACTGTGCAACATAGCACTCGTCCCTTCCATAACACACAAGACAGCAATAGTTAACACAAACCAGAAGTAAAAGGTGACAACGACCATGATGACCTGTGCCGGGCCAGAAGAGACCCCGAAAGCATTTCCCAGTGTCATATTCCACAGCACAACCGAGAGTTGTTGATGAGCAAGAGAGAGGGCCCAGAGTCGAAGATACGAAGCGGTATGGGAGACGCAGTTTAGACAGAACTCGATCGTATCTGGTCACCAGCGCGTCAGAGTTTGTCGTCGAAAAGGGTTGAAAACAGGCAGAGTGGGAGGTACTTACGAATAGTCTGATGGATCATGACTTCTGAGAACTCGAATTCTTCTTCTTCCTCCTCTCCGATATTTTCGGTGATCATTGCACCTTCGTCATCATCCTCACTCGGCCGGCCATTCATACGCCGTTCGTTGGCGTTGGCATTCTCCTCATCGTCATCATCTAGATCTGTTGCATGCGTGACGCGACTGGTGTCGCCGATGCCGCGGTATCCTTGAGCAGCCGTCTTCTGGTGTTGCCAGCGCAGGCATAGAGGCTTGAAAAGCAGAAGAATAGGCACATTGATGACAGCAATCAAAAGCAGGAATACTTGCACGCCTGCTTGACCTGAGTAAAGCTGTTCGCTTTCTTCTACGTTCCCGGGCGACAGGAACATCTGAATCAACATGTTGAGCAGGGATGGTGGGTTCCGACCTTCAGCCGGCCAGTCGATGGACCATTTGTAAATGATGCAGAAAGAGAGGTATCCGAAGATAGCTTGGAAGAATACCATCCCCGGCACAAAATTACCCCAGATATCGACCCAAGATTTGAAGTGTCGGGCGTTGACATATGAGAAGCATAGAGCGTAGGTCATGTGGGCCCAACCCATGAGGATTGACAGCTTCATTTTCAGACTGTTGCTGAAGAGCAAGTCATTCTCGGAGCCGTGCCATGCCCAATCCAAACCGAATGGATACCGATAACTACCCTTGAGATGAGCGGTAACTTCTGGACGGCCCTCTTCAGGGAATTCCCAGGCGGAGGCGAAAGGAGTAAAGCCTTTTGAAAAGACATCGTTATAGATGAGACCGGTATACATGGAGAAGATCCCCATCATCAACATGATGTAGCGACCATAGAATGCCATCGCGAACAGTTCATCCTGCTTGGATCGAGCTAATGGCTTTTCCCAATAGATCATTGCCGCGGCGGCCATGGCCATCAAGCATCCGTGTCCAAAGTCACCGAACATGACAGCGAACAGGAACGGGAACGTAACGATGGTGTAAAGGCCAGGATTGACTTCCTGGTATTTGGCAGTTCCATAGGCATTAATGATGGTTTGAAAGCCTTCAGTAAACTTATTAGTCTTGTTGTAAGTAGGTGGAGTCCTGTTGGTCTTGATCTGATTCACAATGGTTGGCACCGACAATCCAGCCTGATCGTTGACGTCTTGTAGGGTGCGTCGAATCTGCGGCAGAGTATTGGTGGGGCACCAAGCTTCCGCAATCAAGGTCTTTCTAGCTTGATCGTAAGAGCACATGTTCAAGGCATTGTAGACGGCCTTCTCTTTCTTGATGACAATCATCCAAGCAGCGAGAGAGCGGGCAATGGCACTCAGTTCCGCATCAAGGGTGTTTTTGGTGTTCCGGAGGACACTGGCAAGGTCACTGAGGCGGGTGTTGACTTCGTGAATCTGGTCCCTGCGGACATCACTGTTCTCATCGACGTTGTAGAGGTCTGCCCCCAGAGATTCTGAAATCTTTCTGATCTTCGCAATGATTTCCTTGCCGTGAGCGAAGATCACAAAGACGTTCTTCTGTATCTCCTCGTTGTTCTCCGGGTTGATGATGGGCTCTGGAATTTCAGACTGATTCATGTACAGATTGCCACGGAGGGTTCTCCACAGGATACGTTCAAATGCAGGGAGTCGCTCACGGGGGATGACTCCAGAGACAAAGCCAATGTTCATGACAGCAAAGCTCTGCTGCTGTTGTTGAGTGGCATCGCCGTTAGCTCTGCCTTCCTCAGCCTCTGTATTCCGAAGCAAAGGCGCGTCATCTTCATCAAGACTTGCGCGGATATCTTCTGTTTGTCCATGGGCTCTGTCAAAGAAACCTCCGGCCTCCTTAAGAACCCATCGCCATTCGGTCAACTCGACCTCCCTCTTCTTGAGTGTTTCATAGCTTTCATTCAAGCTGCTGATACGTTGTTCCAGGCTCTCTGCACGTTCCACAAGGGCATCAATCTCACTGGCCTGCGGGACTGCAAGCATATTCTCGTCGAAGTCCCAATGGCTCTTCATCTCGATCTGAGATTTGTCCATCTGCGCCTTGAAATAACGGAACTGGCGTTCGACATTGTCTAGTCGGCGGATCTCTTTGGTAAAGGTGCGTTGGAAGGCAGTCGTCTCAGCGTTCAAATCGCGGAATTGGACAACGCCAACTTCACCCAGGGCAGAGACGACTTCGCGACCGATTTCGTTGGAGATGTAGAGCTGGGTCAAGGACATGCTCGCCGAGCGGAAGAGGGTGTCTTTATGGGCCATGCTGGGCGGGTTTTGAGAGAGAATCAGGCCGCCCAGGCCGCGATGTAGGAGGATTCGAAAGAAGAAACGCACCAGAGAGCGTCGGATGCTCGCTGTAGCACGTTGATAGCTTTGGAAGATAAAAGTCGAAGCCTGGTTCCTACGGGGAGAAGCACCTTGGTGATGGCATCGCAGCTCAGTCCCTGTCTTGGCACGCTAGCCGCTTAAAGGTTCTTCCTGTCACTACGGGTGAGCAGTTGAGCTTCAACCGCAGACCAAGGGCGAGTTTGATAAACAGAGCCGTGCTTCAAACTCGAGACTCCAGCAATATGCCGGTGGCGGATAGCAGTCATGAATTGCTGTTCATATCAGGCATCGAGGGATTTTCTAAGTTCCCCGATGCAAACCAATTAAGCTCTTCTTCGCCCTTCCTTCGCCCCATTCACTCTCCAAACATGACCAAAAAGACACATCCTTTCACACTTCTCCTGCCTGTCCAACCAATTCTGTCTAGAGTAGAAGGACGGCCGCAAGCCATATCATGAGTCCTTGTCCTGAGAGAGCACAATCGTTATCCCTGAGGCGTAATTACACATTGGATGAAGGTACCGAGAGTCCACCAGAAGAAACTTCCGACTGAAACAGACGACAACGCCACTGTGACCGGGTAATGTGCCCTTTAGACAAAACGCCAACGCTATGCTCGAATCACAAAGAAGTTTCGCGAATTCATTCTAAAGGTTAGTGCAAAAGCTAAGCGAAATAGCTCTTCCATAACACCCCAGAGAGGTCTTCAATTTGTTCTGGTTTGAATGCCTGCCAATAGTCAGTTCGGTGTGGATGGACGTCTGTTCGCAGCACGTACCTTAACATCTATATGCCAAGTATCTTGCCTCGTCTTCTTGAAGTCGCTTATGATGCTCTTGACGCTGTTGCCAACAGTTGCTGGATCATTCGCCGCTTTGCTGCTCAACGTGACTAAAACATCTGGCATCCAGGCCGGCGGTGGGCTTGAATAAGGAAAGGCCTGGATCAAAGAGCCCAGACCGAGCACCGCCGCATGGCGAACGATGACCAGCCGCTGTGCTTCGGGAGTAGGTGTGTTAGTCCCTGAAGTCCGCGCCGATGACAGCCCGGCTAGTTGACCCTTCGGTTTCTTCGGGAGGGGGTTGTCGATGAGCATCTGTGTGCATCGATCCCGCAGCTGGATGATCATCCTCTCTCGCAGCTCTAGCGGCGAGCATCGAATCATTCCTGATAGGGTCGTGGCTGCACCTGCACGGACCTCGTGCTGTGTATCTTCGAGCATATCCGCCACGCAGTTGAATAGCTTCTGCTTACTCTCCTCGGACAACAAGAACAGACGTCTGAAAAAGAGAATCTGCATATTGATCATTACACGCAGACGCTGGTGCCATGACGGAGATGTCCTTCCGATGCGGATCAATGACTCGATCAACGCTTGATCCTCTCCTATTCGATGAGGAATGTTCGGCAAATGTAGAAAGACATGGTAAGCCAAAGATTGCAAATCAGGATCCTCCTTGACGTCCATCATGTGCAGGAATTGTTCGGTGAACAGGTTGGGGAAGTACTTCAACAACTGAGTGCACTCATATGAAGAGAGCATGGAGTCAAGCCACAATAGTATCGTTTTACTGCCGGACGTATAAGCGGAAGGGGTCTGTTGACCGGGTGTGCGTTCATGCCGCCACTTGTCCAAGCGCTCGAAAATCTCGCGCATGGTCTCGTCAAAGTCCTGCGTTGGCAGATACGGCTGAGTCCCGATGGGACCTGCCTGTCTCTGGGCTTCGAGGAGTTCCTTGACGTCCTTGTACGACTCATGGTATCGAGTGCGGGTAATAGCAGCAAGAGTTTGAGCCATAGCCTCGCGAACACCCTTGTATGGATGGTCAATGTGGGCTAGGAAGTTCTCCATGATGGGTTTCTCAAGCTGGAAACGCCACCCAGCGTCTAGGATCACTTCATGGAGCAGATGTATCTTTGAACTTTCCTTGAAAGCAGCGTTGGATCCCATGTCAAGGCGGAAGCTGGTCAGCCACTCCACCAGCGGCCACGCCCTCCGAGGGTCTCGGCCCTGAAGAATCACGTAGAGGAAAGTTTTCCAGTAGCCGGAATTCTCTGGGGTCAAGCCGTCTGAAAAGACTCGCTGAATTATAGGGAACGCGAATTCCCATACCATGGTCCTGCGCTCAACAGAATGATCCATGACCGACGTGACCAACCCACCAAGGATCTCTGCCGTAGCACGATGTTGATGCTTGTCGCTGCCGTCGTCAAGAACGGCTAGTGTTTCTTCTTTGATGTCTTCAAATGTTGCCACAGCTAGGCCGTCTCTGATAATCAGTTCGAAGACATAAACCAACATCGTGACATTGGCCATGCGGAACCTATCCGCCGATTGGTCTCGAGGCTCCTGTTTCAGGTATTTGAAAAGGGTGACAAACCATTCTCGATCAAGATGTTTGCCGATGACGGTTCGTTTCTTCCATTCGAGTTCATCATAGATGATGTCGGTCTGCACGCTAGCTTTGTACCCAGGTATGTCTTTCGACCACACAAGCCAACCAGGATAATCATGATCGGTGTAGACATCGGCCTCGGGCTGAGAAAAGGCCTTCAAAAAGGTTTCGGTCCACGACTCTTCTCCGGCTCTAGTCTCGACCTTGACTTTCGCGGGAAAGTCTTGAATTGCCTGGATGTAATTGGCATAGTCGTGGCTGCACACAGCTCGCACGTCGGTCATGCTGAACAGGGCCACCAGCCCTTGGGAATACAATGTTCGCAAGTCCGGGTGAGGATCTATCGTGCCCAGAGTTATCAAGTCAATCATACTGTCTGAAGCAATCGTGTCGAAACGCATCCCTAGTGACATGACAAGCGTTGCTACACGAGTGGCCTTCTTCCAATGTGAGACACGAGTGAGCTCGATGAGCTCTTCCGCAAGTTCTGCCTTCTTGCGCTCGATGTTTGCACGCTTACTCAAGATGAACGCTTTCTTCTTTGAGATCCTGTCATCAACATCTTCCTCAGGCGCAAATGGATCAACGACAGTGCGGTCGATGATGGCCATTCGATCGCCGGGCCGACCGTAATCCATGATCTGGAATAAGCCGCCACTGCAAAGCTTTTGAATTGAGGGTTTGTCGGCAGTACTAGCCTCGATGAATGTTCTGATGACAGCCGGCGTGTATTTCCAGTGTCTGCCCACTGTCTTTGCCAGACTGCCGAACAATAAGGCAAACAATCCGCCTTTGATTCGGGGAAAGTCATTCTTTTCTACTGCTTTCTGGAAGGCCGCTAAGAGTGGCGGGATGACGAAAAGTCGAGCTCCGAAAATCACCTTTAGAGCCGATTCGCCTGCACTTTGCGCGTTGCGACGAACTTCGGTGTATAAAGAGACAGCAGACTCCGCAAGGTCTAGCAGAAGTTGTTCGTCGAGTTCTGACCGTGGTCTTGGTGCAGCATTATGCCGGAGTCTCTGAGTATGGTAAACGTTGGCTCGTCGGACGAGTATTGAGCGAGGGTAGTCTTTGCGTATTCCGCTCACTTTGTAGGGCTGCTCGTCGGCGTGCAAGAGTCGAGTAACTCGGTCAAGAACATGGGCCGAGCGTTCGATACCAACATCAACGAACCATGATCGATAGGCAGTATACAGCGGAGCAAAAGACGACACATCGTCCTCCCCTTCTCGAGTCAGAAAGACATGGACATCATGTAAGACGCGGCCAATCTTCTGTCTGAGTTGATGGAGAAGCTTGTAGTTGGCTTCTTCAGGCTTTAGCAACTCGCCTGCGGGATACTGGAAAGAGGGCTTGATCGATGTCTCGTCCGTGCCATCAAGGGAATCGTCAGTCTCGACAATATCATTACTTTGCTCTGGCGCGTGACCGTTTGCCTGAGACATCGAAGTGTCGGTGTCGGCGTCGACGCCTGCGGCGGTCGTAGTCAGGCCCTCATTGACGCCTTTGGAATCAAAAAGAACCGATACTCCTGCGAGCAGCAGACGCAGTAGGACGAGGTTCCTCGAAACTTCGTCCGACCATTCCTTGCCGCTGCCATCCCGTTTGATGCTAGATGAGCCGTCGATGAGTCGTTGCAAGTGCTGCACGGCGCTTTCAGCTTGATTCTGGAACAATTCTACGGCAAAATCAATCTCTTCTTTGGACGGAACATGCCACTTTGGTTTGATGGTTGCTGGTGGTTCTGCAACACCCCAGAGATCTGCGGTTATCCCATTCTTAACCTTTTCAGGTTCATACAAAGAATAGTCGGCTGTGTAAGTAACGGTCAGGTTCAGCAGTAAATGATGCACGTAGTTGGAAACGTGCACGGTCGCCATGCCTTTGCATTTCTGCTGCATGTACACGGCAATGTCAAAGAGCTCCTGCTTGTATTTCAGGACTGCTGAGCCCACATGAACCACGCACATACTGAGCATGCTGATATTCCAAACCAAGCCTCTATCCCGAGGCAGGACGTCAGAAACAGCATTTCTTGTTGAGCCGGCACCATTCTCGTCGATTTCTGTGCGGATGGCGCTGATCAAGACGGGAACGAATTTCGCTAGAGCCTTCTCAGGGTCGACCTTGCACAAGCAGTTGCAGATGGATGCCATGGCATCTCTTGATTGATGAATGACATGGTTGGCAGCGAAGTCAACAATTTTGTTCAATGCGATGTCGTACAACTCTGGTGAGAGAGTTGCTAGCAAGGGCATAAAAGCTGCTGGTAGCGTGTTGACGATATTCTCCTCCGGAGAACCACTTCCAACACGGGCCGCATCCGGAAGATTTTCAAGTAGAGCGAAAACTCTGCCCAAGAACGACGTGACGAACTCCCCGAGCCCGGCGGTGGACGCGGCAAGGATCAACTCTTCGTCCTTTTCGTTCAAGGCGGCATAATTCAGTTCGACATGAGCGCCTTCCTGCTCCATGCGCTCCATCTCCCCGGTGATCCACTCCATAGCTAGCATGTTACCTTGGACGTCCTCTCTGCCCTTGGAAAGATCCTCAAACGGTATATTGTAGCAGACATTCGCGAAGAATGACAATGTACACAGTGTCTTGTCCAGATCGTTGGCATCGATGCCGGGCAGAGCAAGACCAAGGAGAGCCGTGATGTGACAACGGTAGCCCTTTGTTCTGATCATCGTCCTTGCTAATATTTGCAGTGACCGTATAGACGAGATCGTTCGGTGTACCTCAACAAGCCCTTGCATTGAGGGATAAATACGTTGGAGAGCACCGGGAAGGATTAAGTCTGGCTCCAAAAATGCTAGAGCTTGCAGCGTGGACAATGAATAGCTCATGGCTGTTCCGCTTTTGGCATAGATGCCCATGAAAATGACTTCTCGTAGGCAGAGGACAAATCGTTTTCGCAGTGGTTCATTCAGCTTTCGCTCTTCTGGGACTTCCATTTCCCCATTGCGTTCCCTGTTCCACCGCATGACAAAGAAGTCTGCCAGATAGAACACAAGTTGAGCCAGGGTGCGAGTCCAGGAGCCGGAGTTTGACGGGTGGAAGAAAGTCTCAATTGCTTGGATCAGTGTCTCGAGGAGTGAAAGAACCGAGGTCTTCTTTTCCAAACAGGCCGGTGACAACGACATCACAAACCACCGGGCGATGTGGTGTGAAACGGGGTGTTTGCGCGAATCACGATCCAGTAGAAACCCCATGCCGGCTGTTATGTCCACCAGAGCGCTGTAAGGCGAGGTGGATTGCCCGACAGGGATCTCCAGCAACCTCAGAACTGCGGTTGTAATCAATGTCGACTGCTCAGCGGTGAATATCCCGAACTCGGAGAATCCGACCTGTTTACTAGGCAGTGAATCCCGGGCCAGGCGAGAGAGAAGATCGACAAGGGCGACATCAACGGTTCGGGAACGGTTTACCAGGGACCAGAGGTGGAAGAAGGTTGGAAGAAAATGTTGGGGATTCAAATCCGAACGATTTGGCGGTGGAGGTCCTGTTGGCAGCAGCATATTGAGCAGTCCAATCACCACAAAGGCGCCCTCGGTCGAGGACATCGTGAAGTGGGGGAGGATTTCCTCTAGCATAGCAGGGATGTCCTCTGGGTCAAAATATAGTTGGGCGAAGGAACTGATCTTAATGAGTGTCTTGATATTCCTCTTGAGGTTTGTTGTCTGCATCAAGCCCGACTCGCTTGGCAGCACGAATACTTTGATCTCTCGGAAGAGCGGCCGCCAGTCGAGGTTTAGGTCAAGGAAAGGTCGCAAGTAGTGTTTTCGTCTGCAGATTATGTCAGTGACGAGAGTCCTTCGCAGGCGTGGCTTGGGAGACAACAGACTTGGTGAGTAGCATGAACATGCTAGCGAAGCGCTCGCCCACGCTGGGATCGATCCCAGGGGCCAGAGCCAGTTCATAATAGAGTCTGACGAGCTTTACACGCTGATCCTTGCTGGGATCGAACTTCAAGGAGAGCCAGCTGCGCAGTTCCCTAGTCCAATGCACCGCACCCGGAGTGAAGTCGCTAGCCTGGACCGCAATATAGAGATGCTTAAGTATCTCTGCCAGGTCTTCCTGTCTCTTAGCCTCATCCTCCACTGGGTATGGTAAGGTGGAGAAGTAAGGATATGTTCGCGGCCTGTTGCGCTTATTCTGATTCCCAACATCGTTCGCATGACCGTCCTGCATGGCTATGGTCCCGGCCGGAGAGGTGGCTCTTGAGATCTCAGAGCCATGTTTAGCATGGCTGCTGCCGTTGACCAGCTCTTCTAGATGATGCTTGGGGGTTTCCATGACTGTTTATTTCTTCTGTTGTTGGACCGTCGAGGTCATCCAAGTCGAAGGAGAGAGGACTTGTCAATTGCCCTGTATCATACCGACGCGGATCGAAGGAGGCACCAGGGCTCGGGCGACTCTCTCTCTGTCTTTGAGATAATGGTCGCACAAAGGTAGGCAGGCGACGTGGTCGTATAAGGCAGAAGGCGCTTGGCAAGCTGCAGTGCAGCCTTGCGACGTCGTACGTCACGTTTATGCCTGCAAACACCTGATTGATGCAGAGAGGGAGGAGACGGTGCAGGGGACAGGCAGAACCGGAAGACCAATGTCACGTCGTCGTCTGAGGGTCGCCAGGAATAAGATAATCTGTTGCTAACTATGAGCAGGTTGATCAATTGCACGCGACACCAGGGCGAACTTGTGTCTTGTCCCAAAATCTCCGCAAGGCACGAGGCATCAACACAGCCGACGCCCAAGCGACACAAAGGCTTGGCATTCTCGCAGGCATCAAAGTCCCTTCTATCATACTCTCCTGTTGTCTCCATCCCCTTCCCTGGTCATCGCATTTTGCTTTTCCATGATGCCGACTTGTTTCGAGGACAATATGTCAGTGTATTTAACAAAGCGGCAACGCTGATTCGCAAAAACAATGTGCACGCCACACCACAGCTGTGACGTATTTCTCTCCATCCCACAGAGATGACATTGTCTATCTGAGACCTCCCCTCAGAATGGGCTCGCGAAGAACACTGTCACCTTTAAGTGCCATGGGTCCGTGAACTGCATCTTCTTTCGAAGCTGATTGTCCAAGTCACTCTTGCAGGTGCATCGTGGCTAATCGAACTTGCAAAGCCATGTGTACCTGGAAGTTAAACTGTGTCTCCAGAGCGCCCGGAAGGTTCAATTTCAGGTTTGTTGCATCGGACGCCCGAATGGCAAGGCAATAGGAGTAGCATAGCCGGACGTCGATTTGCAATTGTTCTTTTGTCTGCGGTTTTCGGGCTCTCGGGCACTGCTCCCCAGCGCACCTAGCACTCGCCATCTGGCATTGCGTCGTCTCCATGGTTTTCGAGGCTGCAACAGAACTACAGCGGCCATTCCTAGTCCTGTTTGGTCCCGAAAAACCTGCTTCCGAGTCATTTTGGCTACTCCGACGAATCCTTCGAGTTTGGGTTGGTCTACCGGTCTAATCTAACTGAGTGATGCGGTCTCCCAACTCACTTTCTCTGGCCACCCTTATGTCCCCTACCAGGAATCCAGAAAGTCAAGCCGAATAGTGACATGCGCCGGCAGGCTCTTATGCAGTGACATCCCTTGGTTTGGCTCAAAGCAACGCTAATGTTTAGAAAAACTCATTGGGCCGCAGGAAGCAGATGGCCGGCATTAAGCCCATGGTATACCATTGCCCCTTGCGGCAGGCTTCATCCCCCACTGTCCGCGGACAATTGCTGACCTTCTGCAAAAGCGTCCGATAGCCCCCGACCGGGCGCCAATTTCCGACGATGGCGGATAACAACTTCATTGCGGCAGTTTTCCATGCCTCGAGACACGCCTTTGCATATGCATCTCGGCTTTAATCGTTATCTCCGCCCTGCAATATATCGTCACCACCACTTAAGCCTCGGATCGTTCTACACTTCGATTGTATATCCTGAGCTGCAGGTATGATAATTTTTCTCGGATAGCTTCATCGCGATTGTTGCTTGGTCGCCATCTGTCGCGCCGGCTATGGCAAACGCAGTTTTCTCGCCCAGCGACCCAGCCTCACCACTGTCGATCTCACCTCATGAAACCGCTGTGTTGCTCATGGATTACCAGAACATGATTCTTGCGAGGATTGGGGACGTGGCTGCCAATAGTGTCATAAACATTGCATCACAGATGCGCGACTGGGCGCTTCATAAAGAGATGACCGTCTTCCACTGCCTCGTCGATACCTCACCCGGCTCAAAGCCTCCTGCACATTCGAAGATCTCGGCCGAATGGAAGATGTACGAAGCCAAGTTTTCCGAAATGCCTTGGCTGGGCCGTGAAGCGGAGTCACTGGCGGTCAGAAAACCTCTCGATCGGGAGCTCACCGTCCTGAGAACACCGGGCTTCATCTCCGCCCTTGAATCACACGGACTGTCGAACTTGCTAAAAGAAAAGGGAATCAAGTCACTCATCATCGGCGGGATAAGCACTTCTGGCTGTGTCCTGAGCACCGCTCGCGCTGCGACGGATCGTGGGTACATCGTGACTGTGATGGAGGACGCATGTTTTGATCCAGTTCCGGGCTTGCATGGTATGCTAGTCACACATGCCTTGCCTATGGGCGCTCACGTGGCAACGTCGTGGGAAATCCAGAACGCATGGAAGATTCTGTAATATTTGATCCTTGAGCGGGTTTTGCAAGAGTCAGAACATTGCGTACTAGCCACAGCCCGTTTATATCAGTCAAGAGGTTCCTGGCCTTGATCTTTGTGAGCCTAGGCATTGTCATGTCTCATGATAATATCCATATCGTCCTTCTAGTAGTTGATGCTGATAATACGACATGCGCCCGACTCCTACCACAGTTACCTACAGACGAACACTTGCAGCAACTTTAGATGCCTCATCGGGGTGGCTAGTTGGAGCCAAACGAAATTCGACAGGCCATTGAGTTCTTGATCCTTTTGTATAATCTCGATCAGAGTACTTCATGTCTTGGTGGGATGGGTGCCACCGGCCACTCACCGTCGGGACAAAGGGCGGATCGACCCCTGTACCGCAGCCTTGTGCCGTCTTTAGATGTGGGCCCAGATTTTCCACTCACTACCATCCTCCATTTTGCCCCACGGACCAAAGGGGATGATATCCGTTCAAGATGCGCAAAATCCAATGCCACCTTGTATGTCTCCTTTGGCGCCTCTCGAGTTATCTGCTGCCAAGAGAGAACAACGGCCTTGGTAACCGATAATCGCCCGTCGAACTAAGCCCCGCAATATCAAACGTCCCATCCCCACAACTGAGGCGCCTACCACCAAGCTTGCCAAGTTATGCTAATACATATCTTGCCAATTGCTTAGCTGCCTCGGTCGCGTCTTCGGGTGTAAATAGGAGTGAAGGCGCGGGGTATGATCTAGGGAGCAACATCTCCCATATATGTTGTTAAAAGGCTTCGAAATAATGCATTCGGAAGAAAAAGAACGCATCGAGGCTGCTGAAGTCGAAGCTCCAGTTCCATATCGCCTATCCCTAGTAGCAGCCTTGAATATACTGGACGAGCGGCTGTAATCCTCTATCAATGGCAGACATCAAAGAAAGCATGGCCTCGAACACTGAGACCAAAGAGTATGCGGCAGAAGTCGGTCTTCGTACCAGCGCGCCATCTGGTCAACGGGCAACAAAGCAAATGGTGCTGTTCTCCCTTTTCATCTCTTTGGCCGGCTGGATATTCAACTTTGATCTTGGCTATGGCGGCACGGTCCTTCAGATGCAGTCGTACAGAAAGTCATTCGGCCAATGTGGTCCCGTGACTGATCCCGAAACTGGTGAGACAGCGGTTGTCTGCTCGCAGACCGCACTTCAGCAAGGCCTTGTCTCTTTGACGTTACTCTTCGTTGCGCTAGGCGGAGCCTTGAGCGGCATCGCCGGGACCTATCTCGGTCGGCGGGGCACCATACAGGTCGGTGCCTTGCTTGCGGCCATCGGCGCTGGGGGCATGCTTGGTACTTCGGGAAATTTCACCGCCTACCTGGTCTGCAAGTGCATCGGTGGAGTGGGACTCGGTCATATCATCGCGGCCGGCCCGGTCTACGGAGCTGAGTGCACCATTGCCAGCAAGCGTGGGATGCTTCTCGCTCTATACAACATTGGTTTGGGCACGGGCAACGCAGCCGCCGCAGCGGTTTGCTGGGGATCGTCTACATACACACACAGCAATCTGGCATGGCAGATTCCCATCATATGCCAGATCCCCCTTTCCCTCATCCTAGGCTCGGCCGTCCTGCTTTTCCCCGAGTCCCCTCGGTGGCTGCTTACCAAAGGCCGCGAAGAAGCCGCGAAGAGATCTTTTGCCTGGTTCTACGCGAAGGTTCCCGATCACCCAGACGTTCTCCTCCAGGTCCAAGACGTCCAGCGCCATATTGACATGGAAAGGCTGTATGGCACAACCTCGAACTGGACCGAGATCTATCGCGGTACCAATTTCCGTCGTACCGTGGTGAGCGGTCTGATCATGGTCGGGTTGGCGATTACCGGGTCCAAATTCGTGGGACCCTACGGTGCTATTTTCCTGGCCAAGGTCGGGATCAAGAATCCGTTCCTGAACAACTTTATCATCGCGGCTTGCACTATGGCGGGATCTATCCCAGGCCCCATTGTTATTGAGTACGGGGGCCGCCGGTTCTCAATGCTCTGGGGCTACAGCACCATGACCATCTGCATGTTGATCATCGCCATTGTGGGCTCCGCACTGGGCCAGGGATCTAACACCGCGAAGGTGGTGCTGCTGGTGTTCCTTTTCCTCTGGGCCTACCTGTTCGGCATGTTCATTGGAACCAGCGTTTGGATCGCCGCGCCCGAGCAACATAACATCCGCCTGAGAACGTATGGACAGGCGTCGACTACGCTGGTGTACCAGATCTTCGGATTTGCGGCCAGCTTCTACGGACCTTACATGCTCAGCGTGGACTACGGGAACATGGGTCTAAATGTCGGGTATTTTTATGCAGGTAAGCAAGATGCGCACTAGGTTTGTGAACTCCACTTGCTCATGCCGAATGCACAGGGGTGACTTTCGCCATGCTGGTTCTCACTTTTGTTTTTGTCCCCGAAACCGCGAGGCTCACGCTGGAGCAAATCGACGAGTACTTCTTCTCTGGGAGAGCCGCGTGGAAGACTTCTACGAACAGGAACAAGAAGATTGCGAAAGGGGAAGTGGTGGATCATGTGGTCGAGCTAGAATACGCTGCGCAGAAACTCGACCACTGATACCGATCTCCCTGAGTGGACTTCGGACGTCAGGCTGTGCCCCTGGGTTTTATCAACTCCATGAAGGCAAGACGTCGAACGGGCGACACAAGGTTTTCAAGTTTTTTGCACTACTCCGTCATCTTTATAAATTGCAATAAGCCCGAGCGAGACAGAATCAACGGTGGACCGGAGGTTGACGTTTGGTCTCCCAGGCCCAACTCCGCGTGCAAGAGAGTAACAAAGATACCTTATCGGCTAAGGCTCTCCACCGTGAGATCACTTCTCTCCTTCTCAAATTCCTCAGAAGCCGACCCCTGGCACTGGCCCTTAACTTCCATTCACCCAGCTAGCATTTTTTTTACCTGATGTCTCCTGGTATCTACTCTTGTACAGATTTCGAGAAATCTCCCTTGATGCCAGCCTCCTAGCAGGTGGTTGACCGACCTAGATGTGATTCTCTTCTCAGTATCTAATTTCACAACATCATATATGTTGCTTCCCCACATTGCAAACTCCCAAGTGCCATCGACTCTGTTAAAATCCTCTCCCTCACTCCTCCTTTCCATAGAGCTCCTGGAGAAGCTACATTTCCCCGAGGGGCTGCTCAGACTGTAAACCCCTGGGAGCCATCAGCCTTTGCGGAATTTCTCTTCCCCATCTTCTTTCACAAAGGCCCATCCATATGGTAGAGCAAAGCATGATACAGGGCGACGGGTCCTTGAGTCAAGTTGAAGGGCCTCATAGATGCAAACAGATCAGCCGACCGTGCATGATTTCAAAGCGAGCAAATACGACAAAGTGTGAGAGAGGTTGAGGCCTGTAGGAACCATTAGAACGCAGTGAACTTCCATATTGTAAGGTACTAAGATGCCAATCGCGGCAATTTCAACGTCGATGTAGGAGTTTTCCAAGCCAATCTTCGTGGTAATCAGTAGAACTCTTCTATTTACAGCGGGATCTACACATAAACTACCAGTAACATTTTCAGAGAGAACATCGATATCTGGGATACGCTATGCAGTGGTCGAGACATCGCTAGTTAAACATGTCATTACTCTCTCTCCCAGATCCACCTAGTGCTGCGGGCGCACAGGCCAACCTCGACGCCCCTCCTCTGTAACCCCTTGAAATCAAAATTTATGGTTGCCTAAAGGCCTTCCACGGGAGGAAGGGTGGTCGAGATGGTTCTCAAGGGTGAAAATGGGAGGGTTGCACAAATGCAAAACAATCCGTCAGCATAGAACCCGGTTTTGTTAACGATCGTCGGATGCAGAGCTCGTACAATATACACAGGCCATGATGTGCGAAAAGCGGGCATACTATTCGGATCCCTGCCAGACGTGCAATACGTGCCAAACTTCTTGTGTGACCCACGATTATTGGAAAAACGACAGGCGACCAGGCACGAATGCATTTCTCCACCTCAGTCACCTCAGTCGACGTTACATCCATTGCTGGTAACAGTGAGCTGACGGGAGGTTGGGAGCGATCTTCGAAAGACCAGAGAGATCGGAATTTGCAATAAAAACGTGATTGCATCTCCAGGGGGGAAATAAACATCAGACCATAAGGGTTCGAGAAGGGAGCTTGCGCGTGGTTCGAGGAATTTGCAAAGGGTCGGGACGGATTAGCATAACAGGGCATTGGTGCTGTATGGTGATTAGGTAGCCAAGGTTAATGACGCATTAATAATGCACGACAAATGTCGGGAAAGCATCAGTAAAACATGGGCCGATGTGTTAACCTGCACATGCCATCCTGTAATAGGCTAATTTGCTTGAATAAAGCCTTAAAACGTAGACCTGGATTCGGTTTCACAACCCTGGGGTGGTGGTGGTGGCACTGCTGGCCTAATGGCTCAAAAGACGAAAACGTGTTGGTGGGAGGCCCGTGGCTGACTCCATCTCGGCAATTGAAAACACCACGATTCGCCGCGAAAGGCTTTTTGATATCACCTGACTCTGGATAAGCTCGGTGGCTGAAGTGGCCGGCCGGAGCGATGGATGCTTGTTTGCGCCGCCGACATCATTTCTCTCAGGCTTTCCAGATCCAAGGCGCCACCGCGGCCTCCGGGATCCGAGAATCTTGCAACTTCTCACGAGGCTTCATGGCAGCCTCCCCCTCGTGTCGATCTGGTGTTCGACCTATACAAAACTTCATCGAACTGCGTACTTGGTTGGTGCTGGTGTAGAAAGGTCCAAATCCTGTCATCATGCCAACAACTACCGGATTCGTGAACTTCTCGCGGATTCTGAGTGCTGATTCCTCGCGCCCACTGCAGCAGATCCCCCTCGTTGCTTGCTCAGCTTACATGGCCATGCGTATTTGCCGAGGCCTCTCCCCCACGGGGCAAAACACGAGATTCCTCTACGAGAAGAAAAGGCATTGTTCGAAATTCCTTCCGACCCATCGTAGCATCTCGTCATCGGTCAAGTGACTCCGTCCTAGTTGCTCGCAAAGGGCAGTAGTTGCATTGCTACGTCCGAGACTTCCGGCAGACTCTTGGCTGTGTCCCTATGCCTTGATCGCATCGGAGACCGGAGTTCCGAAGAGCCTCGTGGGAGCTCAGCATAAAGAAATAAGTGGCACTTTGAGGATCTCCGATGTATGGAGCAGGAGTCGATTTCTGCTTGTTGCTGAATGCCTTGGGCACGTTCACATCTCGCATCTCACGCGAACAAGGATAGTACTTGGTTCACGGTTGACATGGTGGGTCGAAAATGGTGTCGAAGAGGTGTGCGTTGTCGTACAGTCGCCTTTGGAGCCTTGTCGTTGTGCCTTAGCATTGAAAAAGAAGGTGGGCTCGTGCTTACAGAACCCTTCCAGAAATCGCTCATCATGCTACACCATTGGATATGCCACCACACATCTCCATACTCTACGCTCAGGTCATCCGCACTCCTCCGCTTTTCTCGAAGTAACCTTGGAAGACAACCCTCCTCCACGTGCTCGGACACGAATTTTATTGGGGCGAACCTCCCAATGACTATAAGAAAGACCGCACCGTCTATACTTTCTGGCAGATCTCACCTAACTTCAGCACAAAGCTTTTGATTAAACAAGCATACGAGAAACCATGGGTTATCTCAAGTTTCGAAGGCCCGAGCTGACTCGCGAGTCGCTCGGCCTTACCAACTGGGTACGGTACGACAAGTATAATCCCAGTGCCGCCGGTGCTACCGAGGCAAGGAAGTCGCTGGCAGCTCTGGACTACTCGCCGCTGCGACGAGTAACATGGGCATCGTTCTGGATGGGTATTCTCATCTCTATGGGCGGATTCATCTTCGGTTATGATACCGGCCAGATTTCTGGCTTCCTTGCCATGCCAGACTTCCTGGAAAGATTTGGTCTGCGCCACAGCGATGGGACATTCTATTTCAGCAACGTGCGGTCTGGCCTTATCGTGGCAATGGTAAGTCGACTACTTGTACTAATCTGACGAACCAAGGCTAAGTGGGATAGTTGTCAATCGGTACACTGATCGGCGCACTGGTCGCGGCTCCCATTGCCGACTTCATCGGCAGAAGGCTGAGCGTGACCTTCTGGTGCGTTGTCTTCTGCATTGGCAACATTGTCATGATCTCCTCGGAGCATCATTGGTACCAGATCATGATGGGCCGGTGGGTCGCCGGTCTTGGTGTTGGTGCATTGTCGCTCCTCGTGCCAATGTATATGGGTAAGTGATCTGTCAAGCCGGCCTTTTTATCCATTCGCTGACTCCCGATAGCTGAGACCGCCCCTCGTCATATCCGTGGGTCCCTGATCAGTACCTACCAGCTCTTTGTATGTTATACCTTCACCTGCCGTGGCGTGGAGGCTCTGCTAACTCGCCCTACAGATCACGTTCGGTATCTTCTTAGCTGCCTGCATCAACTTTGGCACTTACGAACACCAACGCCATAACTCTGGGTCATGGAGGATTCCCATGGGAATTGCCTTCGTCTGGGCCTTCATCCTCGGGGGTGGCATCCTTCTTTTCCCCGACACGCCTCGATACCTGTACCGCAAAGGACACCGAGACGAAGCCAAACGAATCATGGAAAAGGTTTACGGAGCTCCACCGAACCATTACAGCGTCCACATCGAATTGGAAGAGATCGAGGCCAAGCTTCGCGCAGAATCGAAGCAGGATAGCCCGATTGCTGAATGGTTCCGCATGTACCGTGCTCCCAAGATGACGTACCGTATCGTCCTCGGCATGACACTGCAGATGTTCCAGCAGTTAACTGGTGCCAACTACTTCTTCTACTACGGCACGGTGATATTGTGAGTGACCACGCATATTTCCCCTCGGATGCCAGCTAACAGAGACTTTCAGCCAAGCAACGGGTATCAACAACAGTTTTGTGGTAAGTGTGAAGCCGCTCCGCGGCGCCTGACCCCTTCCACAGCCTGGCCCCCGGTTGTTGTTGTGGACTCAGTTATTGTCAGAACAAGCTAACAGTTACCTGCAGACACAAAGTAAGCTCTTCCAGAATCTGCATCAGCTATGCAGGACCATTCCGGAGCCCCACATTTCCCGATTCGGTTGTATACAACTACTGACAAAATACCAGTGATTTTGAACGGTATCAACTTTGGCACCACTTTCTACGGTCTGTACATTGTTGAACATTATGGCCGTCGCAAGTCCCTTATGTTTGGGTCGGCCTGGATGTTCCTCATGTTCCTGATTTTCGCCAACGTCGGCCATTTCTCCCTCGACAAACACGACCCCCAAAAGACCGAATCCAGCGGCACCGCGATGATTGTGATGGCCTCCTTCTTTATCTTTGGCTTTGCAACGACATGGGGTCCTATCATCTGGACAATTTGTAGGTGTTTTCATGGTGTTTTCAGCCTCAGAAAGTGGTGTGGACGGAGGGTGTAAGGGGCCGAAAATCAGACGGCCTCACCGCACTTTTCCCTCCACACCACTTCCCCAGCACCCTTGGCTAGCAGGTACAGATTCTAACATGCTTGCAGGTGGAGAAATGTACCCTTCGAGATACCGGGCTAAGAGCATGGCCATGTCTACCGCCTCAAACTGGCTATGGAACTTCCTCATCGCCTTCTTTACGCCGTTCATTACCGGAGACATCGACTTTCTCTACGGCTACGTCTTTGCTGGCTGTAACTTGGTTGCCATTCCCCTGGTCTACTTCTTCGTCATTGAAGGCCAGGGCCGGACACTCGAGGAAATCGATACCATGTATATCCTTGGTGTGAAGCCGTGGAAGAGCAGCGAATGGGTTGCCCCTCCACCAGACGAGATGGCCCGCATCAGACGCGAGGCTGGAACCGGCGACGGTGGAGAGGCGGACGATATTACGCCTGCTGGGCAACGCAGCAGCGACGAGTCAAATCCGGAGAAAGAGGCCGAAAAGGACGCCGAGCACCAAGTGTAAAATTGCCGCCTCTCCGGCCATCTGGCTTCAACACCACCTGCAAGACAAGAGATGCGCAGAAGTACGTATAAGTCGCAAACAAACAGACAAGATTGTATTCGGTTGGTACGCTGTGAACTAATGAGCAGAGAAGATGGGACGGGGTAGAGGAACGAGGGGGGAGGGGAATAAGCGAGGAAGGAGATGGATACCCAGCAACATTGCACTGGAGAGGGGATAAAGCAGTGCATGTTTTGCTATCTAACGGACTCTTTACGATTCTCGATTTGTGTGGCAGATTCCTGTCTTAAACACCTCATACTACGCAGTTATGACTGTCCTCGTACGGATAATATATACAGTTTCCCTTTACGAATGACTCTTGATCTGTAAGCACCTGCTTTGGCAAGCAGATTCTCGAGCTGAAAAGCCCTGTATAGGATTGGTCTGTAATAACGAAGCTTGCCTATTGATCCAACGGGTTTCTGCACTGCGACCTTCGACGATAAGTTCCTCGCATTGTAAGCTAAGTATCAGACTTTCGGCCCCTTGGAAATCTCTCCTAGCCGGAAAAGCAAGAGGCAGCCTCTATTCTCTGCTAGTCTATCGTATCATATCTGATCAAGCACTCCATATCACCCCTAGTGATACAGGATGTCTCCCTTACCGCTCCAGCCATTGCTTGTTCTCGAATGGAATTCCAATCCTCGATAGACCTGCATCTCATGCAGCTTCATCTGGTGACAACGAGGTCCCATCATCGCGTGGCAATATGACTTCAGATCCGAGACGCCTTTTGGACGACATCTTGCTGCTAGGCGTTCCGGGAACCCTGGCCTGCCACTTGAAGAGGTAGTTTACAGACCTGGCCTGTTCACCACCACTCCTTAAGGTTGGGATCATACGCCTTCTTCCGGAAATCCTGTCTTTTGGTACAAATCTCGCAGTCGCAGTCAGCACCACAGCCGGATCGCCAGTGTCGGAGCGCTTCGTAGAGTCCGGCCCATCTCGAGTGCCATGCCTGCAGAGTATCTTCGCGTCCTTGGCTCTCTCGTCTTTTTCTTCTTCTTCTTCATCAATCGCGTTGTCGGATGTGTCGACCATGGACCTTCTTCTGTGCCACTCTTGTCACTGATATCCTCCTCCTGTTGAGCGTGTCAGTCGTGTAATGACGATGGTCGATCCCCTGTGGGATCATACTTGTATACATACGAGTTCGAGGATCACTTCTTCCATTCTCTCCTGGAGCCTCGCCATCATTGCATTCCACTCAGTTTTCCCAGCAGTCTGTATGTGGTGCCTCATGCGATCTTCTTCCTCGCTACACAACTCCTCCTCCTTCTCCTCCTCCACTGTCGTCGGCGCAATCATTCTTCTTGGCTTCGAGCTGGCCAGCTCAGTCTCTCGTGGGCTTTTCCCAGCATCCAGCCTGAGCGCCTCGTCAGCTTTGCTGGCCTTTTCCATCTCTTCTCGCACCATTTTGGCCGCGTTCAACGACCTCTCAAGCGCCAGCTTGAAAGCCTCTTTGCACCGTTTCGCCATCGCTCTCATGACCTCAACATCCTGTCCGACGGCGGCCATGTCCTTCCCTACTTGCGTCATTTTGGTTCCTCTCAACAACTCCTCAGCCGCTAGCTTGCCAGCTTCTTTCCACTTTTTCTTTATCGCTCTCACAGCCTCAGCATCCTGTGCGCAAGTGGCATCATGGCCATTGGTGGCCTTGATGTCCATCTTCTTGGAGGTACGCTTCGAATCCGGTATGTTGGAGTTTCTTGTGTCTGGAAGATTTGGTATGCCTCTTCGTTTGCACCGCCAGTCTCGATAGCGTCGATGTTGTCGGGGTGGATACAGCTGTAGGAACTTTGAGCTCGAAGGTGAGATCTACTGAATGCAGAAGGTGTTGTGAGAAGTAAGGTCAGGTTGGAGGTAATTCCCTAGGTCACCATTTTATCAATAGCTTAGTTATCACATACAATATATCTGCTGATTAGTGGTGTTAGGAGTGAAGGTATTTATTTATAGTCTTTTCGAAGCCAATCTCATCTACTCTTCATCTCTTCTCCATCTCACTTTTATCTCACTTTCATCTCTACCCTAAGATAGTTGTTTGATCAATAGTTATCTAGTGAATTTGCTTTCTGAAGAGATATACACTCTCCCTGGTGCGGCGCTCCCAGCCAGATTTGCAGACGAACGAAAAACTGAAAGCTCTTCTCACATTTCAATCCCACTGAACTCATCTCTACTAAAAGCCACTAACTGTTTGTCGAAAGTTCGCCATCGGAGCTACGTGGAATATCAGCTAACCAACACCAGGGACACTCTGAAAGTCCGGTCCTACTTCAAATCTCAACCTCCCGTCGGATTTTCCCCCGCCCCCCGATCGACTCAGACGAATGGAGGGGTCGTCGCGATGGTGGAACAACTGAAATCTATCGCCTGCAACCCGTTTGGATTTGTCATTAAAGACCCATTGCCAGAACATCCAGAGTTCGAAGAGATTACAGCACGCAAACCATCCTCAACCCCATTGTCCAAAGCATGGAAAGATTTCGAAGAGAATAAAGGCCTCCTGCGCAGTGATATGTCTCTGACTGCGGAAGAGATCGGCAACCCTGAAACTGGGGACGAGAGATACATGATAGTCGGCTACGCTTTTCCTCATTGTGATCCCAACAGCCTGAGAACGAAAGCCCAGTTCCACAAGCAAGGAAAGCCAGTTGGGGTTGCCGATCATGGCCAATATTTCGAGGACTGGCCTCAGAATGGTCTCCCATTGTATGCGGTTACCCGTATCATGACTACTAAGCAAAATTACAAGGTGCACCTATACGCGTTGATGAAGTCCGACAAAGCAGATACGTTGCCCACTCCATTCTCCGTTGGTCTAAAAGCTGTCTTCTATCGTCATGAATTTCGCGATCTCAGCACAAATGCGACAAGTCGAAAAGCCGGTTGGAATAAAAAGGTCGCTCTTCAAGCTGTCCGAAACAATGATGCTGTACCAATCAAACCTGTCCGACCAAGACACCATCAGGTTGGGCAGTACGGCAACATCATGGTACAGAGCGCCGAAGCTTTGGCTCCCGAGCTATGCATGCTGGCAGCATTGTTCAAGGAGACGCAGTCCCCTGAATACATCAAACAAATGCAGCAGGTCTTGCTCCGTGCCTATCCCGATCTCGATCACAAATCCCCACCTAACCATGAAGGTTTGGCTGCGTTCCACGACAAAAATGTCCCTGATTTCAACATCTCCCATGCGGAAAGTGTCGTGGAGGACGTGGCAGTCCTTGCTCCCAGCGTTCAATTTGTTACGGCAGCTCGGGTGATGGCGCTGAAGACGCACCTTGCCGCTAGCGAGGAAAAGTTCGAACATCGACATGTTCTGCCTATTATAGCCTCAGGTGTGGTTGCAATGGAGGCCATTGAGTTAGGAGAAGAAACATCTTTCAATCCCACTCTATTCATCGAAGGGACGAAGAATATGGTGAACACATTTCCCTCCTCGATAACTGGGAAGCCTTATTTCGCCCCTGAGGAATTCGATATGACTTTGGTGACTTCGATCGAGTACAAATTGAGAGAACTTGTCGAACACTGGGATCGCTCCCGTGCTCAAGTGAAGGACGACCTTGGGAATGCGGGCCTTGCGGGCATTCGATACGAGGATATACGAAGCCAAGTGACAAAAGCTGTGGATGCATCAGAACTGTATCCGCTTCTCACACAGATTGTTCGACACTCACTGGCAAAGTACGAAAACATACTCGCAGGTGGAGTGATAAATCCTCTCCGACAGATGATCGAGGGATTGGCGGGTATTGCCAAAGCACGCAACGAGGACGACGGTGCAGCTGGAGAAAGCACTTCCAACAAGAAGATCAAGTTGTGAGGATTTCCTACAGGTCAAAGCGGTTGCCAATATCCGAACGACCGAGTACTCGGATTTGCGGCACATCGACTCAGAGTGTCGCCCTATTTCGACAGGGCTGGAAATAACAGAGGAGCAGAATAAGTAAGAAGGGACTCACTGATTCGAAGATTTGGGTAGACAATTGGCAAGCAGAACCTTCTATGATTTCCTCTTTTTCCAGGCCGATTATCAGACCAGCAATCTAACTGAAGGGGGAATGCGATACTTGGGATCAATAGATGATAGATAACTAGCCTATAGATACAGGTGTCAACGCTTGAAGAAGGCTTCAAGGTTGACAGGTGGGCTGTGCCCCTTACTATATACATGCGATAACCATGCTGAGTCAGTACTAGCTAACTCAGTATCTCTCTCTTAGTGTCACGTGGCGTTCGTGACAGTGATCAAGACCTTGAGAGATAAAGTTGATAACTCTAAACATCGATAGTCGAAATGCATTGCGAGCTTGAGCGAGTTGTGTTTGGAACGCTCTCCTTTTGGCACCTGGTATTCCTGCAATTCATTTCCGTTTCCCTTGTATCGTTGAAAGGAATGGATTGCAATCCCCGCAACTGCCCTCTACCGCTACCTAATCAATATCTTCCTCTCCCCCTACATCCTTACCTCCTTCTTCAGCCGTGGGCCACCTGTCGCCGTACACGCTCCTGCCATACTCGTCGGGACTGACATCTGGATCCACCACCGAAAAGTTATGCTGCATGATCTTGACTTCTTCTCCTTTGTCGCCCACCTGGCTCTGCTGTGGGGTAGGGTAGTTCCAGTCACATTTGGGACCTAGAACTACGGACATGTCAGCAAACTAAAATGAAAGTAACACATATCTTCGACAGAACCAATTCTCCTACCTGCAGTGTCATACAAAGCTCTACCATCATCGTCATCAAGGGGAAGGTTCGGGATCCACCCCTTAGCTGAAGATTCAGTCCTTTCGCGTATGGTGCAACCGTATTCTTGAAATATTCAATGGCCTTTTTTAATCTTTCTACTTTCTCCTTATACGAGTCTTTAGGGATCTCATTTGGCTCACCCAGACCGTTTACCAAGTCCCAGATTTCGATGAGGGTGTGCCTGTTTTCAGATTATAATGGAGGGATAGGCTCTCTTGGGGCAAACCAGGGTCGATTGGTCCATGATTGAATAGTGGATTTGACAGTGCTCAAAGACGCTTGGAAGTGCTGCTCATGTGTGCCGAGTTCGGCCAGCTGCCCTGTAGATGTGCACTTTTGGTTGGGTTTCGATGCGGCGACCTGGAGGATGGAAAGATGATATTGAAGGAATTGGAATTCGTCCGCATTCATCGCGTCGGTGGTGTGAGAATCCGAGGGTTCTCCTGCGCCATGATGTTTTCCGTGACTTCGATAGTGTAGATGATCGCCTCAGTGCTTTGAGGCCGCACGCACGACTCGAACCAAATATGCAGTGGCGGAGACGGTAGAAAATGAGGACAAGAATTAAACCAGTATTTATTACAGTGTTACGTCGACAAGGAGGGGATTAGCGCAGGAATCTCGTGATATCAACTTCAATCTTGACACGCTTCACTCCCTAAAAAGTTTCTCGTGACCATAGAGCCGTTTGGCACACGTGCGCACAAAGATCTTTCCTTGGACTCATCCTACGCCGAGGCTCTCTAGGATAGCATCATGGCTCTCCACGGCAAGCCTCCAAGTGATACGCTCAGACCGCCTCAAACATGACCAAAAGCTGGTCGCAACCGATATCTATACCGCTCCCAGCACTCCGAAAGTGCGTCTCTGATGGCGGAGCTCCAGTATTCCACGCACCCACGTAGTTTCCACCCTCAGGAGACCAACTCGCGATCTCGTTCAGACCAAACCGATCAGTAAGCAGTCTGAGTGAACCTTTACGTTCGCGCACTTGGGAGGACGCGGCGATACCCATCATAGATATCCGTCAGCTCAAGTTCCCTGGTATAGACCTGGCAGGCGGCGCTAGTCAATGGTAATACAGCCGACAACCCTTCCTAATACGGTTAGAGCGGCAAAAACACGCTACTGGACTACTGACAGATACCTACGAGGTACTGAGTATATCGGAAAATTAAGTACCCATACCGAGTATGTATCCACCTGGTGGACTGTCCCATAATTTCCGGACTTCTTCCCCATGAACATAGTCTTAACGACCCTCAACTCGAAAAGTACAATGTCTGTCTCACATATCTATGCTAAGTGTAGCCTTATCCCTGGACCTTGTCTTTACGGCCCCTGACACTCTGACCCTTATTGACCATCGACTCAGCTGCCATTTTCTCCGCGCCATGTTCTGCCCCGAGCGTCTCTCACGGCCCCTGACACTCTGACCCTTATCGACCATCGACTCAGCTGCCATTTTCTCCGTGCCATGTACTACCCCCGAGTGTTTCAACCCGGCCTTGACGTCATAGTCCTTATCAACCCTCGACTCAGGTATTATTTTCTCCGTGCCATGCACTGACCCTGAGTGTCTCCTTACGGCCCTTGACGCCTTGGTCCTTATCGACCCTCGACTCAGGTGCCGTTTTCTCCAAGCCATATACTACTGTGGAGTTTAGCCCCCCTTCGAGCCCCGAGGCATAGGCCCTTATCGACCATCGACCTAGGTGCTACTTTCTCCGCACCATCTACATCAGTGGAATTTTTGCTCCCGAGTCTCAGATCCTTAGACAACCTACCCTAAGGTAGGCCACAGATACCATAGCGGCCTCTTCTCGGTAGACTACGTACTTTATTTCTGATATCGGCTTGAGGGTCCCCGAGCACACCAAGTCTCGTGTGAACAGGAAAACTGCGCCCTCTTCTCTTCAGATTGTGCTCTTTGCCTTGATATCAGCTTGAGGGCCCCCTAGGACATCGGGCCTTGCGGGTATGGAAAAATAACAGCGCGCGCTTCTTGTTAGATTGCGCTCCTTAATCTTGATATTGGGTCGACGGACCCCTAGCTCACTACGCCCTATGAGTATACAAAAAATAGCGGCCTCTTCCCATCGGACCGTGTACCTTCTTTTCTGATATCGACTTGAGGTCCGCTTGGCACATCAAGCCTCGCGGGAATGGAACAACATTTCGCCTGATGAGGGGGCCAAACACGTCAACATTAGGTTGGGAGATGCTGATCTATAGTTATTAACTTGGCATCAAGCAAGACAATTGGGAATGCCTACGGGCAGCAAGTTGGACAGCAAGTTCCGCTGCCAGCAAGTTCGCTTAGTGCTTGGCAGAATCCAACTACACCTAATTTAGCTAATGGCAATTTCCACTCACCATCCTCCATATCCCTCCTCTAGACCTCGCCGTGGTATATACACTGGAAATTGCAGGCAGGGAACGACGTTGTTCCACCACCGTTTTGACAATATCGAAACCCTGGGCTAGCGAGTATCTAACTAGGCGTTTGTAGTAATCGTCGATTGTCTCAAACGGCTCGTTGGTGACAGGATCGGCAAGGAATTCAGGTGGTAGTTTGTTCACAGCCTTCTCAAGTGGCCTACGAAGGTGGCCAGGACAGCTTGACCTAGCGCGCCAGGCTGAGGGTTGACAATTAGCCATTGGACAAAACAGGACGATCTCGATCAACACCAAGATTGGCTATACAAGGCAGGCGGCGGCGAGGTCAGGCGGCGGCGAGGTCTACAGGAGGGATACGGAGGATGGCGAGCGGAAATTGCCACTAGCTAAATTAGGTGTAGTTGGTTTCTGCCAAGCACTAAGCGAACTTGCTGTCCAACTTGCTGCCCGTAGGCATTCCCACACAATTCTTTCGCGTCACGTCGTGGGTGGACAGTTGCTCTTCTTTTTGATGCTTCATACCTGGACACTTCCCTCTCTTCCACTACAACGCGATTGCATTGTCGTTGGCATGTTCGACGACTTTGTCGGAGCACCTTCGCTCAAGAATAGAGCCTGCTCCGGCGGTGGCCTTTTGCTGAGCGTCGCATTTGATGTCGCCGTCAAGGAGTTTTCGGGGCCTTTATCCCCGAATCTTTTGGCCATGCAGTCTTTCTCATCGCATTTCTCGGCTGGCAGCAAATTCTTGGAAACAGAAGGGAGATGTCCGGGGGGAGACGACCACATCATGCCGTTGAACCAAGAGGGTGCGCAAGTGGGAGCAAGTCCTGAATGATTATGGCACCTTCACACGTCTGCAATGGGAAGGTCTGAGCACACTACGTTCTACTTAAAGTTGCACTGGATACTTGACGAAGGAGCACATGAAACGGCTACGTCTGCACATATGGCTTCGACTTCAGAGTATGTCAGCACTAGGCAACGACGATCTAGGAGATACCTCGAGTTCCCCGAAAGAAAGGAAGCCCGTGCATCCCCCACACCAGGCTTCTTGGACGACAAGTAAGCACTTATTCCCTCTTCAAAGAACTTCCCAGGAACTGCCGCTTCTTGCCCATCGACGATATTCTCAGCGCGCTCTGCCTGTCTGGGGTAGCAGAGAAGGCTCCAGGAGAGCTGTCAGCTCAAGCTTGAAGTGAACCCTTTGCCCTCAAGTCACAAGTGTGATATTTTGATGCCGAACGAGCTAATGAACGAGAAGTGAGCACTGAAAGATCACAGGAAGGGTGGCTGCTCTTCTATCAACAGACGCAAGCCTCAATCAGCGCTATTGGCGGCTATCACTTACAAGTACGGGCTACTTGATTCCTTTGTGCCTCTGAAATGGAAGTCCGTGATAAGTGCCTCCTCTCTTTCTGAGGAAGGGCTTCTTGTTTCCTGACCAAAAGCAATAATACTGGGATTGTGATATATGGCGTGGAGCTATCATGAGACACAGATGGTGAGATCTCAGTCCCTTCCTACCTGCTGAATCGTGTTATTCCCGAGCTATGACTTGCTTCTGTCGCACAAATGAAGCAAGCGAGGCTTCAGTGGGGTGTTCTCCGTACTCGGGAGATCCACCAAAGAGTTCTTTCCACGGTAAGTTGCTACCGACACGTCTCTGGTATGATGCGAAATCTATCCATGCCGCCGAACATGGGCCGGGGACTCGGCGCGGTGATATGTCGTCCCCTCAAACAGCTGCAGGGACGTTGGCAAGAAAACCCCCGTGTTCAAGCTTCGACTCACGCACGACGCAAGGATGCACGGTAATGGCCGTGACGACCATCCCACTCACGCCACAAGGTCTCACAACTGCATCGCCGACGTGACGGTCTAGCGGAGCACACTTGCTTGTTTGCCGTGGGGCAACGAAATGCAAAGCCTTTGTCGGAACCAACCTTTCTGCATCAACGTTTTGTGGGTGGGATGGGTCTCGAAACGTGCCAGGTACCAAGCCCCAAGGCGAGTCCAGGGTCGGGTACGTGCAGCACAGCAGTAGCGTGTTGATGAGAAGGCCTCCCATCTACCGATGCCCCATACGAGGTACCTCGTACACACCAAGGGAACTGTCTCAACGGGTGCCTTGCATCCCGCGCCTCGAAAGGGGGGGTCGCGTTCCGCGTTCCTGCATGAAGGAGTTCTCGCTACGAAAGACTTCGACGCTACTACTAGAGACGCGAACCTTTTTGCGCACGCACAAAGGTAGCGACGGTAGATACTCGTAGATAGTTATTCGATAGCCCTATCAAGAGCTGGGAGCTTATCCCGCCACGCTCACCCTCTGTTGGCGGCCATATCACACTGGAAGCCTTGAGAAAGCATAGACAGCCGAGACCACGAACCAGCCAAAAATCCCGATTCTGGATTTGGAGCCGTAATCTCGCAAAAAAGTGCGTGAAAGAAAGTTTTAGGTTGCTTGCTTTTTTCTTTTTCCCTTCGAGCGCCAAAAGCAAAATACCCCCTCCCCTTGGACCTCCATCTCTGTCAGATAAGAGAGATACGAGAGATAACCCTCCGTGTATCGTGGCGACATGTGAAACTCACATTGGACCCCCTGATTACGAAGGCCAGGGGGTCCATCACACACCCTCCCGGGCATCCTTTTCCCCGATGAACGCCTTGGGGGCGGATACTAACGGTCGTTAGGCGCATGGTGCCGCAATGCCCATCACGCTCATGCCCAAGGGGTACGAAAATCTCCCGTGTGTGCCCTCCCGGCTCAGGAATGGCCAAGCGCACAGACGTTAAATTAGTATCTGGTGGGCACGCACTATTACCTACTGAAAATGTTTTGGCTTGGTGTGATCTGGTTTTGGTTCGCCACCGCAGGGCAGAGCTGGGCAGGGCAGGGCAGGTTAGGGTAACGACCAGCCCTCGTCGTGCGCGCCCTGGGATTACGGCATCTACCTGGTACCTGGACGCTCGGGGCCGTGATTTTCAAGGATCTGGAGCGGGGAATGTGATGTGGATGGAGCTTTGGGGCATTTCAGAACCGCATTCTAACGAAGGACGAAAACCGGGGGGTGCGTGTCCCCGGGAACCCGCGCACCTGGCCAGGTACGAGGTCTTAGGAAGTCGTTCATCCTTGTCCTTCAGGTAGGGCAGGTCAGGGCAAGGCAAGGCATACGGCGCTGCTGCAGTGCACGTGGGACTGGTTCATGTACTGTATTCGGTACATGTACCTGAACGAGTGCCCAGGGACAGAAATCTGGGCAGGACAGCGCCCCGATCGAAGATCCCTCCAGCTCCCCTCCTGTACTTGCAGCAGTTGGAGAAGGATTTGCACCATCGTCCTGATGTGGTGATCGGCGCCTCCGCGAAGCCCTATGGGATGATTCGGCAGGCATTCGTTTCCTGGCCTTTGGAAGGGATTGTCAAAGAAACACGCTCAATAAGTCTCGGTTGTACAGGCGAACATGGAGGAGATGTTGCTGCCTGACGTGTCTGCTCGCGCATGACTGCCTCATATTCCAACATCTAGATGTACAAAATCCTCTCAGGTGTCTTTGTCCATGCGGCCAACCAATGCACGCATGTACATACACTCATACCCAATCCCAACGCATCCATGTACCCAGAAAAACCCGCTCTGCACAGAAAAGACAAAGGACATCCCGTGCGAGATCGACCCGGATCAAGCGTCCTGATAACTCACGCTCCATTCCTTGGTTGTCTTGATGATCATGGCCTTGCTCCCGTCGCTGCCATGGCTCCGGCCTCCTTCCGAGGTAATGCTCTCACTGCGATGCCGCTCAGAGCTGAACTCCTTCTCTGGCCTCCCTGCCGAAACTTTGTTCACCACGATGCGGTTGCTGCTCGTGAGGGCTTGCCCAATGCCGTGGCCTGCCGAGTCGTTCATGTGTCCGATCGTGGCTCCCTGACGAGGGAGATCGAGGCTCTCGCCCCGCAACTCGCTCTTCAGAGCCTGACTTCGGATCGCTGAACCGGTCTTGCTTTGCGCCATCTTGCCCATCAAGTAGCTGTCGTTGCCGTAGCCGAAACGTCCATCCCCTTCTTGAATCACGCCCGAAAGATAGCCCGCCTGGATGGATTCCATGAATGGCCGCAGATGCGGGACGCACGCCGAGAAGACGCTGAAGAAGACTTCCAGTAAAGTGGCGATCGTAGGAAGCCAGCTCTCGAAGGTGACGTCGGCGCTGCGGTCGAAGAAGTGGTGCATTTCACTAATGCGCCAGATCGTGCAGGCGATCGCAAGTGTCCGAAAGGAAAAGGCGAAACACACGGCGATTTTCTTCTTCACAGGTAGTTGAAGATTGTGCACAAGCCATATCGGTATAGCCATCAGTGCCACGTCAGTCAGAATATCGATGACGCCCACGGCGTCCCAAAAGCCCTCCTGGCTGAAGCATTTGCTTGTGGTGATCAGATAAGGGTGGGGAAGCGAGCATTGGAATGCACTGGCGATGATCGATGCAATCGCCCACACTGCCGTCAAGCCGCCTGTGGCCAGCATTGGGATACGGTAGGATTTGTTCGGTGACAACGCAAGCAGCAAGGACAACGTCGAGACCTTGCCGAAGGAAAGGCTGGTGATGTAGAGGATGTTCCAGGCATATCCAGCCTTTTGGAATTTCTCATACTGGTCAGCTGTCAAGGTCGAAATCTCAGACCCCAATCCTCCGCTGACTTGCTGGTTGATTGCGATAGTGAATCCAATGGAAAACACCTTTGCGAAACAGTCAGCCACGTTTCCATTGCATTCATGGCTGGCCCAGTGCTCACCATTGCGGCGATCAGGATCGAGTCGTTCCACGCCAGTCTCCTCAACACAACCAATTTACTGATCAAGACAGTAATAACTGCCAGACACATCGTCGTCACCGTGATCCATGCTACCAAGTTCACCACGGGGCCTCTGTGGGTGGCGGATATCAGCGGAACTCGCGCAAGCAGGATGTGAAGTCCTGCCATGGTGGGTTGTCGTGTCAGACGAGAGGGCGAGGACTTTTACGAGGTCCTCCAGAAGACTTCAGGTTCATAGATAGGTCCGAGAAGGTGCAAGTTTTCGACAAGCACTGCCAGCGGCAACTTGATAGAGGCAGCGACCGACCGGAGGCCTGGAAGGCAAGGGGACTTTGAAGATGAGGCGCACCAGTTCTCCTGGAGTCGGGGTAGGATAGAAACATGGCTAGACGCGATGCGACATGAAATGTGATAACCAACAAGGTTGGTCTCTGCAAGAATTGCCAGGTTCTTCGTGGCCAGGGGGTGCGATTGCGCTTGCTTGGTCGGGCACTGGTGGCCTTGTGAGGCATGCCGATAGCAGGCTTTCCCATTTGGACCTGGATTCCTGCCAGTGCAAACAAGGTCAGTAGTAACGAAGCATATGCACAGCTCAGCACAAGCGCGGGGGTCCAACCACCAGTAGAAGTCGCCACTAAAACCTCAGAGCACGCACACCTGGTCACCTTGCAGATAGGCGCATCATCTGGTGAGCTCGCTAAGCCCAAGCTGTAACATAGGGGTCGGATTAAGGTAAGGCTCTAGGCTGCGCTTAGGTAGCTAACGACCCGGGTGGTGTGGAGGTCTCAAGGGCCAGGGATCCCTGGTCCGTTCACGACCAAGCCTGAGAGTTTGCAGTGCCTTGCCCTTTGCCTTGCCTGGTATCCAGGGCATCTAGCGTCCGTTCGCCACCGGTGCGGGCGATCCTCTCCCCCCGAATGCTTCCGCGTTGCCCTACCTCCTACGCCCCCCACGGGTCTCCATCCAAAGGTCGTGTCTTGCTGACTGGCGATTGCCCCTCCTGATGGTGGACATGTTGAAAAGTTGTGGAGTGATAACGGTCTTCTCTGCCGGCTTACAGGAGAGCAGGGCTCGGTTGTGGGACTTTAGGATGCCTCCAACCTCCCCATCTGGGGCCTGCTATGTAACCAGCCAGCGCATCCGCAGCATCTCAGACCTGTCGTTGAAGCATTTCCCCAGAGGCCATGAGTGTCCAGGAAACTTGTCGTAAACCCACGGAGATCTTCTCCAAATGCGTCTCAGATGTTTCATGTGCTTGACATAAAACCTGGGAAATGTCGAGAGGCATTGGCAGGACCTGGAGATCAACAATTCCGTCGCGAAAGGTGACGGGATCTGAACATGGAATTGTCATTCGTGATAGTGACCGGACGAAGTTTGTCCCAGGTGCCCGTTAAAGCCATCTGCCTTCCTGTTTCAGAGCAGTGACAAGCCACCCAGGACGCATGGATGCTAACGTGCAGCGCCGATCCTTACCGCCCCAAGCCCAGTTCTCTTCGGAGTATTTAGCCTTTGCCGTCAGGGGGCCGTTGGGCTTATCAGGACCAAGCTCAGGACAGAAGCAAGCACCGTGAACTAGCAGCTCGGCGAGACACCGTTGGCTGCCAGCCCACCCTGGAGGCGAAATTGCTCCAACAGATCCGGACGTGACGGTCCCAATGTCGAAATCTCAAGGGCCAAGACGTGGGCTGCGATCGACATCGAGGCGGTAAAGGCAGATACGAGAGGTAGTGCCCGCGGAGAGCACATAGATCCGACGACTGGCCTGTGGTCTTTGCGTGAAGACCTATTGTCAAGCAAACCTGTACGTATTATCCCACCAGGTGTCAGACAACGGACGGATGATCACCCTGCAACAGGAAATGTCGTTACCTGCTGGGAACGGGTCCTACCAGCCTTTCCCGGGCTTCACACTTGTCACTGTGTCAGCCCGACACTGTTCACACATCCAAACCTTGAAGAGGTGGGAGTCTAGCCTTTGCCCTCGTAGGAAACCCGGCATGCCTCCACTAGTTTCTGTCAGAAATCCCCAAGGCGTCTCAAAGCACTGAGTAATCTGCTCTCCAAGCACAGACCCTAGGAGCTGTAACAAGCGCGTACGAGTCACTCGTAGAGACAGCGAGAGGCTTGGTGGGGTACGCGTGGTATTGTGCCGCAAACTGTCAGAATGGTAGCAACTCCACATTGTATTTCCTGCCCTGTGGCCACCAATCTGTCAAGGATGGCTTTACTTGGTGCTATTGGCGACCATGAAATGGCCTTCCAAGGATATCTCACCATCCATCGCAAACCAAACAAAGTAAATTCCGACTCCGTGTCGATCACGGACGCGGAGTCGGTCAAACAGGTGGTCACCACTACCTCAACCTCTGTGCCTCATCTCGCCTGTGGCTGTTCACAAAGACGGCGTGTTGATGTCACATCGAAGCTGTGAAAGGTCCATCAGAAACCCGAGTTGCGACCGGGGTCAGAGAACGCTAACAGCAGAGTTCACTCATCCCTGCGTCCCAGGTGATAAGATCTCCAAGCCGGTTTGCTTGTCAAAGCTCTTCCACCCGATGCGACCGTAGGGAAGTGTTCATGCGCTACTGGCAAGGCTACTGCACGCCCAACACCCCTAGTTGCACAAGGACCAGGGATGTTGAGGGTTCTCCTGGTCAATGGCAACGCCTTTACCCCATCTTGCAATCCTGGTTGATCGGTCGCACCAGCCAGCCCACCAACGTGCATGGAACACGAGTGCCGCAACGTCCCTTGTTGATAGGCACCTAGGGAACGGTATCTTTTCGCATGGAGGGTGAGAAGTCCTCTAAATTGATCAACTCCCTACCCGTAGTATTTGGGCGTCGACTACAGTCCGATGGAACAACTGTCTTTAGGTTTTCGTACCTCGCCTAGAGACCACGAGGTTGACCTCTAACCGAACGACAATCCTACGAGTATATCGCCCGCTGAAAACCCCTTTCACTCTCTGATCGCGAGCGGGTCTTGCCTCGTGGGAGTTCTAGCCATTGCCTTCTCACTTTCATTGAGAGTCCATGTGCTTTGTCATTCACTGTGTTTTCATACTCGATCCTTTTCTGTTATCAGCCTGCGCGAACGGCAGTATCTGTTCAAGAGAGACTGATCTGTTGAACACGTGCAACAACTTCCCGAGTGCTGGCAAACATGGCGGACGCATTCGCCATGAAGAGCGGAGGGAAGTTCACCTCGGAAATCCACCACTCTAGATCCTCTTCCTCGGAGCAGAATGGGGAGAAATCAGTCAACAGAGATGAGCAGGAGATGGCCAGGCTGGGAAAACGCCAGGAGCTGAGGGTATGGCAAATAGCCGCATGACTGGTATGATAGATCGGTGCGACTGACTTCGGTAACAGCGGAATTTTGGCTTCATGAGCATGCTCGGTTTCTCCTGCACCCTCATGATCACCTGGGAGGGCCTGTTGACGGTCTTCGTGTATGGCTTGACGGACGGAGGACCGGCCGGCCTTGTATACGGGTATCTCTTCTGTTGGGTGGGATACTTCGCGGTTGTTGCTTCGCTTGCTGAGATGGTTTCAATGTGGGTTTTCTGCACCACGCTCTTGCTGTTATTGACCTTGTGAGCAGGGCACCGACTGCTGGCGGGCAGTATCACTGGACGTTCCTTTTTGCCCCCAAGTCTTGCCGCAACTTTCTTTCCTTTATCACCGGCTGGCAATCCGTACTCTCGTGGCAAGCTTGTCTCGCGTCGGCGGCATACCTCGGCGGCACCATCATCCAAGGACTCCTCGTTCTGAATTATCCCAGTTACGATTTTCAGAGATGGCACGGCACACTTCTCCTGTATTCCGTCATCTTCTTGGCCATGCTCTTCAATACCTACCTCGCCAAACAGCTCCCGAAGGTGGAGGGCGCCGTGCTGATCGTCCACATCGTTGGGTTTTTTGGAGTGTTGATCACCCTGGTGTACTTGGCACCACACGGCACCGCGCACGACGTTTTTGTCCAATACCTCGCCAATGGAGGCTACGACAAGGGCACCTCGTTCTTCGTGGGACTCATTACCACCGTTTTCGCCTTTATTGGCGCCGACGGTGCCATCCACATGAGCGAGGAAATCAAAAATGCATCGACGGTGGTGCCCCAATCTTTGGTGGCATCCATTGGTCTCAACGGCCTGATGGGTTTCGCCATGCTGATTGCGATCCTGTTCTGTATCGGCGACATCGACAATGCGCTTTCAACCCCGACAGGTTTCCCCTTCATCGAAATCTTCCACCAGGCTGTCAAGTCGAATGGTGGAGCGACCGCCTTGACTTCTATAGTCCTCTCGTTGATGATCTTTGCTACCATTGCGGTTTTAGCTGCGGCGTCCAGAATGACATGGGCTTTTGCCCGTGACAACGGTCTTCCCGGATCCCGATTCATCTCTCAGGTTGAGCCCCGAACCAAACTCCCGTTGTATTCGGTTGCGCTCTCTGTTCTGATCACGCTGCTGTTGGGACTGATCAACATTGGATCATCTGCTGCCTTCAATGCCGTCGCCTCGTTGGTCGTGTCTGGCTATCTCGGCAGTTACACCATACCGATCAGTAAGTGTCCCAGAGTTCCGATCCAAGATCGGCGAGGTTTCACAGATCTAACCCTTCGAATCTCGCCCCGAATAATACTAACGACATACTAGTTCTGATCCTGCACAAGAAGATATACAATCCTTCGTCCATACACTATGGCCCTTGGACGTTGGGGCGAAGACTCGGCATCTTCTGCAACCTTTTCGGCCTGTTATGGATTGCCATTGTCATGACCTTCAGCTTCTTCCCGTCTGTACGGACCGATTTGACACTGGAAACCATGAATTGGTCGTGCTTGTTATGGGGCGGGACTATGGTCATTGGCGTCGTGAGCTATTTCGGCTACCTCCGAGGCCGATACAACGGCCCTATTGTCGAGACGGACATTATCGAACAGGTTGCTCACGGAGTCTGATACTGAACGGAGATGCAATAAGGAGGTGGATGGCGGAGTATCCAACTCTCCGAGGTCCTTGGAATTCAGGGGTGCTCTGCTTTCGAAATGGACGGGAAAATGGTAGGATGACGGACCTCGAGAAAGTTGGTGTACACATTGGATACCTCGTGGGTTGTGTTTACGGGTACAAGGTTGTGCATGTAGATGGATCACCGGACTTTGTAGATATGGAAAAGGTTGGTGTCTTCCTGCGCTGGCTGGAGTGACCGGAATGTCTTGCTGCTATTTTGGGGAGTCCGGTAAACCTGCCACATCCGGACTGTAGGTGGGAAGCCTCGTCCGGGCAACACGAGCCTCCAAGCAGATCAACAATGTCGTTGATGTCGTTCATCCTGTGGAATGCCCTCTTCATTGACCAGGTACAGCTTGTCCATGTAGTGTTTGTTCCCAAAACTCGCCCAAGGTCCAGACACGGCGATAAAATCTCGCCTTACCCACCAGAATCCACCCATAATCTGGCACAAGCGACCCCGGAGAGCGCCACCTCCTTTTCTCACTGCGCCACGCCGCTCATCCTTTCCCTGTTTCGTTTCGTGTCTCGAGATCGCTGCAGACTCACCTGGAAAGCCGCAAGACTCATTTACCTTCACTTGACGGATTGTGACGATACTACAAGTACGCTGCATCGCTGAGTCTTTTCCTCCTGTCGTCCTCCCGAGCACGTCGCCCAGCTTGTCCGCGCAGTGGGATGATCATGTCTCAGACGTCGGTGCAAGAGCTAAAAGGGGGATTGGCCTCATGCGCGTAAATTTTGTGGGCAATTTGTGGAGAAGGATGATCTGCCAAGCGAAACAGTCGTTGCACACGAGTGATTGATGGATTGACTGAGGCCGTGATGGGCTGCTGGGCTGCTGGGCTGATGGACTGGCCCCCATCCCTGAAAAAAATTAAAAATAGTGTTGATGTTGGGCGCATCCCCGTGTTTTGGCGTTTGCGGGTGCGTTGTTGGGCTGAAAGAGCCTCTTTGGCGGTTTTGTTTTCCTTCTCCCTTCTTGTTACTCCATCCCTCCTTCAACCCCGTATTTCACTTTCCAACGAGATCGTGGTCGAGGTGAACGCGTCACTGCTCGATGTGTCCCATCCTGCATCCTCTTCGCTAGATGTAGATACCCACCTCGCCAGCAGATCATGAGCTCGTCGAGGACTGGTTCCTCGCGGTCCAGTTCCGATGGATCTCAGGTCGGACTCCTGAACGAGAAGCACGACTTCGACTACAATGCGCAGAACCCGACCACGAGCCCGTGGATGAGCATCGGTCCCTCTCGCCAGATCCCCAAGATCACCCTGTGCTTGTCCGTCAAATACCTTGCAAAACTCCTTGGTCAACTGTTCAACCTCTTTATCCCGAGTTTTCTCCAGCGTCGCGTTCATAATGACCAGTCCAAACCCGACAAAGTCGCTCCAACGGCGTTCCTCGATGGCATGCGCGGGCTTGCTGCCTTTGTCGTCTTCATCTGTCACCTCACCTATGGCACTTTTGATATCGCCCACGCATGGGGCGCCGTTCCGGACCCCGAACACCAGCCAGTATCTGCCTTCGGGGAATATCTGCGCTTACCCATTGTCCGCCTTCTCTATTCTGGTCCACCCATGGTCGCCATCTTCTTCGTGATCTCGGGCTACGCACTCAGCTATAAGCCTCTGAAACAGATGAGGTCGCGGCAACAAGAACAGCTGATGACGACCATGACTTCGTCCATCTTTCGACGGGGTTTGCGATTGTTCCTCCCCTGCTTCGCTTCGACGTTCATCGTCATCTGTCTTGCCCAACTCAACCTGTACAAACTCACCGAAGGGTTTTCCAACCAGATGCGCATGATCCGCGAGAGCCACTGCTACACTCAACCGAACCCCTGGCTGCAATTCACGGACTGGCTAGTTCAGCTTCTCATCTTTGTGGATGTCTTCAACTGGAACATATTCGCCGGGTCCATCGAGCTCGACCGGCACCTCTGGACCATTCCCGTCGAGTTTCGATGCAGCATGGCCTTGTTCCTGACGCATATGATGGTGGCGAGGATGTCCTCGCGGCTGAGGCTGTCGACTCTTGCGGCGCTGATGATCTGGGGCACCTCTTGGGACCGCTGGGAATTGTGTCCGTTCTGGGCGGGGATGGCGATTGCCGAGCTAGATATCATTTGGGCAACCCCGAAGACGTCTGAGCTGCCGTCAGCCGCAAACAGCCAGCCTCACACGCCGAGATTCTCATCCAAGGTCCTGTATTGGTCCACCTTCTGCGCTTCGCTTTTCCTGCTTTCCTACCCGGACATCGACGCCCACTCCACACCAGGCTATCTCACCCTGACCAATCTCATTCCCGCCAACTTTACCCAAAAGCATCGCTTTTGGCCGAACATTGGCGCAGTCATGATCGTCTGGTCGTCGTCACGCCTGGGCTTCTGGCGGAACAAGGCCTTCTGTTGGAGCCCGATCCAATATCTGGGGAAAATCAGTTTTCCTCTGTATGTCATGCATGGACCTGTCATCCACACTCTAGGCTACATGGTATAGAAACTACTCCCTCCCTCCCCCGTACCTTGAGACAATAGTTCAACTAACCTCCATTTCTAATTCCCCAGATTCTCCCTCGAACGCCCGAGGTGGAAACACCGGAGATAATGAGACAGTTCCAGCTCGAGTTCCTCAAGTCGTCGATCGTCATCGTCCTGGCCGTCATCTGGGCTGCGGACGTCTTCCTCCGAGCCGTCGATATTCCCTGCGTCAACCTCACCAGAAGACTGGAGAAAGCGTTCTTTAGCGGATGAAACTGTCCTGTTGCACCATTGGGTCTGTCTGTCACTGTCTGTATGTCTGTCTGTCAGACCGTCAGTCAGGCATTAGTGATGCATGATCACGCCGCTAACGCAAAGCCGCCCGGACAGCCGCCTGAATGGCCAAAGTGCATTTCAGCTCGTCCGAGATTCAACAATAATTCAGACCATGGTCTGCACGGTTCTATTTGTCGGATACAACAGAACGGGACGGCCCACAAACTCTTATTTCTGAAGGACTTTAATCCGACTCGAGCGAAGCGGAGGCATCCCGTCCTGAGAGCTCAATCGGGCTCTCAAAATTACCTGGAATCGTCACACGTTGATTATTGGCCGAGAGCAAAAGCCGACATGCACGCCCTCCTTCCAGTCGCGGGTGAGGCGGGAACTATTCCGCGGGCTTCGACCTTTACGCGGAGAACAGGCTGGGAGAAATGGTTCTGACGACAGGAGTAGGCAGACTTCGATAAGCAGGGATGCATCGGCAGAGGATGAGGACCAGGATGGAGAAGGCGAAGAACGGTGGGCGCAAAGCGGGAGACGAAAGGATGGGTGATCTGTTGGATGGTTGGACTGATCCAAGCACCAGAATGCCAACAAGGCCATCTAATCTTATCGCTTGGGCAACACGGAGGAAATAGGCGAGGCAAGTTGGAAAAGTCCGAGTGCAACGACGACATCTTGAACAAGTGGTCATGGCAGCCAGGTGGATTGACAATTGGCGATGGATACTTTGCTTGCGTCCGAGCAGAGGAGGCCAACAACATTGTCACATTGCCACTTTGCCGCTGATAGACGACTGCAGCAACTTTGATGGTCATTATCAAGAAATGGACAAATTTTGTTGCTCCCATACCCAAAAGAAACCCCAAAAGATGGACATGATGGACGACATGGAGCCTCGCTAGAGAAAATCAAGCCGCGCATGATGCAAAACGAGCTCGTGCACAATTTGCCATGTCGCTACTGCACGCCTTGGTATCTGCTTATTTGCCTTTCGGCCTCTCCAGTGTTGAAGCCGCCGTGGCTTCCGGCTGACTCTTGGTGTTCTCCTCGTTCACGGCGTCAAAGATCTTTCCTGGGTTCATCAGCCAGTACGGGTCCAGGCTGCGCTTGAGAGTCTGCATCACGCCAATGGTCTCGAGGCCCAACTCGTCTATCAGGCTTTGCTTTTTGCCCAGCCCGATGCCGTGCTCGCCAGTGCATGTGCCTTCCTGTAGCAGGATTGTTAGCGTGGCTCCTCTTTTTTCCAGGGACTGCTTTTTTACGAGAGGAACTCGGACGTACCATTTCAAGAGCTCGGTCGACCATGTTGTGGACGACTTGTTCAACACGCTCCCTCTCCTTTGGATCTTGGCGGTTGTACAGGATGGATGTGTGGAAATTGCCGTCTCCAATATGCCCGAGCACGCTTGCGAAAAGGCCCAAATCGTCAATCTCCTTCTTCGTGATCTCTGTGCCATGTGTCAACTCAACAACTCCTCCACGCAAGATGCTTAGATATGCTTACCGACGATGTCGGGCAACCGTGAGATCGGGACCGCGACGTCAGTAGACCAGACTTCGTCGCCGTCTCGGCGCAAAGAGAGCATGCTCCACAACGAATCTTTTCTAGCCTTCCACAAATCATGGGCCTCTCGGTCGTCTTTTGCGTAGATGAAATCACCGCCCTTGTTCTTCTTCGCGATCTGAGTGGTGAGCTTGATATTATCCTGTACCCCCGCAGTCGTGCCTGAAAACTTGAAGAAGATGGTAGGCACTTCTTTCCATGTCCGATTTGTGCCTCCTGCGCGGTTGATCACCGACATTTGCACGTCGTCCATGATCTCCATCGCGGCAACAGGAACGCCTGCACGGATCACCTGCGAAGCTGCTGCTGCTGCATCACGGATTGTGGGAAACGTGGCGACGGCGACTTTTGTCTCCTGGGGAATGACTGCCAATTTCAGGGTGGCCTCCGTCACGATCCCAAGGGTACCCTCCGCGCCGACAAAGAGACCTGTCAAGTTGTAGCCTGCTGCTGTCTTGCGTGGCCTTTTACGGGTCTTGATGATTCGACCGTCTGGCAGAACGACAGTCACGTTCAGAACCCAGTCTTTCATGGTGCCATAACGAAACGCATTGGTGCCGCTGCAGGATGTGCCGATCATGCCACCGATTTTTGCCGAAGGGCCAGGATCCACTGGGAAGAAGAGACCGGTATGCTGCAGCTTATCATTCAGGTCCATCCACTGAATGGCGGGTTGGACCACGACGTCCATATCCTCTGGATGGATGGCTAGGATTTGGTCCATGAAGGCAAAATCGATACTAAAACCCCCAAAAGGCGCGGCAAAGTTGGCCTCCAATGAAGAACCTCCAGAGTAGGGAATCATTGGAACCTTGTATTTTGAAGCAATTCTGGCAATCTGGGAGACCTCTGCCGTCGTTTTAGGGTAGGCCACTGCAACTGGCAATTGATCAATGTTGATCGAAGACCATTCGGAATAGCCATGTGATTGGAGATCCTCGTCATCCGTGCTGATCGCATCCTCCCCTAGAACTTCACGAAGCTCTATGATGGCCTTCTCCATATCCTTCTTGCTCGCGTACCTGGGAGGTTTAGGTCGACGGGGCAGCAGCTCATCGGCGTGATTCCCTGCATCAGTGACTCCCACGGCGTACCCAATTGAGGCCAGCGCCCCTCCAAGCAGCAGAACTCTACTGGTGGTCCATAGAGGAAGATTCGGTTTTGCCAGCGACTCTGCTGCTGAAGCTCTGGTCGAATAGCATACTCTTGTGGCTGCTTGTCGAGGTCGAGGCGCACGAGGCCCATAAACCAAACGCGGTGTGGCGAAAAGTCTTTTCATGGGGGCACTTTCAGCCCATACTCTAAGCAAGTCCGAGCACAGTCTGGCCCTTTCCATTGGAACATTGAAGGTGTAGTAACTTAGGCAGAAATATGCGTGATCTGAGCACTTTCTTGCAGTTGTAACCAGGAGAGGTTGGCTGTCGTCAGGTAAAATATGAGGGTAGATTCCGACCATTTAAGATGCCCTCCAAGAGCTCTGCTCTAGGCGGTCACGGAATCAAAGCCGCCTGGACATGAGGGGGCGCTCGGCTGGTTGTCAATCGCGCCATCCACCAAGTTAGCGGGGTTGGCAGCGCTACATTGCCGCTCGATCTGCATTCTGGGCTGCAAGGGCTAGCCAGGGTCTTCCCATTAGAGCTGTTGAGGAGCTGACGAGGTGTGATCCTTTCCACATATCATTCAGCTCGAGCAACATCCACGCCACGGCAGCAGGAGCTCCCCGATCAGCCCTTTCCCTGAAGTGCTGGTCGGACCAGATTATGCCCTGAAAACTAGCGTCAAGAATGGGCTCTGGACTGGCCCATCAGCGAGCGGGTGACGACATTGAACGGAGGTGAGGGCGCATGCGAGATCTGAGATCTGCTGATACCGAACTGTCGGACCTCAACTCTCTGTTTTCGCGGCCGCAGCTAACTCTTTTCACTATCACAAAGCCTCGCCGGAGGAGCGCGGCATGTTGTGTCGCCAGCAGAAGCTTTCTTGAGCATTGCAGAGTGGTGGAAGGGTTAGAACAACGTCCGCGGATTCGTTTGTTTGCTGCGTTGCCAGTGGTGCTCATGCCGGTAAAAGCGTCTTTTGAAGTTGATTGAACAAACAAAGCAAGGCGTGACTCAACTCATGAGGTGGCTGATCTGTTTGCTGACCTTAGCATCTCATCTAGGCCCAGGGAAACAAAGAAAAACTCACTCAAGGTGTGGGATTGCGCTTTGTTCAAGTTGGGCGGTGTGTTCTGCTGTCGTCACTGTCCGGATGCGGTTTTGACAACTTGCACCCTTTTTTCACTCGGACTTTTCATTTCCACTTCCACCTCCATCCACCATCGCGACACCTCGCCGCATTTGCTTTGCAGCTTTACCGTTCATCCGATTTAAGATCCTCCTTCAACCTCTGTACCAGAAGCTCCAGCCTTTTGCCTCCCTCCGAATTTTTGACCAAGTTAGCCATCATCAACCCTCCAGTCACGTTGCTAGCCTCGGCTGCAGCCTCGCTTATCAGCCTCACCTCACCCCGGTCAATCTAGCTGTGTGGATCTCAATCACAATTCCATTTCAGTCTCCAGACAATCAACGTTGTCCAATCTCTGGCGACAATCACTCTCTTGACCGCCGGTCTCACCTTCCAACCCCGCCATTCGACCCGACGATATCTCCCACTCGGGCTATGGCCAGCTCCCCTCGTGCCCACCTCGGACTGCCATAATGGATCCACGTCCGTCAGTGGCGCTGGACAAGCTTGATATGTATGGTGCGACGCGCCAATCTAACACCGAGCAAGAATGGAGAAGCTGGCCATCTGTGAAAGCAACGATTCCTAACTTGCCTCGCGGCACAACGACCTACGACATCCACAAAAATCTACAACGCTTTGGAAAGTTGGAATATATCCGTATCGAAGAAACTCGCCAAGGCAACTTCGCCCGATATGCCCAGGTTATGTTCAAGTAGGTGCAACCGTGGTTGCTGGGCATTTTCGCTAACCATAACCACAGACCACCACCTCCCCGGAGAGCTCCATGGGACCCGGCCTACAAGCATGGCATCGACTTTCCTCTTCGAGAAAAATATGTTGAAAGAAAATACAAAGTTAGGGTTTGGCTGTCTCACACCCAACCTACGATTCAGCTCGTTGAGAGTCCTGCTTCCCCCGGCCTCAAGTATCCATCGGAAATGGCTTTGTTCGGTACGTCGATCGACTTCGGTTTTTTAGACAATCCGACCTTGATGGTTGTCAAGGCCAGCAAGTCCGATGGCCATGGCAGTGGTAGTGGTGTTAGACTCCTTCTCAATCTCAGACGGCTTGAATTGGAAGTTCACTTCCCGGTGATGATCAAGTCAAAGGGCAAGACAAGCGAAAGAGCTTACCGGTTCTTTGTCGCTCTTGACGATCAGTTTTCTCTTTCCGAGATTCCAAACGGCGAGATGTCGTCCTTCGTAATCAATGCCAAGCATCCGCCGTGGTATTCAAGACAACTGAAGGAGGCTATGCAATTGAGCCACGACCCGAGATCATTCAAGTGGTCAGCGGACGACACATGGTCTCGGCAAACCGACATTGTTGATGAGAAGGAAACTTTCCACAAGATCGACAGCAGTCCTGTGTCGGTGCAAAAGCTCTACAACAGCATTGACATTGCTCGTTGGACGACCTTCCGGGTCACTATCAAGCCAAGCTCCGATCGTCCCGACAACTCTCTGAGTCTATTTCTACAGGCTCTTGCAGACTTCAATATTCGCATAAACCAAGATCCCTTGTTCAAAGTCGTAACGAGCCCGAGTGGCGTAGCACCACTTTGGCGTATCCTGGGCGATACTTCCACACACCAGTCTCTGTCGGACCAGCTTTCCTTACCTTACCTCGATTTCGATTTGAGATATCAGCTTGAGGTCTGTATCTCCAAAGGTTGGCTCAATGAGTACAGCTTGGACGAAAACTTCTTGCGACGCCTTGTGGGAATGCGGCCCGAGCGTGCGAAGCAGATGCTCATCCACGTCGATTCCTACCAACAAAGAGTTTACGATCCTTTGTCCATTTTCACCGACCTGCGCTACTCCAAGCCTGTACGTGCTCGCGCGTTGCCGTCAAATTGCGCAGAAATATATCATGCCACAGTCACTGCAACCCGCATCCTCTTTCACACTCCGTCCGTCGAGATCACCAACCGTATCGTGCGGAAATATAGGCGCTTCAGTGATCGGTTTCTTCGAGTGCGCTTCGAAGATGAGCCATACAGGGGTCAAACAAAGCTCTATCCTGCAACAAATGGTAGGATGAAGCTCATATTTGAGAGAGTCCGTCGTACGCTCAAGAATGGCATTGTTCTTGGTGATCGACATTACGAGTTTCTCGCGTGGGGAAACTCACAGCTCCGAGAACACGGAGCCTACTTCTTTGCTTCCTCGCAAAACCCTGTCATCACCGCCGACAGCATCCGCAGAGACATGGGCACCTTTGATCACGAAAAAGTTGTAGCAAAACGAGCTGCGCGAATGGGACAGTGCTTTTCTACGACAAAACCGGTCCCGGTGCTCAGTAGGAACAGTTGGAAAAGAGACCCGATCCCTGACATAGTTAACGGGCAGTACACTTTTACCGATGGAGTGGGTAAGATCTCTCCACTCGCTGCTCAGCTTGTCAAAACAAACCTCAAACTTGCCGGCGAGCATCTACCTTCGGCATACCAATTTCGACTGGGCGGCTGCAAAGGTGTCCTGGCTGTAGACCCCAAGCTCAATGGCGTTGACATCAAGATCCGACCAAGTCAATACAAATTCAACTGCGATTCAGACGAATTGGAGATCATTCGTGTCTCAGAGTTCTGGCAACCATTCCTCAACCGCCAGCTCATCTTGGTGCTCTCGGCGCTCGGCGTGCCTGATGTTGTGTTCTTGCGCAAACAATTAAACTGCATCAAGGCATTGGATGCCGCTCTTGTGGATGATACGGCTGCCTTACGGGCATTACGCGCGACCGTTGATCCCAATTCAATCACTCTCAGCGTTGCTGCCTTAATAGAGGCCGGGTTCTCCAAGATCCATGAACCTTTTGTGGCTTCTCTTCTACGACTTTGGAGGGCCTGGACATTGAAGTACCTCAAAGAGAAGGCGAAGATACCGATCACTCAAGGTGCCTTTGTACTCGGCGTTGTCGACGAAACGAAGACGCTTCGTGGCCACATCAACGACATCCAGCCTGGGCTCGACGCAAGCCGGCTAGAGAAGGAGAAATCTCTGCCGGAGATATTCATCCAATATACCGACCCGGAACAAGAAGGAGTCCGCCGTATTATCGAAGGCATTTGTGTCATAGCGCGGAATCCGTCCCTACACCGAGGCGACGTACGAGTAGTCAAAGCCGTCAATGTGCCACAGCTACACCACCACTGCGACGTCGTGGTTATGCCAGCGACTGGCGATCGTGACTTGCCAAGTATGTGTTCAGGAGGGGATCTCGATGGAGATGACTACATCGTGACCTGGGACCCAGATCTGATACCTTCGGAGTGGAATGCTGAACCATTTCACTATACAGCTCCGAAGCCAATCCAAAAAGAGGAAATATCCGTCGACGATATCATCAACTTCTTTTACGATTACATGCAGAATGATTTTCTTGGAAGAATCGCCAATGCTCATCTCGCGGCCGCTGATTATCTCCATGACGGTATCAACAGTGAGCAATGTTTGAAGCTTGTCGAATTACATTCGTTAGCTGTTGATTATCCTAAGACCGGCGTCCCTGCTGAGATGAGTCGAGACCTTGAACGAAACAACTGGCCTCATTTCATGGAAAAGAGGCGACCCGGAAAATATCGTTCTACGAAGATTTTAGGGCAGTTGTACGACGCGGTTGAGAGAGAAAAATTTAAGCCGCATTGGTCAGGAACTTTTGACCGGCGAATTCTTATACACGCTCCGGCTGATGAGATCATGCAGACTGTGAGCAATCTGAAAAAGAGTTATGATGAGAGTATGCGGCGCATCATGGCTCAACATCAAATCGGCTCTGAGTTTGAGGTTTGGTCTACCTTTGTACTCCACCACAGCAAAGTCTCTAGAGATTTCAAGTTTCACGAAGAGATTGGACAGCATGCCAAAACTTTGAAGGAGCAATACTACGATGCATTCTGCCAGGAGGCTGGTGGACATGAGATAGAGAAGCTCAAGCCGTTCGCGATAGCAGCTTATCATGTCACTCATAACGAGCTTCGAGAGGCGCAAGCACAACGGCGAAACGTTTCCGAGGACGAGTCAGAGGCTGTTGATACGGATGGGTCCGGTTCCGCTGACACTAACATGCCCTTCATATCGTTCCCATGGGTCCTTCAGGATACTCTTGTGAAAATTGCGAGGAACACAGTTCTACACGACGAAAGCGAGACGGTACAGAGAGCTGAGCAACGATGCACGCCTAGTGACGAAGCTGTACAGGTGGAGACTGGGCTTCTCTTTGAGGGAATTGGTCGCAAATGGACTTATCATGGGAATCACCTGCCCGATCCATACTTGCCTGTTGCAAGAGGTACGAATAGTGCTCGATCAGAAATAAATGTCGCGATGCGGAATGAAACTTCGAGGCTAGGAGGAATGCAACTGTCCTCTCCCAGACAAAACACATCAGAAGAGCTTCGGCCGATCAAACAACAAGCTGTCAACCTACTCGGAAACTCAGAAGATCAATCCGCGTCCGATATCAGCTCGATGGTTTCTTCTAACGTCCCTTCAGTGGTTTTAAGCAACCTGAGTGCCTCTACCAGCTCCGATGACGCCGACTCACCACCCTCGCCTGCGGAGAATGAAGTGGCCTCTTCCCGGATGTCTGGCTCCTATGTCGCAGGTTGTTTCCAAAACTCCCTGATGTCGACTTCGACCAACATACCTCCACTTATTGTCTACGAGAAGCTGCCGCTCCAAGACCCAGGATTGATGACAGAAGAAGAGTTTCGTGCATTTGAGGGCGATGGTGATGATGAGGATGACTATACTTTCTGAGCCTGACGCCTGTACAGAATCACGATCAGATCCAGGATACGCCACCAAGACTTCTGAGGCACTCAATGACGTCGAATGATGGATGTGATTGTCTTCAGCAGCCTGCATCACTTCCCGTGCCCCTGTCTTTGATACACTTTCCAGTCTTGTATGGCTGCCTAAACACCAGAACAAAAAAACCAAAGGCCTCGCCAGGCCAAGGATGGGATTGGACTTTCGACAAGGTTTTCTCCTATCTACTGTGCTCGAAAACAGCATGATACCCAAAATCACAGCGCGGCGTTCGGGCCATTTGATCGGGAGAAGGGGACATGACTTTCAACATGTGGGCGTGTAGTCAACTTTATGATATGCATGACATGGCATCAAAAATGATAAAGGCACACCCAGCGGTGGCACCTGAGGGGAGGAAAATATGTGACCGCAGGGCACGGGTGGCTTTCTCGAGGAGCGAGGGATTCGTAACGAGACTTAGTATGGAGTCGAGAGCTCCGAGATAGGCACCCATGAAATGCGAAGTTGGAACTCATCTTGATCTCCCGTGTCAATGTGGAAATCGAGTAGATGCACTCGACTGGGCTAAATCGCTGCTCAGAACGCGGTCCATGACGAAGCAGGTACGGAGAGAGTTTCGTAAAGGCTCACGCGCTCTTCGGGGGGACATGGGTTCTCTGATACCCCCGTGAGTCAGCGTTGGAAGAGAGGAGCAGATCGAAGCAGGTCGTGTCATTCAGATCTTGACCGGCCTGTAGGAAGGGAAGAGACAGAGAGATATGGAGGTTAGATGACGGTGGAGATTGATTTCAAGTACTCTTAAGTCTCTTGATTGATTGGAGGAATTCATCGTTGCATTCCCGAAAGGACATGCGCCGACCTAGCCACTGTGATGTTTGAAATCCGTTATCACTTTCAACGCAACAAGCAGAGAGAAGAAAAGACTCCCTAGTCGTTGGTCTGTCAAGGCTTTTCTCGAGGGTCGCAACCGCCCTTGGCCACTAGAAGAACAGCAGACCCTGATTTCGCATCGTGACTGTCTTTTCCACCACCACGACCTGCAACCTCGCACCTTGTTTGCCGGGTCATTTTGCAGGGTTTCACCTCACCTCGCCGCCCCCACCGTAATCGCCGCATCACGTTCCATCTAGCCCTCAAAATAAAAGACACAAAAACCAGTCTCTGGGCGCTTAGATGTGCGTATCGTAAGGTTGAGGCGCAAGACTCTCCACGCCTGTGAACTCAACGACGTGGGATTTTCGGGGACCCTGGGGTTGACGCTTCAGTTGCACGGATTCACCCTTCTCCTTGGCTTCGCGGCGGCGTTTGGCGTTCGACTTGACTCTGTTCAGGACTGCAATTTGTCACATCACGAATCAGTAAAGATCGTCTCCACCGTATTTCGCATAACTCCCTCGCAAGAAGTCTAAGGACCGTTGTGGGAATAATCGTGTGGGAAGCGAGGTAGGCGGAACTTACACTCTTCTCTCGATCTCGAATGGGCGATATGCTCAACACGGACATTGACTCGCTTCTCGATGTATCGGTTTCCGACTCGCTTGTAGATGATGACTCCGACGGCGGATTTGGTCACGTTGTACACGACGCCGGTCTTGCCATGGTACACTTTGTAGGGCATCTGAATTTGTCCAAACATGGATCAGCTATCGGGTGGTGTGGTGCGAGAAACAAAACTCCTGCTCATCTGGAAGATCGAATTGGAGGTACAACATACACCCTTCTGAACTGCGCCATTGGCCTTGATGTCGACGATATCACCAACTCGGTATATCTTCATGTACGTCGAGAGGGGGATCATGCCCTGTAAAATTCACGTCGTCAGTCCTTCGGCTTCTCCATGTACATTCTCTGGCAGGTCGTACCTTCTGGCGGAAGTTGCGGCTGAACGCATAGCGCGTGCCCGACCGGAGACCTCGAGAATGACCCATTGTGACGGATGAGTTCGAGGTGACTTGTCGGTAAGGAAAGATCTAGTTGTCGAGACGGATTGTAGAACTCTTCAATGTGGGTGCGGCTGAAGGCGCAGTTTCCCCAAAATCGATGCCAAGCCGCGGAGCCTGAAATTCGAATTGTGCGGCGCGCCAAGACCCGAAATCCACCAATTTTGCACACGAGACACAAGCCCACCTCAATCGCATCTCTCTACAAAAAAAAAGGTCCAACCGCCCAACGACCTCTCACCTGCGACGACCATCTCGATTGCGCAGTCTACATCGCAATCATGGCGCCGCGATCCTACTCAAAGACCTACAAGGTCCCTCGTCGACGTAAGTGCCGTCCCTTCGTGCCCGAAAGTGACCACGAGCTGACTTCGCACACACAGCATTCGAGTCTGCTCGTTTGTACGTTCAATGAAATATCCTGGCCACTGAGCACTAGCTTGCCTGTGCTTCATGTCTGAGATATCCTGACAGTCCACTAGGGATTCGGAATTGAAGATTGTCGGCGAATATGGCCTGCGCAACAAGCGGGAAGTCTGGCGTGTCCAGCTCACTCTGTCCAAGATCCGTCGTGCTGCCCGGTATGGAATCACAAATCATTCTTCTGAATCTATCCTCTATTGCGGACGATGCTGGAGAGATTTTTGACTAACACCTTTTATTTCACCGCAGTCAACTCTTGACCCTGGACGAAAAGGACCCCAAGCGTCTCTTCGAAGGCAACGCCCTGATTCGCCGTCTCGTCCGTGTCGGCGTGCTTGACGAATCTCGCATGAAACTCGATTACGTGTTGGCACTCAAGGTCGAAGACTTCTTGGAGCGCCGCCTACAAACCTGCGTCTACAAACTCGGGCTCGCCAAGTCTATCCACCACGCTCGTGTCCTCATCAAGCAACGACATATCCGAGTTGGCAAGCAGATCGTCAATGTTCCCTCCTTCGTTGTGCGACTGGATAGCCAGAAGCACATTGACTTCGCGTTGACAAGTCCCTTCGGTGGTGGCAGACCTGGCCGTGTCAGGAGAAAGAAGGCCAAGGCTGCTGAGAAGAAGGATGAGGATGGCGAGGAGGGTGGCGAGGACGAGGAGTAGATCACGCGATGAGATAACGAGTGGCGACTACTCGGTCCTTCCAGCACTGACGACATCGATGCTGATAAGAACGTGGGCATACCTGATGGAGGGAGGGCTATGTGCTAAAAGCAAAAGAGAGCCCATCCCGGCAAGATCAAGGGGGGAGACCCGAATGAAATGTCAAGTCGAGGATTTCACCATGCCAGCGCCTAGTTGGCATCAATTAGCGATACCAAGTTTCCTCATGCCAAAAACTTCATCACATTTCATTTCCGTTTCTCGATCTAGGGTATCATCGTGAGGGATATCAGTAACGCCGGCAGCCTTCCAAGATACCCGTACAAGTACATCGTTCCCTGCCTGTATACCTTCATTTTCTTGTCAGGAGTTGTGCTTTTCATCCAGCCCTAGCAACCCGTTCATCACAGCCTCGTTCGCTCTATACCATCTCCCCAATTCCTCCACTTCATCTCTCCCTCCTTGCTCACGCCGCCTCCTTCCCTCGATTGCCAGCTTTGTGCTCTCGTTGCGCCTCTTCTCCAACTCAGCCAGCTCGCGATCCATCTTCTCCACCTCTCGCACCTTTGCGGGCATCTGTTTCTGTAGCTCTGCTATTTGCCGATCGATTTCGGCATTTCGCTCTCGCTGTTCCACGAGCGCTTGTTCCGTCGCAGTGAGCGAGAGATGCATCCTTGGATCGCCGCTTCCGGGATGAGCACTGTCGTCACCTTGCCGAGCAACAATTTCGGCTTGTAATATCTCGACCTCTGCCTTCAACGTCTCAATCTCTGCAGGAACTCTTTCCAACACATCCAGGCCCTCTCTGACGCCCTCATAAGCGTGTGCCACATCCCTCGCTCGTCCCTCCATCTCCTTGACCAAGGCATCGACCTCCTCCTTTTTCGTCTTCAACTCTCTCTTCATGACCGCTAGCCTCTCCTCCAGAACCAAGTTGTCTTCATGGCTGACGACGAGGGGGGGATCTCCTACGATGCTGCGCAGGTATTTCTCCTTGGTGACTTGTTCGAGGTAGCTGAAGCGAAGTTTGGAGAAGAGTTCTTTGTAGTGGGCGAGGTCGGCGAGGAGGGTGGCGGGAGTGACCTGCAGGTTTGATTCAGTCTCTGAAGTGGACAGAGTATCTGAAGGACGGGATCGCGACTCTGACTGCTTTCGAGGATGTGTTTGTGACGCGGTAATGGGCTCCGCGAGCGCGATGATTGAGAGGGGCTGCGCAGCTTGTTGAGCGCGAAGGGCCACGAGAGTATCTTGATAATCCATGGATCCTATCGTCCAGAGAGAGTCGAGTCAATACGTGGAATAGTATCGTAGAACGGAGTTGACGTGCTGGAGACTAGTACTCTATAATTACTCTGGTGTATCCGGAAATGTAAACAAACGACGCCAAGTCAGTCGATCCTGTGATGTCAACATCATAACGGTACGAATAATACGCGCTGATCTCAATAGCCGCTACATGAGGCTCTCACGCCCTCTACGCTCTATGCCGTCGACTTTAACAGCTCGTGCTTCAATCTCACTCCGTCCAAGAGAAGAATGCTATCATGCTGCATCCCTGGCTTAGCAGTATCCTGCACTCTGCGACACCAATGGTCGACCCCGGTCATGCAGCTACTCGTACTACCGCAGGGGTCGAAACGCCGCAAAGCAGAATTTACTGTAGCCGCCCGCAGGCCTCGACCTCACAAAAGCGTCCAGGTACACTGAGTATATGAGCTAGCTTGTCTCTCGTTATCATGCATGTCCACGCATCATTCATTCCGCCACTGTCCATTGAACATGGCGCAGCCTCACAAGGCTGGAGGGACTTCTATCGACACTGTTTATCTGAAGGAAGACTCTGGCCCTTCTCAAGCCTTCTTACATGGACCTGATGGTAACATCAGACACTTAAGTTCAGGGGCACAGAGGAATGCTACCTATTCCCGTTTTCTCTGGCTCGCGATCCCTACGGTTCTCGCGGTCGGTATCTTTGTTGCAGACTGTCGCGATATAACATTTGGTGGACGATTCTACACTGTCGTGGTCGAAAATCGCGCCTCCATTTCGATTGCGGTGTAAATCTTGTCCGCCGGCCTTGCTTCAATCCAGGTTGCGGCTGTCAGTGGACTTTTCAACTTTGCAACGCGCCTCCGTCTCACCAAGACTCCTACATCGCTTGGCGTGCTGCAATTCTGGAACGCAATCAGCTCTGGGATCCTGACATGGAGTCTGAGGCCCGAGCTCCTTGCTCTTTTGTGCATCTATTTGGGAGTGGCTGCTGTTCCAAGTGCGATTTGGGCCGGCTCACTCACACCAGTCGCTACATCCACAAGTCATGCAACGACCGTCCGAATACCTCAATATTCCAACTTGTCTCTGGTAAGAGAATGGCCGTCCGAAATAGGGAGCTCAGGGCCCTTTCTTCGAAACACAAAGGGCTTCTTTACTTACTCCATCGGGATTCAATACGTCGGGCAGTTGACGCAGTCACTCACTACCGGCACCACGACTGACGGGTCAGCTCGCCATCACATCAAATACGACAACTCCAATTTCTTATACATTGGGCGATCCTTTGGAGTCGGCTCTTCCGTGGGGCTCGTCGATGATGACATTCTCCGGAATCCCCTGGCCCAAAGCTACCACTTCCAAGAGCTGGGATACGCAACTGAGGTTAGTTGCGACCGCAACACGAGCGCCGGTTTCTTCCAAATCTCTCCAGACGCAGTGGAAGACATGCTTTATGCGGCTGAAGGCTATCTACCCGACAGCACTGAACCCGAGTATTCGGTCTACGTCGGACACGGCCCCAGCGCCATCGTGGCCTTTGGCGTTGCTGCTAACCAGGCTAAAATGACCTCGCGTCGGTACTTGGGTATTGCGGCCGGCAGCTCCTATGTGAACCTGAACGCAATACAATGTGTGCTCGACTTCATCCCGGCGACATTTGACATCGCCGTTGACGCTAACGGAAAGAGTATCAACACCGCTCGCCGGACGGCACACTCAGGAGATGATGCCCAATTTGCTCCAGCCTCTGACATGGAGCCGTCCGGGGACTTGACTCACGTCGTAGCTCGGCAGTTTGAGCTGTACACCAACGACCTTACCAACATCTATCAGAGCGTGGTTGGGAACGCGTTGAATCTTAGCATCACAGACTACCAGACCTTTCTCCTACGAGCCCAATCGGACAACATCAGTGCGCGCTCTTCAGACTCGGCAAGTTTGAGAGGCGTCGAAAATTCCATTACCGCAATGCTTGACGACATTCTGGTCGGGTACGCAAGCGCACAGTTGATGATAGCCAAGGACTCGATCGAGATACCCGCCACCGTCTCTCTGTCTGCCATCCGGTTCGGTAAATCGGTCTACGTCTATGTCAACATCGCCATCAATGTACTGGTGCTGTTACTCGTGGCAGAGGAGGCTGCCCGCAGTAGAGGGTGGAAGAACCTCGCAACTTTCGACTACACCAACCTTACGCACCTGGTCATCGCGGCATCGAGGGGTGGCCGAGGCATCTTGGATGCTGTAGGGGAAGTGTCACCAACGGCAGAGCCCAACGGATATGCAGCCCGCGCCGAATTTGGAGGTTCCTGGAGGATGACTCGGTTGGCGCGGCTGCTACGGTGGATCTCTGGCCGCGATAAAGCGAAATCCCGAGTGAGGATCTTGCTAAGGGAAGACGAACTGCCAGAAGCAGTAGAACAGGGCAGAGAACGCGAGGGCCTCGGCAGGTTTCGCCTCGCTGTCGCTTAGACTTTGAGCTCATGCGATTTCTTTTGCTTTTGGTCAAAAGATATAGAACCCAGAAACAAGAATGCCCCTTGGCTGACTGCTGTTGGCAGTGTTGCGAAGAAGCACCACGGCAGTATTCAGCATATAGGGCTTGACACCCAGTTGGGTATCGGCCTTGCCGCCCTACTCAGTCCCACTACCGGATCCCAGCTGTGAATTGATACTCAACCTATACTGCATAGGTATACTCTGGAGATGATGGCAACGCCACACGATCACTTGCGACGCCAAGTATCTGAACCCCACGGGACTGAAACTGGGTCTCCTGGCAAGGCCGGCGGATTCAATCTCTCCCTTCCAAGGTTTGAGTGTAGGTGATAGTATCCCATGGGAGCTCGTCGTTTCCAATGATGCAGGTAATCTTTTTGATGAAGAAGATTTCCCGCAAAGGCCAAGTCCTCTGGAAATACGGCTGATGGATGATGCAGTCGATCCCGCGGAGCCAGGACTTGCGGCCACGCACGAAGGGGACGATCTCAGTGAATTGGTCCTTGCCTGCCTTGAGAAAGCCGCCTCGCAACTGTTGCACGGCGAAATCGAGCGGCTTCTCTGCCGACAACATGTGGTGGCGGCAACGACTGACGTGCCTTGTGACCTCAGAAATATCATCCGCGTCCTCAGTCCCCTCGCCTAGATAGACGAAGCATTCGTATGCCCCACGATAGATGCTGCTTATCAACCCGATATGTGATTACGCTCGAGGATCTCAGATTGGTCGATAGACACACTCTATCGAACCCTGAGAAGGGGGATCAGGTCGTGGGTGATGGGCGGTCGACTACGGCGTCCACCGCTAGTCCTCTTTTGGCCGACACGCTCGCGACGTCTTTACCTCCGACCTCGAACGCCTCTCTTTTCCTCCTGACAGTTATCTTGTTCCGCCCGAGAAAATGACCGCTTGCCAGCGATAATGGACCACATCGCCCCGCCAACCAATCCGCACAGACCTCATCTCGTGACAAAGGTTCCCTATATATCTCCAGGAAATCTGGCGTTTGATCGTGGCTCGTTTTCAAAATTCCCGGTACGGGCGGGGTGGGAAATTGCGCAGAGCTCAGGCGGTGAAAACCCCAGTGGACCGGACCATTCATCATCACCTGGGCTCTCGACAAAGTGTGAGGAAGAGATCGCGACGATTTTGCAAGAATGGTGCTTCTTAGGGTTCATGTGGGAAGTCTTTGCGACGAGCGGGATCCATATCGACTTTGAAGACTTCAAGGAGGACATTGTACCGAGCTGTACAACTAAGGCTGTTGATAGCGGTAGATTATCCTGTTGGCCCTCGCAATCCCTCACCACGAAGAAATTGCCGCAATATATACGTCGATGGGAAGAAGTTTCGCGGATCCGTGACTTTCAAGATATCGAGAAACGTCGAGCGGTAGGGGACCACTTGTCAACTATTTTCGCCGCAGTGTTTCAATTCTTGAATGATATCGAGGATCTGATTACCAAAAGTCGAGGGATAGGAAACAGCTCGACGAACAATTCGACAGTGGACTGCACAAGGCTGGGCCTTATGCACGCGTGCTGCGTTCTCTGCGTTACCACGCTCTTCGCAGTGTTCTCCCGCTCGCTGTACTCGGGCTGGGTCACGTCTCTGCCACGTCGACCACGCAGCGTTTTGAATCCTGAACGCATGCTTCGAGCAGGATGGTGTATCAGCGAAGTATCCAGACTCTTGAATGAAGGGACCGATGAGGTCACGTTGTGGTTTCTCGGGACCATGGATCGCTGGACGCTAGGTAAGAGGCATGACTTGGGTAGATGTTCTCAGAGTCACTGTGCCTACGATGCGATTGATGAAGCTGAGTACGTGACGAGACACTATCATGGTTGTTCAGGATGTGAGTTTGTGGACTTGGGATTGTCAGGAAGGAATTTGATCAATTCTATTGTACGAAAGGATCGAATACCTGGGATCACTGTCCACCTGCAGATAGACCGAGCAGACCCTACAGTACTTGCTGAGCCCCTGGATGTGAGGGAGCAAAACAAGGACCACAGGCTCTCTTCGCGATTCATGAAGACTAACGCTAGTCTGAAGAAATATCAGGCCTATGTGGCAATTTCACATGTGTGGTCAGAGTAAGTAGCCCCTCCTCATACAAACAAAATGTGCTTGATATCGACCAACGCCAGCGGCCTCGGGAACAGAAATGCCAACGCTATACCTCTGTGCCAACTCTGCAGACTCCAGCGCCAGGTTAATGCACTATTCGACGCCTCCAACCACCCAGTCCCGTTCTGGATCGATACCATCTGCGTTCCGCTCGAACAGCCGGAGCGGAATCAAGCCATTATTGCCATGAGGAGAATATATACCGAAGCGACAAAGGTCCTGGTGGTCGATAACGTTCTGAGTGAAGTTTCTTCAACGGAGTCCCTCACGAATTTGATTCTTCGGGTCCGCGCTTCGACGTGGATGACGAGACTGTGGACCTACCACGAGGCTCGTCTGGCTCGGAGCTTGCATTATCAGTTCCGAGACAAGCCTTTGACGGTGGATGAAATGCTTGCCCAGCACAAAAAAGCAGTTGGCCCAGTCTGCGCTTCAGAAGATCCAGTCATACAATTGCGCATGCTGAATCTCAACCCACTGGTCGCATACAACGTCGACCACGTAACTAGGGTCCAAAAGTTTGCTTCGACCGTACGATCCAACGACCCTCGCCAGGAAGACGCCGTCGCTCTAGCGCATGTGACATCGCACATCCGCTGGCGCCGCACCTCCCGCCCGATCGACGAAGCCATCTGTCTGGCCGGTGTGATGAACCGCCGCTTTGACGATCTCGTCGTCCTCGATACCGGCTCAGAGAGGATCAAGCAACTTGTCTCAACTCTGCGGGGTGTGCCGACTGATATTTTGTTCGTCGACCGGCCGCGCATTGAGGAAGAGGGCTGTCGGTGGATGACCTCCACGTTCTTGGGCGATGAGCAGGCTAAGGTTCTGATGGATCCGGCACGGCGTGGGACACCTTCGAAGGATGGATTGCTTGTGAGAATGCCTTGTGTGGTTCTTGAACCTGGGAACATGGGTCGATGCGAGAACGTCGACGTAGAAGGAGGCAGCGAATGCATCTACATCTCTCAAAAGGCATCAAGGCTGCCAAACCCATATCCTCATCCGAATGGCGAGCGGACCTGGAGAGTCACAGTATCACCAAGTCCGTCAGAATCTATCACTCGAGGCCCCAGCGAGTCTCCCAGTTGTCGCTGGCACATCCTCAGATCCGCCTCTTTGGTGCTCGTGTTGCAACAAAGTCTCACGGATAGTAAGCTCAAGCAGGTCCGAGCTGTGGTGGCTTCCGTGAAGAGGACAAGAATACCAGATGGACTGGTCTTCTGCAGGTATGAATTTCAAGCAAGCGTGCAGCTCGTGTCACGACGAGTCGAAGGGGGAGCTGTTACCAAGTTGAAGATGTATCCAAGCGGCAAAAATTTGTGTGTTGGATGACAGTGTTTGGAGACTGCTGTTCTACCGTTGAGTATCCTATCCTAACGCCAGAGTAAGTGCTTTATGTCAGGAGGCCTTCACTGCCGCGAAGGATTAGGGGGTGGGCCACCATGAAGCTAAGCTTCCCAGCGGGAAAGAGATATAATTGTCGCCTAAATGGTCTTCTATTTTATTCTGACGGGCGCTAGAGACCTTGGAGATTGAGCCAACGTTTTCAAATACGGCAAAAAGTGGATTTGTTGAAGTCCTTGTTAACGATTTGAGTATATTGTCCCTCGGATCCTGCAGGCACCTTGACAATCGACTTACGGCTCGGTGTAACTATCGATATCCAGACATCACCGGTCTAGAATGACTCCATGCCTCTTGCGAAACAGGAGTATGACTGCTATCGATCATCAAGAGCACACCTTCGCAGGTCTTCTTCTCATAATAGCTCTTCCCTCTCTCTCATAAGGAGCCTGAAATCAACAGCGGCGAGTCACTCCATACGTCGGGCGCATCAACCAAGACGACGCTGCCAGCTCAGTAGGTGTAGCGAAATTGAGGATTCTGGTGTTGAGTGTCAGTTTTATGCAGAGCCTCTGGTTGAAACTCGGTAGCGTTACCATCTTATCGGTTATATCATCTTCGTAGGCGTGGTCGAATCCTTCCAGTATGCCACTCTTGTCTCTCTTCTTGTTTTCGAGGATGCACATGTAGCGATAAACCACTGTCAAGACTTGCGTCAGGATTGCCGTGGTCAGCACGATGGCGAATCCAGGGGCATATCGTGGTGCATCCTCCTCCCTGAAGATTCTGATTACGAAAAAGTTTCCCGTCAGTGCACGTGTTGACAAAACTCCAAGCAACTCACTTACAGGGGGCCTGCAACATTACCCAGGCAGTAGCCAACGAACAACCCCGCCGAAAAGATGGTCTTCTTGGTGTACCCGGCACAATTTGCAATGTTCAGTCCCAGAAGAACGGCATATGTTCCGCCAAACGAAGCAATTATGAACACGGCAAGTAACGATCCACCCAGCTCGTGGCGCGGAAGTAGCCACAGAAGCAGCGATGCCACAACCGTCGGGATTTGGCATATGAACATGATAATGGTTCTCGAGTTCTTGAACTTGAAAGCGAAATAACAAGCTCCGAGCTCAATGGATCCAACGACAACTCCAGCAGGGACAGTGAGCAGCAGAGAATTCAAGGCGCTGAAGCCGAAACCTGTCAGATGACTTTCACGTTAGTCATGTTGTCAGGCACGTAAAGAAAGGGCGACTGACCATGTACAATTATGGGCGTGAACTATACCAAAGTGTTCGGTTAGCTTGTCTGATAATAACGGCTCAGAGAACAAGGAAACCGACTTACTGTGGAATAGGGACCATTGCCGAACATCATGAAAAATGCCATAAAGAACGAAAGCCAGAACTTTGCATCCGTCAGACTCTCAATCAATTGAGAACTTTTCCAGTGGAGATTGCGGACGCCGCTGTTGTTCTTGCGCAGCCTTGCGACGGCGATGTACCGCTCCCGGCTGGAAAAGCCCCGGGCTCGAATGGGATCGGCAGGGAGAAAGGAAAGAACCACCAGAGCCCACAAGACGGTGACCGCTCCGGCAACAAGGTACATATACTGCCAGGAACTCAAAGTGCGGCCGGAGATCTGTCCAAGACCGTAGTTAACGAGCGGAGAGACCGCGCCGAAGTAGCCCGTGCAGCAAAACCAGGCCTGTTTCATCATCAGCTCGTAAGTCCAGTGCATACCAGTCACCATCGGCGGCGCTGAACTTTCACACTTACGCCCATGCGAAGAGCTTGCTCCCCTTCACATTTCTGAGGTTAGCCAAGGGGGAACAAACAGGCAGAGCATTGGGCAAAGAATGGCGTCCTTTACCTTTCTCATACCAACCCCCAACCACGAGCATGAAGATCGGAGAAATCCCCGCCTCCAAGAACCCAAGAAAGAACCGCTGAGCAAATAGACCTCGGAAACTGGTGCAACCCGCCGTCGACATGAGACAGGCGCCCCATACGAAGACAAGCCCTCCCGCAACACGTTCAATGGGATATTTCTGAGCCAGCACCGTGGCAGGATATGCGCCCACCAGAAAGCCCAAATACAAAATGGACGAGCTGAAGGTGTCTTTGAGGGGCCAAGCTCGGTCATTAAATGTCTCGATCTATCGGGGGAGGGAGGAATTCCAGACATACAGCGGTTGCCCACGTTAAGATCCAGGTCGTCGCGAAGGCCGAAGATAGCCTGTTGGAGAGAAACAACAAGAATGAGCTTTCACGAAGGTTTTTTTGAAAGCGATCAATGCTCTTACCGCCTGTGACAGCATGGCCTTGTCGTAGTATTGCAGTCCGTAACTATTCTCGACGGTTAGCCATGGACCATTGCAACTCTGCTGACACCAGAAGCAAAAACACTCACGTCAGACACAACAGTGGAAGCAGTTTACGATCGATCTTCCGAACAAGACGCTTCTCCTCGATCGCATCCCACTCGTTTGCACCGTGCTCTTCCGCAATGACCTTGAGTGCTTCGTCATTGTGCAGCGTGTCGATGATCTCCAAGTTGACAAGGTCCTCTGCTTGGTGCACGGTGACCTTCTCAACCGCGACGATGCTCGACATTGTGGTGGCGGTCGTTGGGGGGGCTGATAGAACGGGGAATCGACAGGGAGGTATTCACCAAAACGAAGTGAGTCTGGTTGGGCAGCTGATTCGATGTCCAAAGACCCCAGGTTTCGAGGTAAATAGTCTACGGGGTGTGCCATGGCCCATGGGGTCCCCGGAAATTTGATGAATTTCTTTGTCTCTCATTCTCTCTCTCTCTCTCAGACCATGGAGTTTCTTGGCTCACAGCACGGAAAAGCAGGATTGACTTCAAAAGCCAGACAAACCGCGGGAATTTTCGCCGCGGAGCGCATTCCTCGGGGCCGTTATAGGAACAATAGCTCAAGCCTGCTGCTTTGTATACTATCCACCTAGCGCAGACGGTCGACTATCAGCTGACCTTTCCCTTAGGCTCAACGAAATATCTTCTCATGTGCTTTACTGAGGAGAATCACTAGGTATTTTCTGGCCGAGTCAATCACCGCGCATCGAGTGCTTAGATACGGGTTTCAAATACGGGAAGGGATCGGATTTGAAAAATCAGGAATTGCGTGCACACGTTGATTCTCTCGATCTCTATCATCTATGCCACGACTCTAGAACGCCCCTGAAAAGTCACATACATCGTAGGAGGGTGTGAAGATATCCACAATCAGATAGGCACGACCAGAGTTCATAGGCCTCGACAGGAGAAAGGCATTCCAGATATAGCTAGGAGGCATCCGCTGGATAGCATACTGTTTTCCCGAGGTCGAAGAAATAACTGACAAGCCATATTATACATTTACCGTCGCTGTCGGTGCTGCGCCGTCCCGTGCTGTGGTGGACTGTGGGAGAGGGTTCACAATTTCGCGTCGAGGCCAATGAATCCTCCACCCTGTCTGATCATCCGGCTAGCTTCTGCAACCATCTCGTCCACTATCTGGCCGGCGGGTTTGATGTCGTCAATGACCGCAGCGACCTGGCCCATCAAGAACGGCCGGTCGGCCTCTTCGTTGCCATCCTCCACATCCTTCGTGTAAGGGACGATTCCGGCCTCGGTCAGCTCTTTGATCTTCTCCGGCCGCCTCTCCCAGGCCCTTATGTAGTCGTTCGCCTTCACCCTCATCGGTCTGCCGCTGACAACGAGGGTCGTGACCGTGTCTTCGAAATTCGCCGTCACCACCTCCTCCTTGTGCATCTGGCTTGCACCGCTCTCGAGCGATGCCAAAAAGCGCGTGCCCACCCAAACACCTGTGGCGCCCTGCATGAGCGCGCTGGCGAGCGAGCGGCCGTCTCTGATCCCACCCGCTGCGACAACCAGAGGAACCTCCCCGGTCAGGGGTGAGCGGTATTTCGTCACCACGTCGCATACCGCGGGCACCAAGATCGAACTGGCAATGGAACCTGTGTGGCCGCCCCCTTCGCCGCCTTGGGCGCAGATAAGATCGACGCCGGCGTCCAAGGCGTATTTTGCATGTTTCGGAGCACCCACCATGTTCATTATTAGAATGTTTGCGGCGTGGAGTCTTGATATAATGTGCGGAGGCGGGACGCCTACTGCGGACACGAACATTCTTGCGCCGTTTCTGATGACCACCTCGATCAACTCGTCCAGTTGGCCCTTGGTGTAGTCACGGTTTGTCTTGCGCGCGCCTCCTCCGATCTTGGGAAGCGCCAGGTCCACCCCAAAGGGTGCCGATTTGTCTATCAGGTGCGACTTGAGTTCGTCGATGATGTCTTGGAGCTGCTCCGGAGAATAGTTCAGTCCTCCTATGACGCCGAAGCCGCCCGCATTGGACACTGCGGCCGCCAAAGCACCGGACGAGGCGCGTGCCATGCCTAGTTCGCAATATTCAGTAAATTTCATCATCCCGTTGCAGGTGTATGGAGTTTACCAGCAAGGATAATCGGATGCTTGATCCCTAATAGATCTGTAAGGGGCGTCTTTATCCTCTGACTTCCACCCATTTTATCTCCTCTGTAGCAAATCCTCCGGTGCTGTTGAAGTGTGCCAACCCCTTCGTGGAATCTTCTTTGTCCAGGTGAGTGGTAGCAGCACGCTCTAACAAAGTTCTAAGGATGATTAGTATTGGGTACTAGTTTTTGCAAAATCTTTTCGCATATACAGAGGAGACAGCGTGGGTTTTGACCCATGGTCACAGCGAATCGGTATCCTAGGATACGTGTTGTTAGATCTGATGCAGATGCCGCGGCCGTGATTCCGGGCCCGCAAATAATACACTGAGCTGCCAGGAGCTCATCTACCGAGATTACCGATACATATGCCAGCTAAAAGCGAAGGAGCAGGGTCGGAGGTGCTCATCATCACCGGTAGATAGTCTGGAACCAATTGCTCTATCTTAATTGTACTGATTCATACTAGCAAGAGTACTATCCGTCGTGGGCAATTAATGCTGCAGTGTTATCGCCCTGGCCTATCCTTCAGGGAGAGGAGGGTAAAGCCAAGTACAGAATGCTGGACCGTTCAAGGCTCTCAAGCTCATCAGTCTGACCAAGCACTAATCTGCCAATTTCAATGAAGCACAAATGCTGCATGGTGCGTGGTGCACGGTGCAATTAACATAGCAAACGCCCCCTTTGTAGGCTCCCGATCAGCCTCAAAATACAAAAACCTGATCATTGGCTTTAGAGATTGCACCAGGTGTCTGGAGTCCAAGCTCAGCGATGTACCGCTTCACCACAGAAACCATTCCAGGAGGCCCGCACAGCATGATTTTGGTGTCCGGAGCAGTGATCGGTAGCTTTTCTCTTATCAGCTCCTTCGTCACCAATCCCGTGCAATGCTTCCATTCTCGGGGCGGATGCAGCAGGACATAGGAGACGTTGAACTTGGTCGGACACTGAGCAGCCCAGTGGTCGAGTTGCGCCCGGAGGATGATGTCTCCCTCGACGTTGTTGGCATACAGGAGGCTGACAGTCGTCTTGTCCGAGGCGTCTTCACAAATCGCGCGGATGATCTGGTACATAGGCGTGATGCCCGTGCCCCCTGCGATCATGCCGATGTGATTGCAGAGCCCTGTCCGATACTTCATTGGCCCCAGAGGGCCTCGGAATTCCAAGTCGTCACCAACCTGCAACGAGGCCAGATGCCTTGTCAGAACGCCCTGCTCGTAAACCTTGACGATTAAGTCAATCACTCCCTCGTCTGTGCTGTTTGAAATCGGGGTGTAGGATCGGGTGACTGATTGGCCATCGATGTCGGCACGCACGGAGACATGTTGTCCAGTTGGCAGATTTAGGACGTCCGAAGGCTTTGGAAGTGCAAAGACTAGGCGAAGGACATTGCGAGAGAGCTCCTCTTTCTTCGACAACGGGAACTTGCGGTACGATCGAGCGTCAAGGATGCCAGTATTTGCAAGGCTCGAGTGCTGTCCAACGAATGTTCTCTGCCGTGCCTTTTGTCGGGAGGGATATTTCTTCACGATGTGACTAGCGTTCAACAGTGAGGCCAGATAGCACCCGGCTCCAGCTGAGACAATGGAAAAGGCCGCTGCTGAACTGAGAAATCCATACCAAAATCCACCGGTGGGAATCAAGGCGCGCGATTGACGAGCTTGATCAAGAAGGCGAGGGCCACCTTTGAGCAGGAGGACTCCGGTCAAACCCAGCAAGATAGCCTTGGTTGCCAGATTTGGGAGCCATTTCATACCTGGTTCCTTGGTCAAGACAGCGGCAGTTTTGACGTGTTCGTATGTGGGCCGATAAAGCGTCACCACTTCTCTGCTTTCCTGATATGATTGATATGAATCAGCGGCACTCTTCCTTACAACATTGCACACGCAACGCTACAGGTCTTGAACATGTCTTGACCCACTTTGAGTGATAGTTCGCCAACAATGAGTGATTCCATGGCGGCCCACGCTCTCTCCGAGTGCCCAACGTCCTCGAATGCCTCTGTTGCATCTGTGCCACCGCATTCTTTCAATATCTCAGCACCACCGGGGTGCTCTTCGAGGTAGGTTGTGACGTTATAAACTGCCATTCTGCAAGTCAGAATCATCCGCAAGTCTCACAAACTAGGAGACACCAAATAAAAGCAGGAAATTTTGCAGTGTTTGAAGTGCTTCCAAGAGTGGTATCCACACCTTTGTTGTGTATGACCACCCAGAGGTCATCGTCGGTCGCGTGCGCGCGAACATCTTCCAAAGAATATCTCGACGGCATCCTGTGGCATCAACCTGGAACTAGAGAAGTAGACCATCACAAGCATACATATACAATGCTGGCAGCCAACGTATCAAAAATATTGGCAGGCTAGGACGGCTGACAGCACTGCCGAGGAGGTGGCGAAGCTGGCCTCAGAAGAAGTGATCTCTGCTCGTTCCCGCGAGGGAGACGGTATGCTAGACATGGTACTTTGCCAGAAACAGACACTGGAGATCTTAATCCGAAACGTCATGATCAAAAGAAATGCAATGGTTGGAAGAGCAATGCTGGCATTTTCCCGGAATGCCACCCGAGGATTTGCGCCGAGGAATGATATCCGTCTCTATAACCAAGCATGTATTCTCACATAATAGTATTTTTCCTGTATCCAAAAGAGATTTCAGTTGCCTAATCATCTAGAGCAAGCTGGTGTATTTCGCACAGATGTAATTTCACTCCAACGGTCCAAAAATATGATCCAACGGACAAAGATCCAGGGCTACCTCGTAGGGCCAACGCCTCGAAAAATCCGAGAAGTCGATATTCCCCCAAATGACGATCTCAAGGCATTGAAGAAGGCCTTTGCGGAGGAATTCCATGTTGCGGACCCCAGCGGTGAGAATTGTTCTTGTGTCATTGAGGCTGAATTTCCATTCTAGCTAACGTGAGACACCGGCCAGGGATTGAATTCCAGACGGAAGAGGAACCAATCTATTCTATTGGACAGATGCTCCAGGCCGCGGGACCTGTTGGGATCACCATCAACGGCAATCCGGTCGTCGAGGTGCCTGGACCGGCAGGCTTGCCCTTCGTTGGGAACTTCTACGAGGTATTCCCCGATCACCTGGGCAATCACGCCCGTCTGTTCAGCAAGTACGGAGCGGTCTTCAAGACGAACAACATGGGCAAAATCACCTACCACACCAACGACCCCGTGATTGCCGGGCTCCTCTTCAGCGAGTCGGCCTACTTTACCAAGAAAATCACCTCCGACCACCCGCTATGGGGGATCAAGGACAACTCGGCCATTTTTGTCGGCGACACGGAGACGCACAGCTGGTTGCTGGCGCACAAATTCCTCCCGCCTTGCCTGAGCCCCAAGGCCATCCGACACTACACGCCACTCATGCAGGCGGCCGTGCGCTCTTCCCTGCCCACGTTCGACGCCATGGACGCCGCGGACGAGAGCTGGAACGTGTACCAGTACATGCTCAAGCTTGCGTCGCAGACGATCGGCAAATTCTGCCTGGGGCTCGACTTCCACCACTTCGACGGGCCGGACTCGCCGCTCGATCCCATCGTGGCCGACATTTCCGCCATGCTGGTGCTGAACAAGAGGGTGACCAGTCGGGGCGACTGGTATGGTGCCCTCCCGTTCGGAGATCCCAAGAGGCTGAAGGAGGTGCGGCACCGGATCTACTCGCGGCTCCAGGCCGCCATGGACGCGGTGGAGCAGAGGGACACTTCGGACCTCCCGCTCAGCGAGGCCGCTCTGAAAGCGACCTGCGTGGTCGACTACATCAAGCGGGCCACGGATGAGGGCGGGAACAAGCTCCCCGAGGACCTATTCCTTGGGAACATCGTCATCATGACCGCCGCGGGCTTCACGACCACCTCGTCGCTGCTGTCGTGGATGATCTACGCGGCCGTCAAGTATGAGGGCCACCAGGAGCGCCTGCTGCAGGAGCTGGTCGACCACGACATCAGCAACGAGGCGGACTGGACGCCCGACCGGGCCAGCTCGCTCAAGTACCTGGACAAGTTCGTCAAGGAGACGCAACGCTTGCACAACCCGTCCTTCCAGCCCGCGCGGACCACAAAGACGGACGTGATCGTGCCCGGGGGCTACCACATCCCGGCCGACAGCGTCGTGGTCCCCGCCCTGTACGCCATCCACGCCAACCCCCGGTTCTGGGACAACCCGTCCCTCTTCGACCCGGACCGCTGGGACACGCCGCAGGTCAAGCAACGGCACCGGTGCGCGTTCGTGCCCTTCGCCGCCGGCCCGCGCGGCTGCATCGGCTTCAACTTCGCCCTGCAGGAGGTCAAGGTCCTCTTCGCCGAGCTGGTCTACCGCTACCACTTCGCCGCCGAGTCGCCTGCCGCCGCTGTCGACGTAGACCCGGACTTCCAGCTCATTCGCCCCATGAACCTCTACGTCCGTGCGCGGAGACGGACGTTCTGGCCGGCCAAGACGGGACCAAGTGAAAGTGAACTGAACTGAACTGAATTGCACTGACCTAAACTCGAGTCGAGTCGAATCGAGTACTTTTGCCTAGCCAACGCGTGGAGCACGCGGGACGTTTTGCAACTTTATAATCAAAATGCTAGATTCTTGGGGAATAAAAGAGTTGCCCTGGTCTTTATGCATTACCCCCCCCCCCCCAAAAGTCTACGAAAAGAATGAAGTCAGATATGTATAGGAAAAGGCCCACGGGACGTATAGCTTTTGTGGGCCTTTAACGAGGTAGAGACATTGATGTATCAAAGAGATGTGACTGCGCTCATCAAGTGACTCCCTCCTCCAGAGTGTCAAGGGATGTCGTAGTGCCTGGATGGTGGAATCTGGGACGATGTACAGTTTTGCAACGAATGACAATGTTGCTTGTGTCTCTAGGCAAAGGTCAAGCAAGGGAAAGGGGATGCCATCTCGCATGGTGCCAAGAACAACATCTGAACAACGGAATTCGTTCAGTAGATCACCCTTGAAAGCGACCATAAAGTGGCAGCGCCAGTCAGATTCATGTGTTTTATACAATAACAAACAACAGCCGGCGATTGGAGCAGTGTTCTTAGAATTCGACCGGAAAGTCATCGTTGCCGTTGACTCCCCCCGCGTACATTTCAAAGATGCTGTCGTGGTCGAGAAGCTCGTGGAACATTGCCCAGTCCATGTCTTCGGACCCAACGCTACAGTGGCTTGGTGACGGCCGCTTTTCGGTACCGATGCAATCTTCTTCTTCATCTCGCGCGGTGGTCGCTGCAGCAGCTCCTGCACCGTCTCTCTTGGGAAATGGGAGACCCGTTGGCAACAACAAATTGTTCGTAGAGTTTGATCCCAGACCTGGTCTCGGCTTTGGCTGCGGCTGGATCTGCGGGCTTGGAGAAGACAGCACATCAACGGCCGTCAAAGCCGCCGCGGCGTCGATCGTCAAAGCCGGTGCGGGAAGTGAATCGTAAGTCTCCACGTCTGGCTCTTGTCGGATAAGAACATCGGTCGTCCCGTCCCCAGAGGTGTACTCGTCTGAGGTCTCGGTAAGGCTGAGGTCAAAGTTCAAGGTATTGGCAAAGACTTGGAGCAGCTCCAGTGACTTGGAAGCGGATAGGTGTGTCTGTGCAGCCGCCCGTAATGACCGCCAAAGGATATTTATGTTTCTGTTTTGTGCAGCGCCGCGCCCATGCACTTTCCCCATGCCAGACGACGCCTTGAGGCGATGCTCGAGCAAGAGGACAATGGCGGCTCGAAATATGTGATTATACACAATGTCATTGCAGCGGTGCGCAATCCCGTCCTCCCAGTCGGCTCCCTTGGCGATCCTGAGCATGATTTTAGCCGTCAGTCTGGACGTCTCGACGCTTTTCTTCAGGCAGGCATTCCGGAAAGAATTGTTGAGTGCGTTGTTGGTGAAGTGTCTGAACAAAGCTAGACGCGCTTGCTGTGTGATGAATAGTATCTTGAGAGTAGAGGGTTCGATGCTTTCGTCGGCGTCATCATTGGTCAAATCGCGAGGATATCTGTACCAGCAAGCGAGCAGTTGGGCATCGATCTTCATCATGGTTTCGACGTCATTCTCTTCATTACGGGGGATGGCGTCAAGCTGGATGATCGAATCTAGAAGAGATACCACAGATATACTCGTGCGGAAGAAACGCAGGGAGTGAGGAGACGTGGTTCCCTTCTCGTCCACCTTGCCGGGGAGGTCAACATCGCAATCTTCGTCCAAGAGCAAGACGGGTCTCCCGAACGTCAGTGCGACGATTCGATCGACCATGTAAGCTCCCCAAAAGAGTCGATTTCGAGACTCAATTTCCACGTTGAATAGCTGATGTGGAGAAGGTCGCTTGTGGAGGCCGAGATCTTGCACGATCCGTGACGTTGTCCCCGTCATGACCCAGCATGGACTCGGCATCGACGCTCCGAGGAGATAGATGCTCATCAGCAGAGTGATGATGGCGTCGTCCAAAGTGTAGGTGGACTTGATTAACCGGTGGCACCTTCTGGCTGCCTCAAAGAAGCCCCATCCGTTCCTCATCTGTTGGCCGCTCCCGTGGCCAACCTCCGCCAAGTCGGACAATTGAGATCCAACCGCGAAGACCATCATCATGACGCAGAAGTCGGCTGTTATGTGTGCTTCTTCATAGTGCAGAGGAGATCTAGTGTAGATCCGTTGGAACTTGATGAGGATTGAAGGCCAGTAGAGGATTGGGGTATGTGCTTGGACATGTTGAGCATACACCTCGATCAACTTCGCTCCAAGTCGCTGGGAAGGCAGTTGCGATCGCAGCTCAGCCGCCACATTAGACTTGAGCTGGTTATCAGTCACTCTTGTTGGGGTTATATCAAGATTAGTCCGCCATGAGTTCCCAGATGCTGGAACTTCGTAGCCAAGTTGCTGCACATACTCTCTGACCGAGTCAAGGAAGACGAGCTCGGACGTGGATCCGTAGAAATGGTAAGTTTTGGTTCCATCTCCGGTAACATGTGTCTGTAAGCTTGGACTGCCATTTGTACATCGGCGCCGCTGCTTCAAACTGGACCTCTCTGCCGTCTCCAGTGTCGGGCTACTCTGAATCTCGGTAGATAATCGACGGTCTGCCTGTTTCGGACTGGGAGACGAACGCCGTGATGTAAGATGCGACAAGGAATACCCATTATGGCCATCTGGTTTAAGTGGCTCCGGCGTTGGCCCCGAACCAATTTGCTCGACTTGTTTGGTAAACTTCTCCACTGTCTGTTCAAGCTCACGAATCCGTCTATCAATCAAGTAGAGATTAGCTGAGAATGGCAGGAATGAAACGCATGTTGAGGTGCGTATCTCAATGCTTACTTCAACAGAATCGTGTTCTGCTGTTTAGCTGACGGCTCCGTCACCTCGCATACAATGCCGGCAGCGACACAGGAAGAGCAGTGACCTGTCAAGGAAATATCGCACTGAGAGGCCAAGCATTAGAAGAATCTTTCAATGAAAAGTAAGTAGTATGTAAGAATTGGACCACATCAAAAACTTCACCTTTGTTTTCCTTGCTCGACAGGCATTGCAAGCTCTATTTTCTCGACGCCTGCGAAATGGCCGGAGAGTTCGGCTGGGGGAGCGGCCGTTTCCATGCTGCGGCGAGCGTGATGGGAACGCGGAGACCTCTCGATGAGCACTCTCCATGAGGTCAGAGGTGTTTTGGCTTCTTTCGCGATGTCTGTGGGAGACGTCTGGTGAAGTGTAGAGATTGCTTCGTCCAGGACTAGCAACGCAAAAATTGCGGACATGGCATCAAGCGACGAGTCCCGCCCGCAATAATGGAGACAGCGGGGGAAGATAGCGTCGCCATCTAGACTCAGCCTCGGCACCAGCAATACAGATCAGCCCAGATATGGACTGATAGCAGACGAGGTTGGGGACGACTGGGGTGTGAACCTCCTTCTTGCGGGGGACCTAGTACACTCCGAGTGCATTCAGACGCCACTCCCTTCCTCCACTGTGTTACACAAGGCTTGGAAACGCCACATACACCGGTCTGGAGGAAGAGATGGTTGGAGAAACTCGAGTCTCACTGAGTGCGGAGGATGGTGTGAGCACCTCTCGAACCAATCGGGAGACTTGCCGCGGAGCAATTTCCATGGATCGGTATGGTGTTGGTGTTGATGCAAGGAGAGTCTTAGTGTTTGGCTGGGCGTCTCCTGCATACCACTCGGGCGTTTATCACTCACCGTACAATCAGCGTTGTGTGGCCCGTCGCGGGTGCTGTTCTCTGTGACTTACATATAAAGCAATAAGCGTCTCTAGTTGCATTGGCCGCGTGATTCGTCTACTGAGAGTGCTTGGGTGCACATATAGATTGGCTGAGGATCGAAAGATGGGCTCTTCTTCTGCAGATGGTTGTCGCCGCCAGATCCTATGGCAGCATTCCGATGTCAAAAACACGCACCTAGAAAGGTTCCGCAAGTTTGTCAACCATCGACGTGGTCTCTGCTTGCTTGTCCGTTTACACCTCTCATGGAACGCTCTCGCTTTGCTGCTCTACTTTCACTCGAACCCGAACTCACAGTGTGACAGAACTATCGCGACCTGTATTTGTATTCCGTACAACGATATCCCGATTTCTGGCACGATGTGTTCGAGTTCTCGGATCTTATTTACACGGGGAGCTATCGTACGGTAAGTAGAATCAAGCCTCTGATTGCTGAACCACCGATTGGAGGGGACCAACGGGAATTCTTACTCATTTGCATCCAGGTGGTTGAGGCTTCAGTCCCTATGGAAAGCATCCCAAAATGGTTCCCCGACGTCAGAATCAACCTGGCTGAGAACCTTCTGTTTGGTCCTCGGAAACCCGATTTGAAAATCGCCGTTACGAGCATCAGAGAGGGCAATGCGAATGTCACCCACACTTCCTGGGCAGAGCTGAGGCTGAAGGTGGGAAAGTTGGTTTCTGCCTTGCGTGGTCATGGGATAAAGAAGGGAGATAGGGTTGCTGTGATTGCTTCCAACAGTCTCGACACTCTTTCCATACTCGTCGCCACCGTCTCGATCGGTGCCATCTTAACGTCCACCTCTACGGATATGGGGACCAAGGCCATCTTGGACCGTTTGAGTCAAACCCGCCCTGCACTGGTGTTCATGGAGGACTTCGCAGTGTACGGAGGCAAGGTCACAGATCTACGGCCTAAGGCAATCGAGGTTGTCGGATCGCTTAAACAACTCGAAGAGTTTCGCCAGTTGGTTATAGTGCCGAGATTCGACTTGGTCACCGACTTATCGTCCATTCCCCTTAGGTATGGGCTCTCGTTGCAGTATCTCGTAATGTTCTCGACTCGCTTATCATTGAAGACAGTTCCTCCTTCGAAGGCTTCCTGTCCAAGGCAATTGACACCAAACTCGTATTCGAAACGGCTTCCTTCGACCAACCGTGTTTCATTCTCTATTCGTCCGGGACCACCGGCAAACCAAAGTGCATCGTCCATGGCGCGGGCAACATCCTCATCTCCCAGAAGAAAGAGCTTTTGCTCCATTTCGAAATTGACGATGCATCTGCACAGATGATCTTCACCACAGTAAGCGTCAGGAAGGTGGCCGCAGGTGATGAACGCTCGTGTTAACGGATGTACCCCGTCAAAGACAGCGTGGGCTATGTACAACAAGTCTATAACAAGTCTACTGAACGGCGCACGCGTTGTGACTTATGACGGCAGCCCCTTCTATCCCGATCGAAAGGTGCTCCTCAGAATCTGCGAAGAACAAAAGTACCCGCCGTCCTCTCTGGTCCGGTTTTGCCGGATCTTCGCCCTTCCAAGCTAACACAACTACAGATTGACGCACTTGGGTATTTCGCCGCGATATCTCGACGAACTCCAGCGCCATAACATCAATCCGCGAGATGTGGCGAACCTGTCCAGTCTGAGGATGGTCAATGTCACGGGCGCCACGCTGCTTCCCGAACAGGCTCACTGGTTCTACGAGAAGGCATTTCCGCCCCATGTCCATCTGGCCAATTCTGCCGGCAGTACCGATACTGCCTGTCAGTTTGCCGCCCAGAATGTGCTTCTGCCCGTCTACCCTGGCGAACTGCAATCTGCTGCTCTGGGGATGAAGATTGAAGTGTTTGAGCCGCGCGACGATCGTGACGGAGAAGGTGCGGTCCAAGGTAGACCTGTCTCAGCAGACGCCGCAGGTGAGCTTGTGATTTCCGCGCCGTTCCCGACGATGCCTGTCATGTTCTGGGGGCAAGATGGAGGCAAACGATACCATGGCTCTTACTTTGCGGCATTCAAAGGTACAGTTAAATCTATGGAGATCATGGCACGCACGACATGCCATGATCTTTCCCCACTATATTCTAACCCATCTGTCTACGAGTAGGGGTCTGGACGCAAGGCGATTTCATCAAAATCCACAGTGACACCGGAGGCATCGAGTTCTTGGGACGCTCGGACGGAGTCCTCAACCCGTCCGGTACGCCATTCGGCCCTAGGGGAGAGGGGTCATAAAGCAAAAGTTCACGAGTAGTCGAGACTGACGAATTGGGACATGACAGGTGTAAGGTTCGGCTCGGCCGAAATCTACAGCGTGCTGCAAGAGTTCCCGCAGATCGTGGATTCGATCTGCGTGGGCCAGCGCCGGCGACACGACTTGGACGAGAGCGTCTTCCTGTTCGTCCTGCTCCGACCGTCGGTGAGATTCACTGCCAAGCTGGTGTCCGATATCAAACTCGCGATCCGAAAGCGCCTGTCCGCCCGTCACGTCCCCAAGTACATCTTCGAGTGCAAGGAGATTCCGGTGAGTCCACTTTAGCCACGCCATTCCAATTATTGGAAAAAGAAAAAAGAAAGAAACAAAGCCCAGTGAGCCAAAGAAGATATGTAAATCCCCAGAAAAAAAGGTTCCCAAGCTGACCTAGAAATGCTGCTTCATTCTAGATGACGTTGACCAACAAGAAGATGGAGTTACCGGTTAAAAGGATCGTCTCGGGCGACTTCAACGTGTCTACCGCGGCCATCGCCAATCCGGGGAGCTTGAAATTCTTCGAGCAATTTTTCCGCGTCGAGGAATTAGAAGCTCGAGGCAATGGTTTGGACGGAGTCTCAGCGCGACTGTAACTATTAGTTGCAAAAGAGCGAGAGAGAGAAGAGGGGGGAGGGGGTTCGGCGTATTCAATCCAGAAAAAGGGGCTTATTTTTTAACTTGAGAGATCTCCGCGATTATTTTGCATCTAGTCTCGAGACAATAGAAAAGGTCGCTGGCTGAAATGTTAGTAGCGCGTTGACGTGCAATATCCCCTGTGCGTAGGGATACGGGTTCTCTGGCCGCTTTGGAAATCAATTCAAAGTCGGCGCGAGCATGACTCAGGACCATGACATTTGTTCGATTCGCCTACAACTTCAATCTACTCCTATCTTGCTGGACATGAAGAAGGATGGCCCGGCCATTGGACAAGGCTATCTTCCCGCTCTCTCGGACCGTGGTCAAGAATCGAATCTCCATAGCGTCTTCCGACGATCCGGCGGCACTGTTCATTTTCCACATTTGCACAACCAGCGTCTCGCCTGGGTACACGACATTGGCGAACCTTGCCTGGAATTCTTTCAAGGTCGTCGTCACTCTTTTGGTGTCGAACGCGCGCAGAACAGCATGCGCCGTCATGTTCCACGTGCAGAGCCCGTGGAGAATCGGCCGGGGGAAACCTGCCGCGAGGGCGACCGATGGGTCGGCGTGAAGGGGATTATAGTCTCCGTTCAAGCTGTGGAACAATGTCTGCGTGTCAGTCAAGTGAGAGAGAGGGATCAATTCGAAGTCGAGAGTATCTGCGGACTTCAAGAAAAAGGGAAGTGAGAGGGGGGAAGCAGGGGGAAGCAGGGGGAAGCAGGGGGAAACCGGGGCAGGGGCAATTTCGTGAGGGATTTAAAATGGGCGTGCTGTTACATACCGGTAGAGGAGAGTCAATTCGGGCCGTGTGTCGATGGTCACCACTTCGTCCGCCGGCCGATCTGTCGGGGGCGCAAAGCTCGGTCGACTGGGTCCTCGTGGCCCTCCCCATCGACCTTGGCCGACGGCGAAGCTCTGGCGCAGGATACGGCAGTAGATATCGGAGCCTTCGACGAGCAGGGCTTCGGTCTCGACCACGGTTCCACGCGCGCCCTTGTCGTACATTCCCAAGACCTTCGTCTTCAGCTTGAAAGACCGTCCTTTCGACGACGTTGGCAGGTCCTTGAAGATCTTGATGTGCCGTTCGCCGTCGAGCACGCGCGTAGGGTCGATCACTCGCTCTCCCTTGCCGGGGATGGGAGGCGGCTTCATCACGCTCGAATAGTAGTCGGTCACGGAATCTGCGGCGCCCTTGAATTGGAGAATGACGGGATACGTGGGAAATGCGCAAAAGGAAGGGTCGTTCTCCTGCCGTGGCGAGTTTCTCAGTCAAATCGGTGTGATGCTCGGTCGATTCCCCCGTCCCCCTCCTCCCTCGCGGTTCTGTCGCCACTGAGGCCTTCTCCGTAACAGTACCCGGCAAAAGAACAAGGGGAACCGCCGGAGAGAGATGAGAGGACTTACGTAGAGGTATCTCAATTCGTCATCCTTGCAGCCGATGCTTGCCGCGAAGAGAATGAGGTCTCGCTCGTTCCAAGCGCATGGTCTGTCGGGGTACTCAAAGTCTTGCACAGACGCGGACATTGTGCTGAGCAAGTGCGATCTGGACCGGAACTGGCTCGAATTCTTCTGTTCAGCTCGCTTTAGTCAATCAATCAGTCAGTCACCAGCGTGCTTTGGCGTATCTTGTCACGATAGACAGTGATTATGGTACAAGGCCATTGTAGAAAAGAAAGAAGATGCAGTTAGTGTCAGGTACGCGAAGAGAGTCCCGAGGTCCACATGCGTCGGTTCTGTGATTTGCTCTGTGTGTGTGGGATTCTGGACTTTCGGTCCGCGGATCTCTTACCGAGAAGACCTGCAATCAATCCGCGCATCTGCTGCAGAGGCATGTATGCCCTTTCGGATGTGCTCTCTTTTCCACCCTGCATCCTGTCAGGCCTAGACATCCTTCATCTGTTTTTACACCATCTATGCTGCCATTTAGGTTCATGCCTGGGCAGGAGTGTGCGGTGCGAGGGAGAAAGGTGGACAAAGTCTATATATCATTGCAGTCCCCACCGTAGCTTTTACCACGACGAAGAAAAGCTGCGGAGGAGATGGAGTAAAGTTGAGTACATGAAGGCATCGCTAGAGTTCATTTCTGGGAACAGGGCAAATAGGTTCACGCCTCTTTTCCAGTCTTGGAGTTGAGCTTGACAAAAAAGCGCTCGTGGCATATTTGGGATCAAACCCCTCAATCTCCTAAACATTTTAAACATCATCGTTGCTTCCATATCAAAGACCGCTGCATGGTTCATCAGCCTTAATTCCATTCGTGTGGCCGTTCGTCGCCGCAGGCTTTTTCTGGCCTCCGACTTCCCTCCCTGCTTGTGAATCCAGGTAGTACGTGATGTCGCTCTTCCCGTTGAATTCAATCGTGCTGAACCCGTTGCCCAGCCATCCCCACCGATTCCGGCTCCAGTACTCGATCTCGTAGTCCTCGAAGTTTGGCGTCTCCATCAGGTCGAAGAAGGCCAATCTGCTGCCAGGCCACATGACGATCGGCCCGTCCTTTGTACCCTGCTTGAACCAGCTGGTGCACGGGTCCGACCAGCACGTCCGTGGCATGTACGTTGCGGTGTGCTCCATGAAGTCCTCGATCGCGCTGTCCTTGGGGTAGAGGCGGCGAATGTGCTCTTTCCTCATCTTCCGTATCACTTGAATGACGTACTGGGAACACAGTGTGAGGAGGGGAAGCACGGAGCCTTGCGCAACGGGGCCAAATGGTCCCGTGTACATGAAGTAGTTGGGGATTTGGGGTGCCGCCACGGAAATGTAGCTGGCTGGCACCTCTTTCCATCGCTCAGACAGGTTGGTCCCTTCCATCCCGATGATCGGGAACCGGGGCCGGAAAGAGGTGTCGAATCCTGTGGCGCAGATGATTACATCGACCTCGACCTCCTCCCCATCAGCGGTAATGAAGCCCTTGGGAGTGATGGCAGCAATGCTGTCAGTGTAGCATGTTGTCTTCTCGGCCACAAGGGCCTCGAGGTAGCCATTTCCGGGTGTCGGCCGGCGGCAACCAACATTGAAGTCCTTGGGAATCATCCGGTCTACAAGACGGGGATTGTGGCCGAGCTTTGAGGACATTTCTTTATAGGCAAACTTCAAGCCCCGAAAGTTAGTGATATGGAACGACGGCAATGTAACTCAAGAGTTCTCTCTTACAGCGTTGGCTTCGTCCGATTCGTGAGTGTTTCTAAGGACGAACTTGAACCTCTGATTCAACTCCAGCTCGATCAGTTTTCTGTATGTTCTGTATTTCTCGGGATTCTGCCGCCAATCCTCCTTCTGTTCCTCCGAGTCTGGGACCGTCTTGTTAGTATGAAAGGACTTTTTAAGAGAGTGGAGGGGCTGGCATTTCAGCCGAATAGCGTAGCATAGCAAAGCCCTATCACTCACAATCGAAATTCGCCCCGTGCTCGCCAGCATACTTCTGTGCGAACCCTGCCGTAATCCAGGTCGGAGTCCGTACCCAGGTATAAAGCTTCGACACGTCGTTATAGATAGACGCGACGATTTGGACGCCCGAACTGCCGGAGCCGACCACGGCCACACGCTTCCCCTTGAGGTCAAAGCCGTCTTCATACTTTGCACTGTGGAAAAGCTTCCCTCTAAACGTTTCAAGGCCAGGAATTGTAGGCCACTTCCAAGCACTTTAAGAGAACGGAATCAGCAACAGGGTAAAACGACAACTTCTTTGGTCCAAACGAGAGAAAACAGCGGAGATATACAGACTTTAGAAATCCCGTACCGCTAACCAGTAGGTCGCATTCTTCCGTCCACTCGGACCCCTCGCCATCCTCAGAGCGAGAAAGTCCCACGAGCCACTTGGACTTGTCGTCTTGCCAGACGGCGCGGACCACGGCAACTCCAGGTTTGATGTATCTCATCATGCCTTCTTCGTCCACAATGCCCTTCAAATACTGCCATATCTGTTTGGCGGAACTATAGTACTTCTTCCACTCTGGGTTGGGCTTCCAGGCGAACTGGTAGCTCGCACTGGGTATGTCTTTTCACACCGTCAGCACCGCATTGTTCGCTGAATGTGTTGCCAGTATCGATTCTTACCACAAGCACAGCCCGGGTATCGGTTCTCCCACCAAGTGCCGCCAACCTCCTCGTTCTTCTCGTAGCATACGATGTCAACGTTGAGATCTTTGAGGGCGGAGGGTGCATGGTGGAGGAAGTCAATCCCAGCCGCCCCGGCTCCTACCATGATGACTCTGAACGGTTTGTCCGGGGGAGGTTCATTGATCATGTGGTCTGAAATAGAATACCCTCTCGCGGACGGCGTGCCCCATTCTTTGTGATATACAGGGCGATGCTCAGAGGACGGGTGAGCTCCAGGTGTGTTGCTTCCAATCCTGACGCTTTGACCCAAGCCGACCTGGCCATTAGTTGACTGTTGTTTACCGTCAGGGGCAGCCATATTTCACTGTGGATGCGCCAGTCTGCTGTCCGCTGTGAAAGGTTTTGCTAGCTGTCAACCCCCTAATTATGTTGAGCAATATCAATACTTCAGACCCTCATCAGATATTTGCGCTAAGGCACAAATATACTCTGAAACGGATAGATCTCTTTGCCGCTCTCTGGGCAAGAAAAGTGGAGAATCAAAAGCCTCGGGACCTTTCCCATGTTGATTCCGGGAGGAGGGTCCGAGGGATTCGGTCCGTCAAGCGCCTCTGGTGACTCTGCGAGGCTGACAGCCCCTAGGTCTAGGATTGGCGTTCTACAATGTACATCGTGTATCTGAAGAGTTGTTCCGTTTAGAATTAGTCGTTTCGAGAATGGCACAAGGGGGGTGTATGGTTCCAAGAGCTTAAAGTCGTCACTTACACATTCGAACACCAATGCTCAAATCAGAAACATTTTGATTTTTGTGTTGAATCCGCTCTGTGGCCGATCAACATGGCCAAAATTCCTTCGTATGTCATTGGGGTCGGGTTGACTAAATTTATCAAGCCCAGGGGGCTCGTGGATTACCCAGAGCTTGGATTGGAAGCCGGGGTTAAAGCCATGCTGGATGCTGGAATCAACTATGATCAAGTAGACCAAGGGATTGCATGCTACTGTTATGGAGATTCGACTTGCGGCCAGCGGGTTTTCTATCAATTCGGTACGAGCACTAGGTACTCCTTGATTGCCGGCCCGCATTTTTGCTGATCGTGTCCGAAAGGAATGACACAGATACCCATCTACAACGTCAACAACAACTGCGCTACGGGATCCACGGGGCTTTTCATCGCGTTTCAGCTGATAAGCGGAGGGCTCGCCGATTGCGTGCTTGTTGTAGGCTTCGAGAAGATGGCGCCTGGCTCGCTCAAGTCGGCCTACAGTGATCGAGCGCCACCCAACGAACGCACCGTGAAAATGATCGCAGCAACCCACGGATATGACAGAAATGTCCCGAGGGCACCACAGACGTTTGGCAATGCTGGCTGCGAATACATGGAGAAATTTGGGGCAACATTGGAGGATTTCGCAGAGATCGCTCGGGTGAATCACGAGCATTCGGCGAAAAACCCTTACAGCCAGTTCCGGGACGTTTATACCTTGGAGGAAATAATGAAGAGCCCGATGATCCATTACCCATTAACCAAGTTGCAATGGTGTGTATATTTCAGCGAGCTTAGACAGAGATCATTTGGCTGACGCGACCCTTTGTCCTTTCACAGCTGTCCTACTTCAGATGGCGGAGCTGCGGCCGTCGTCGTCTCGCAAAAGTTTCTTGAGGCCCACCCTGAGCTCAAGCCTCAGGCGATCGCAATCGCGGGCTGTGCAATGGCCACTGACTCTCCTCGCCTATACTCGACTTCTGCCATAGATCTGGTGGGCTTTGAGATGACGAAGCGAGCTTCAAAGGAAGCTATGGCCCAAGCTGGTATTACTCCAAAGATGGTCAAAGTGTGCGAGCTTCACGATTGCTTCTCGGCAAATGAAATGATCACCATTGACGGCCTGGGCTTGTGTGAGTCAGGAAAGGCTCATCAATTCGTTCGGGAGGGCAACATCACCTTCGGTGGCAGGGTGGTGGTCAACCCTTCGGGCGGTCTCATTTCAAAAGGTCATCCACTCGGAGCCACAGGGTTAGCCCAATGCGCAGAGTTGTGCTGGCAGCTGCGTGGTTGGGCAACGAACAGACTTGTCCCGGGGGCCTCTGTTGCCTTGCAACATAACCTTGGACTCGGTGGCGCAGCTGTTGTCACGGTCTATAAGCGCGCAGATGGACAGTCGAACACGCCCATTACGGATGTGTCTACCGTTTCACGAATGGGGTATAATCCCGCTGTAGAAGCAAGGCCTGTCACCGGTGCGGATATTGTGAAAGTAAGAAGTGATCGCAATCATAGCACCTGGATGGATGTAGAAGGTCGGAAAATCTCGGCGTTGCTGTAGGGAGGTTCTTGCCCTCCGCAAACCAAAAGAAGAAGAAAATTAGAAAAAAGATAAATTATAGACACAGCTTCGTATCCTGCAAAACCATCAGATTCCTCGGGAGAATGGCCTCGGCTCATAAGCCGAATCGTGGAAGGACCATA